GACAGGTGAACATGGCATGGACAGGTGAACATGGCATGGACAGGTGAACATGGCATGGACAGGTGAACATGGCATGGACAGGTGAACATGGCATGAACAGTAGATGGATGGATGAATTCCAATCGACGTCTCGTCGTTAACCTCCATTCCTGTTTCCCGAACCCACACCCGAATCTGAACCTACACCTGACCCCAGTCCCCAGACCCTGAATTGGCGTAACTCGTAACATCCTGTCGGAACACTCTGGAACTCGCAAGGGCTCGTGATCATCATGGCCGTCTCGCATCTATATCTCAGCTGCATCTGCATGGGCGCTTGGTCATTCTTCCCTGCCCATAAGGCAGACCCGTCTGGCTCAGCTCAGATGAAGCCGCCCTTGTCATTCTTTCCCTGGCGCTCTGAGCGAGTAAAGACTTCTTTCGAAGTCAAATTGCCCACGCCTTCAAGCAGGCCACCCTTTCCGAGCTGGCCGCCGACTCCTTCGTTGACGCCGTCTTGGATCGCATCGACGTTCTTATCGCCGGTGATTTTGGTTTGGTTGAGTTTGTCTAACCGCGAACGAAGAAAGAAGGCCGGTCAGCGGTCAGCAATGCGTTACAAAAGTGCAATGTGTTTCAACGCAGTCAGGAGTCAGCACTGAGCAGTGAATGAGAAAGCAACGTCCAGAAAGGACCGACGGGCGGCATCATAAATTGTAGACTGCAGCCTGGAGTGCCTGTCCAGACGCCGTTCACTCATTCACTGATCGGTTCACTACTTACACGATGCAGAGCGGATAGTCAATCATGAGGATGAGATGGCATACCTTTGGCAACATAGCTAGTCTTGTTGTCACCCCACCAGCCGAGGACTTTGTCTTCGATCCACGGCACCCAGTTCTCGTATTGCTTGTTGTAATAGTTCTTTGCGCTCTCCATAACGATGACGTCTGAATGGATAGACAAACGGTCTAGGTAGTCAGGAGAGGAGAGAGGTGTCAGGGCAGGATAGCGTAGGTATTCGACTCTTGGGGAATCGTCAGAGTTCGTCTTCGTATATGGTCACAGAAAAGGATTAGGATTCGGTTTCGGGGGTCTCGAATGCACAGAGCGTCAAAGACTGTGTTTAGGATCGTGGCGACAATTTGACAATTCTAGAGTTGGACAAAGTGCGCAGATCAGCAGCTAGGTACAGTACATGTAGGGATACAGAGCGCAGGGAGGGTGTTGGGTGTTTTAACAGCGACTGCCAGCCGACTGCCAGCCCAGCCCAACGGCATAATGATGGCATCATGGGAACTGGAACTTGAACCGGGTCAGTCGACCAGGGTCATGTATGTGGCAGACAGGCGCCTGTTGGTCCAGGTGTTGGTGTGAGGTGTGGCTGGTACGTCACCTACTCCATACACCATCTACCGGCACCACTGGTGTACGCATACGAGTACTGGCGATGTTTCATGATACAAGGGTGGCTTGTCAATTTTCAGTCAGCCCAAACACGGACGAATCAAGAAATGAGAAATGCAAAAGGCAAGGCAATGGGAAAGTTCAAGTTGGAGGGTCAGACTGCGTTGGCTGAGGGAACACCAGAAGCTGGAAAGGTATGACGTAGCCCAGGCCAGGATGACCATGACCCTTGCAAAACGGAGTACGTAGTACATACAGTACTTTGACCTCAATATGGTGTCTTCGCTGAGACTCTGCTTCCATGAGGTGCGCCCTCTTTCTAGGCTCTACTATAACAAACAAATATCCAACCCCAACCGGGCTTGAACATCCCTCCACCCGACAGAAACCTCACTCGGATGCATGGCCCGACGACGGGCTTCGGCATCTCGCTCGCGCCAGACGGCGTGGATGATGGTGCGAGCGAGAAGGCGATTGTGCAGACCCAGATGGTAACTAAACTCCAGCCAACGGTCGACGGCGCGTTGGTCGTGGTCGCTGCACACCTCGACCGCGGCGATGAAGACGGGCCACATGGAGATGTTGCCGCCGTTGAGGTCGAGAAATTCCGTGGCGTCGGCCAGCACCCGCGACACGAACCGCTGCGTGACGAAGGGCGGCGCGTCGAAGAAGGCCCGGTAGAAGTAGACCAGCGTTGCGTTGCGGAAGATGTTGAGGTGCAGTTGGTTGAGACGAGTGCGGCCGGTCTTTGATTTTGTTTTTTCTTCTCCTCCTCCTCCTCCTTCTTCCCCAACTAGCCTGTCTTCCTCGGGTGGCCAATGTACTCGTTTGTCGTCGGAATCGGCATCACCCGCCGCTTCTTCCGACATTAAACATTCCCAAATCCTCGATATTCGTGGGTCCAGGTCGGCCGACACTTGGCCTTGGGCCAATTCTCCTTCGAGCATGCGAATGGCCGAAATGGAATTGATCACGCTCCGATGAGCCCCGATGGTGTAGGCAAAGTCCTTCCTCGACGACACGGCCCCGAGGAGAACGTCGGTGAGTGGCGATGGTCTGGTCGGGGCCTTACAGCCGGTCTGTGCCACCTCGAACGACAAGGCCAGGCTCTGAGAAATGACCCATGCGTCGTCGGACTGGCCCCAAGGCTTTTGTTTGGACAAGTGGCCTATCAGACTGGCGGCGCCGTCGAAGTGGCGGCGCCACGACCGGCCGACATTTGAATAAGCGCCCTGAGAAAACACGGGTCAGTCTATGTACATCTGTGGCTTTGGCTCGAGTTGTTTGTGGAAGGAAAGAAAGGAGTGTGTTTGGGGAAGGAAAGAAAGGATACTCTCTCTCTAGAGAGATCTTACATCGGTAACGGCCAGAATGTACATGGTGCCGATGCACGCGCTGTAGTCTTCGCTAGGGGTTTCAAGACTCGCGCGTAACTCACGGAGCGCCAGACCGTAGTATTTCAGTGCGTGGTTCTGCATTTCCCTTTCGACCGCGACTGAGCCTGAGCCTGAGCCTGAGCTACCTTGGTGGCCGTGCGAATACAAATTGGCCAGATTGGATGCGGATTGCGCCAACAAAGCATAGTAAAGGCTCTTCGAGGCTCTAGATGCGGACCTGGACAAAGACGACGCGTTTCCCAAGGCAATGCACGGGTAGGTGGATTTCCAGGGATTCCGTTCCGAATCAATATGGATCATGAGAACGGCCACTCGGGTCACATAATGATGGAAGAGCCGGTGTTCCTTGCTGTCTCGATGCATAATGGGCATTAGATTGGACGGTGCTGCTGTACATGTGGATGTGGATGTTGGTGCGGCTGTGCGTGTCGTGCTTCTTTCGGCCGCCGACGTTCTTGACACGGGTGAGGGTGACATTGATGATGTTGACGATACTGAGGATGATGATACCCAGGACACCGAGGGATTCTGAATTTGGGGGTTGGCACTGGCATTGGCAGTGGTATTCGGTGAATAAGAGGGCTTGCGGTTGCATTGGATCGAGTGAGGATTCGACTGTGGGCGTTGTTGTTGTTGATGTTGATGTGGATGTGGTTGTTTCTGTTGGTACCTACCACACCTCTGATACTTGATGATACGAAAAGGGTTTTCGTCGGCGACATGTAGGCGGCAATTGCATCTTGATGGGATGCGCGTCTCACCACCACCACCACCTTCAGGGTTATCGTCATCGGTACGTTCACCACCATCAGCACCATCATTTTTTTTGATCTGGTCATAGACTGATGATGATGACGACGACGACGACGACGACGATGACGATGATGATGATGATAATGACCCAACCTCGACCTCAAATTCGTCTTCCTCACCGCCCACCAGGTGGTCAAGATCGGCTTCGGAATAAAGGGCATTCTCCGACCAGACTGGCCCGTCTCCCAAACGACGGCGTGAATGGGATTGATAGCGACCCGTGGAGGGATCGACCCAAACCAATTGAACATTATATCCCTGACACGGGATCTTGCGGGAGTCGCAGGCCTTGCAGCTGGGCAGGGCTCCATCACATCGGACGCGACGCTGGCGGCATGTCCAGCATGCAGTAAAGGTGCGTCGGACCTTTTTGGGCATTTCTCGACGACGTCGTTCTTCTTCTCATACGAAGAGTTAGAGTTAGATGTAAACATCCATGTCTATGTGTGATATAGTGTAATGAAAGTATAAACATCCGAAGAGTTAGTAGAGTCAATAAACATTCATGTCTATGTGTGACATGTTGTAAGAAATGATGCAGCGGTAACGATAATGATAAGAAAGACGACGTTGAGGTGGTCCCAAAACTTGGGAGGAGGACGACATCGGCCTAGGCCCCTAAGCCCATGTCAACAACCCACTGGCTGGGTTAAGGCGGCTTATCAAGCCTGAGCTACTAGTCCCGTACATACATGCATAATACAGTACTACTTACTGTATTATCTATTATCTAGTAGATAAGAAGTCATACGTTAGCACTGGTGCTAATTATTAACTTGTGTTGTAACGAACATGGCAGAATTGCCGATCATAGATCACAGATCACCGAATATAGAGCCTCGGAGAGCGTTGATAGCCATATATGTAATTGATAGGTACTCTCCTACTGTGACGGTACTATACACCAAGTGGCTAATTCACTCGTGAATTAGTTACCTCGTCCTTTTCGCGGCTGTCGTGCTGTCACAGTTTGGGTGAACCGTGACACCTACAAGAAAAAGACGAAGATATCGTCAAGATTGGTTGATCTGGACCAATAGTACCTGGGGTAGCATCTGGAACGAATCGACTCCGTAGGGGTGCGTCTAGAACAAACCGACTCTATAGGGGTCAGCAGTCACCAGGCGGTCTCCCAGTGCCACGTTCAGACTCGCCCCTGAAGAGCATCCCGATCGACGGCATTCGCAACCGCGAACAGCTTTTCCTCTTCCAAGTATCTTCCCACGAGTTGCAGACTGATGGGCGCTCCATCGAACAACTCCGGATCGTAAACCTCGTGGTTGGCTTTGTCCCAGTCGGTGACGGGGACGTAGCCTTGGTCGGCCACATCAATCTCCTTGTTCACCGTGCCCGCGGGCAGGATCATAGCCGGGTAGTTCAACAGATTCCAGACCGAGAAGTAGCCCCACCACCTGAGACATGAGATTTGTAACTTGGTTAGCGATGGCTGTGGCTTTTGGCAAGAACGTCTCCATAGGCTGAAGGAGGACAGACAGCACGGCACTTACGGTAAGAAATCATGGGGGAAACTGGCACATGCCGCGCTGGGGCAAAGAATGGCGTCCACCGGCTGTCCCGTCGAGGTCAAAGAGGCCGTCTCGTTCCAGTGTCGTAGATACTCTTGTTGGAAAGACACTTGCGCCCTATAGATTCCGAAGAAACTCTTTTTAGTATCGACACACACGTGACACCTTTAGCATGGGATGAGGATGTGAGGATGTGAGGATGCCTGGCTTACGCTTGGAATTTCATGAGTTCAGGCACAGTCAATTCCTTGGTTCCCTTGCTGAGCTGTTGCACACTCGGAATCATGGTGTCTCCGACCTGGGCCAGGATTTCTTTCAACTGACGAGCCGCGGTGGGAAAATAGAGGGGGAGCTGAAAGTCATAGAATTGTAATTAGTCCAGCCCACATTTGACTACCTATAGTCAGAAGAAAGTCACAAGCTCTTCTCTTACCGTCACATCCCAAGAATAGCTGTGCTTGTAGGGCTTGAAGTCGACAACTACCGTTCCATGTGGTCAGTGTGTATGTACAGGATAAGAAGGGGGAGGAGGAGGAGGAGGAGGAGGAGAAGAAGAAACAAAATCAAAGACACAAGTTGAAGCCGCGGACATGTCTGCACCTCTAATGCAGCTGCTGACACTACACTCAAGAGACTTACTTTCATGTCCCGCCGCTTTCAGTTTGTCCACGGTTTCCCGCAAGGCCCGACGCACCGGGGGATGTGGCATGACGACCTCATCGAACCACAGAACGCCAATGGTGGCCTTTTGGGGCGCGGGTTGTCTCACCCATGGCAAGGGCACGACCGAGGGATCGGCATACCAGGGACGGTCTTGCAGCCAGGTCTCACAGATCAGCTCCAAGTCGCGCAAACTTCGACCCATCGGCCCAATGGCCGACGGAATGGCAATTTGGCCAGGCACCGGAATGGTATTGCCCAGGTAACTGCAACGTCGTGAAGTCGGCTTGATGCCATACAGCCCGTTGAAGGCGGCCGGGGCACGAATTGACCCGCCAATGTCAGTGGCGATGCCGATCGGGGCGCCATGACAGGCATTCAAGGCGCCTTCGCCGCCCGAGGAGCCGCCAGCACTGAGGTTGGTGTTGGCCGGGTTCAAGGTGCGGCCCCAAAGGTTCGATGTGGTTTCCAGAGCCTACGAGACGAAAATGAATCAGCATCAGAATCAGCCTGGCCATCAGCCATCATTTTGGCCCTTCACATGCAACGACTGTACAGTCGGACTGTACTCGTACCATTCCCGTCTGTGGCATGGTCGTCTTGACGTAGACCACGGCCCCGGCCTTGCGCAGTGATTTCACCGCCACAGCATCATCATCAGATTTCCGATCATGCCATGCTGCAAGCCCGAGCGAGTAGTGCATCCCTTTGACGATGGTGAGATCCTAAAGAGACATTGGTATTGGTGGTCAGAGTCTGTCTGGTGTCTGGTGTTCGGTGCGGGTGCGGGTTCACAAATCACAAACCTTTATGCTGACTGGCAACCCGTGCAACGGGCCTACCGGTTGACCCGTCTTCTCCATGATTTCATCCAGCTCCATGGCACGCTTGATGGCGCCCTCGAAATCAATGTCCATCAGGCATTTGACCAGTTGCTGGGCCATGGCGGCCCGTTTGCAAAACGCCACCGTCACTTCTCTGGCAGACCATGTTCTCGATCGGATCTTCTCAAGGATAGTAGTGGCATCGGTTGCATCGGTGATGTCGAGTTCTTGCGGAGTCAGGATCCCAGCGGACTTGAACACCGGCTTGACATTCCGCGGCAAGTTGGAAAGAATCGAACTGGGAATCCGCCATTCTGACGGGATTTTGGCTAGAAGAGCTTCTTGCGCCTTCTATATAAAGGTTGTATGCATGGTTAGTGGTGATGGTGGTGGTGATGGTGGTGGTAACGGCGATGAAAGAAGGGATAGATAGGGCCAGTATCCGTAGTATGTGTGGATGAGAGGGATTGGATCTACTGTACCTGCGATATCTCTTTGCAAGATGGCGACGGCTCTGCCATGATAATTGCGCTTTCTGTTGTGTTGTCCCCAAATCTAGTCTCGATAAGCGATAGAAGGAGTGATGTGACTGAGACGAGTTGATCAATCAATAGTTATAATTTCAGTCCAGGGACTAGATCTATGCTTTTATTAAACCCAACCAACAGTGAAGTTCTGTTCGAGTCCCGTGCGGCTTTCTAGTGGTGGTACAGCAGGTGGGTGAGATTGGGGGACTGGAAGGGCGTGCCATGGCAGCTTAGGACGGCACCAGGTTGATATCAGTATCCGTACTCCGTACATAGGTACTAACTTAATAGTAAACTTGCCTACTGCATACTTATCTTCCACAGCCCAGTAATAAATAGCTGTGATAGGTGGACCACTGGACATTCGAGTGGAAGGTCAGGACGAGAGCTGTCAGGAGTGAAAAGCGGGGTCTGGGTGGAGGGGGCTTAGGGGCCTTAGGCTGGCTACAGTATCAGCCTTGTCTGTTATCCGTGGTGTATTGTAAGCATCGGAGATACCCCAGATACCTTAGGTACAGGAAAGGTATCCGTACTGTATACTGCTCCGTGCTGTGTGGCAACAAGGCATCCCAGGACGAAGTGCCTGAACCGTCAGACGCCCCAACCACTACGCACCTACCTGTAGGTACTTTGGTACATAGATACAATCTTTGTCATGCTTCTTCTGACAATTGCAAAGATGTTGATACCAGCATGATAGCATGCACGGGTTTCGGCTGGGCAAGTCATGGTACTGATTACTAAATATCCAGACCGGGTGCAAATTTCATTCTACAAAGTGAATAGATGCATACCTAAATGCACACTGGGATGACTCCAAGTACAATCTAAACCCCTCGAGCTTGCTTCTCTCTGGCTGTAGGAGAACTTGACAACACGCGCCCGTCATGTTCCATCCCATCCCACTCCTTTCTCGCTGCTCCTCATCTAACCACTTCTTTCGTCAAATACATCTAATCACCACTCTCCACCAACTTTGGCCTGCAGTTATTTCAGAAAATTGAAGTCTTTACGACCCAACTTCTGCCGCATCCGAACCCTTTTCCGCAGGCACAGTGACGGCGACCGAGTCTGCAAGTACCTTCTTGTCATGTTCCAGTTGGACTTGTTCATCTGTGGCTTCGCCTCGGATGGTGGCATCTTCCATGAATTTGCGAGGCACAATGACATTTTCCTCCTTGAAGTAATTGGTGTTGGTGATGCTGCGCATTAGAGTGTAGACCATGCACAGAGCGCCCAGGGCATAGAGACTGTTGTATTAAATGGCAGGTCAGTCAATCGGTCAATCTACTGAGTACATCTCCACATTATGTGGGTGTTGTTAAGGACAGGAGACTTACATGATCTGGACGGTGGTCTGAATGTAGAACTTGACTTTCTGGCCGGCCAGGATGAATGAGATGAACATGCCGAAGCTCGAGTAGGACTTGAGCAAGCCGGCCACTTTGGCCAGGCGGACCGGGTCGTTGGTGGTGGCGCCCAAGGTCCATTCCACCACCATTTGGTAGCCCGAGTAGATGGAGCCGAACAGGACGTACAGGACGAAGAAGCCGCCGAACTGCGAGTCAGTCCAGTCCCAAGCGGGCGACTTGGCCAGATAATCCACGTTGTGAACCTCCATCCAGCCGAGCAGCCCGGCGCAGGCACCGATGGCCAGCGCACTCATGAGAGCAGCGCCGAATAGTCCTCTCCGGCGTCGAGACTTGACACGAGGGTTGTCGAGGATCATGGCCAGGATGAATGGCACGACGAATTGGATTCCTTGGAAGCCAATGTTGTTGACGGTGCGCGTGCGTAGATTAAAACATTTGGCTACAACATCCCCAGTTAGCAAACCCAGAGTCACAGGGCGGGAAGCAACAGAGAGGGTTTATGTGTGCACATTGCTATCACTTACAGCTGACGCTGCTGGCAAGAGCCAGAGCCATTTCACAGGCCAGCATAGGAATGGCCAAGATCAGGTACTTTGGTTCGATGGCGGTCTGGCCCAGGATCTTGAGTTCGGTGGCCATGTGTGGTCGTTTGAAGACGGCAATATGAGTGCCATCGTCACGCACGACAGTGGCGGGATCGACGATGAAGAAAAAGGCGATGAAGATGGCGGCACAGTGAATGACGACGAAGACGGCATACACCGGGGTGGAAACTCCCACGGCTTTGGTCTGATGGAAGTTGGCCCCAAATGCGATCAAGGCACCGACCGTGGCGCCCACGGCTCGGATAGACCACTGTATGCTGATGTACTGTACATAGATAGGGGTCTCCGGTCAGTTTCTGGAGGAGAACAAGAACACCGAGAGAGAGGGAAAGTGAAACAGGACGGAGTGCTCACTAAGCCTTTGCAGTGCTCTTCCGGGTACGAGAATTGCACGTAGGCCGCAGCGGTCCAGAGAAAGCCACTGGTGCATCCCAGCACGGTGCCTCCCAGGTACGGAAACCAGTCGTTCCCGGTGCGGTCAAAGTACCACAGGCCGGCCACGTAGACGGGGTAGCCAATGCCTCCGATCATCAGACATGTCCGCGGCTTCAACTTGTTCAACACAAACCCGACCACCAGAGCGCCAAAGGAGAAGATGCCGTAGAGGATGGCGTTGATATTGTTGGCCACTTCGGCGGATGATGCTTTGCCGCCACCGGCTCCGAGACCCGTTATGGCGACGTAGATACCCGGCAGACAGAAGAGGATACTTCCAAGTCCGTTAGCAATAAGCACATCTCCCCTCTTCACGGGGATCAGGATGCTCACCATCCAACCACAAAATTCTGCACAAAGGGCCGTGTAAGGCGCACCTTGCTTTTCAGCGCTGCGGGGGACGACATGTTAACAAAGGGACTCGTGTATGAGGGCGTGTGCAAGTTTGAGCATGTGGCACCGTAGGGTCGGCAGGGAGACGTTGTGGAGATGGCTGCTTGTTCTTAAATAGTGGCCGACGAGGCTGTCACCATCTGTTCATCCCCGACCTCTACCCATCGAATACCACGATAAGGAAGCAAGAAGGTCAGGACGAAGATCTCGCATCATTCTGAAAAGCTGTACTAGTAGAGAACTTGTTCCAAGCCGTCGATTCTGGGCACTTCCTGGGCATTGTTCGACGAGCTGTCATCTGATGGCTGGTTGCATATCTTGACAAGGTCTCTTCATCGATACTTCTTGGGTGAGGACTGTGATTGGGCCACCTTATCCTTGCCATGGTTGACTAATGGGATTGACCAGGTAGAGTGGCAGGTCAGGACGAAGATAACGGTGCGGTAGTATCCGTTTTACTTATTCGAACGAGGACGGAGCACGGAGTTGGTCGACAAGGCTTGGGCTTAGGGGCTTGGGCTTGTATTGTCTTTTCTTGGAGGCTCCACGGATAGCTGTGACAGCAGCGAGCCACTGTGCTTCTCGGTCGCCCTTTCTCCACTAGTTGCCGTTGTCGCCAGTTCCAAGAGGGCACGGCGCCCGGGGAGTATGTCTATTGTCATGACAAGCGGTGTGCTGCAATATTCAATGGCTGGCTTATTCTGGCCTACGGCCTAAGCCTTCGTCCTGGGCTGCCAACGCCCCCTGGATTCGCACCCATGTGGACAAGAATGAACGATAGACACGATAGGGCGATGAAACCGACTTGACTGTCTGGAGAAAACAATCTCATGTCGAGTCAAGGCATGCCCGGCGCTCAGGTGAGAAGCAAATCAATACAAAAGGCGGCTCTTCTTGCTTCTCTATACGGGCCATCTAGAAAGTCTCCCAGTGCCACTGTCACTTGGCAATTCCGCGCGCTCTCTCTCTCTCCTCTCCCCCTCCCTCCGAGTTCTTCTGTTGGGCCTGACAACTTCTATACAGTCGCCCCTGCAAAATACCAACCGAACCAGAAACCAGAAACCAGAAATCATGGTTGAAGATCTATCCGCGACCCAGCTTCAGCAGGCTGTGGCCGAAGCGCAAGCGCAATATGTTTCACGAAACCCACAATCATTCCAGTTGCACCAAAAGGCACAGCAGTACCTCCCCGGAGGCAACACGAGGACTGTCATCTACACACCACCATTCCCTCTCACATTCTCCGGAGGCAAAGACGCGACATTGACGACGGTGGATGGCGACGTCTATGTCGACTTCCTGGGCGAGTTCAGCGCGGGCATCTACGGCCACTCCAATGCGCGTATCAAGAAAGCCGTGGTGGAGGCCCTCGATGCAGGATGGAACCTGGGCGGGCACGGCGTGTACGAAAAGCTACTGGCGGCCAAAGTGGTGGAGCGCTTCAGGCCGAGCGGGATCGAGCTGGTGCGCTTCACCAACTCGGGCACCGAGGCCAACACCATGGCAGTGGCGACGGCGCTGCATGTGACGGGCCGGACCAAGGTACTGGTCTTCACCTCGGCCTTCCACGGCAGCACGTTTGTCTTCCCCAAGGCGCCGATGAAGAGCACGACGACGGCCAACCTGAATCTCCCGCACGAATTTGTGCTGGCCCCATTCAACAACATGGCCGAGACCCAGGCGATCGTGGCAGCCTTGCCGGCCCAGAGCCTCGCGGCCATCATGGTGGAGCCGGTGCAAGGCTCGGGCGGCTGCCGACCAGCCACGCGCGAATTCATGCACTACCTTCGCCAGACGGCGGACGAGCAGCGGGCCATCCTCATCGTCGACGAGGTCATGGCCTCGCGGCTGGGGTTCCACGGCTCGTGTGCGAGCCTGGGCATCCGCGCCGACCTGGTGTCGCTGGGCAAGTATATCGGCGGCGGCATGACCTTTGGCGCCTTCGGGGGCCGACGCGACCTCATGGAGCTGTTTGACCCGGCCCGAGCCCTGCTCGCCCACCCGGGAACTTTCAACAACAACGTCGTCAGCATGGCGGCCGGCGTCGAGGGCTTGGACATCTACGACGCCGACAAGGTGGCCAGCCTCAACGCCACGGGCGTCAGCATGAAGAAGGCCATCCAAGCCATCCTCATCGACGAGGGCATCTATCCCCGCGGTCCCGACTCGTCGTGGGACCTCATCGAGGTCGACAGTTTCCACCGCCCAACCATGACCCGTGTCTCGACGTCGGGAGAAGCCGACGCCGAAGCCACGGCCGAGTCGTTCAAGTTGGTGAAGCTGCCACTCATGTTCGTGACCGGACGAGGAAGCATGCTGAACCTGCGCTTTTCCGGTCCCCAGGAAGCCCAATGGAGTGCGCTCTTCTATCACCACATGCTACAGAACAACATCTACATCGCCCAACGAGGTTACAGTCCTCTGAACTTGGAGCTGACCCAGGTCGACGTCGACGCCTATGTCTCGGCCATTCAGTCATTCGTTTCGAAGCACAAGACCCACTTGAGAGCGCTCTCGTGATAAAGATAAGAAGAAGAAGGAGAAGGAGAACGTGACGAGGCCTCGGCCCCGGCCCACGTGTGACCGGTTCAGACAGCGAAAGATCCAGATCCAAGGGAATCATGGAGTCATGGTTCGGCCTTAGCCATCAGGTCATGTGTGTCAAAGGTTGAAATGTTCGATGTTCTCTATCAAAGGGTCGCAGGGGGAGCGCATGCTATATAGTATAGATAGCACCTAAACCAGTCTTCTGGTTAAAGCACAAGACTGGGAATGCCTAAGTTTGACAGTACTGAGTACTGAGAGGTGATATGTAGACGAAGACCAGTGAAATACTGCTCACCACCAGTGGCTTTCTGGTCAAGACCAGTGAAGGGCTGTTCGCCACCAGTGGCTTGCTGTTCAAGACCAGTGACTTCATCTCTCATTTTCGCCTAGCTCAGCGAGAATTTCTACCGCCGACAAGTGCAGGGGCGAGGACATTGGAATCCACCAGGCGGAAGCGTCAACATCGACATCAACATCGACGGGTCAAGAAGCGAGTTGACTATACCAGTATGTACGAGTATTCAGGCTGTCCTCCATGTGCGGGATTTGAAGTCTTTTGGCCCAATGAACCAGTCGGCCTGGCCCTTCTTACAAAGACGCTGGTCTATCTGTATGGATATAGGTATGGGGAGCTGATCTATGTGTATGGGTATAGGGATGGGGAGCTGATTCATGTGTATGGGTATGGGGATGGGTAGCACTTCGTTTGCGCGATACGAGTCCAAGTGTTGATCCAATAGACGTTTGGGATGCAGTTCCGAAGAGCAAATATTCCACTCCAGTCAATGGCATTCCATTATATACATCACTAGAGTACCCATTTTGAAACTGCCGTCAATCACCACATGTCTCATGTCTCGGCTTGGAGTCCCCTGTGCCAGTCTTCTTATCCAAAGTCCCCTAGCCAGTCTATATGTCGAACTTCTCACCTACCAGCTCCTCACTCAACTTCCATAAACGGTCTGCATTCTCTTTGCTGCTGGCATACTCGTAGGGGTCCTGGATGTGCGCGTCTGCGAGGTAACTACCGCTCTGCGCCTCGATGCTGGGATCCAGCGCGGCAACCAGCGTGGTGGTGATGCCCTGCTCGATAGGTTTGGCCGGGTCGTCGGCGAAGGGAAAGGGGCGGCCCGTATTCTTCAAGGCAACGACCTGGAACGCCGCTATTTCGTCTTGGAAGTTAAGGTGGGTCGCCAAATTGGTGTTGAAGATCGCTCCAGGGTGCACGGCGAAGCTGGCAATCTTCCTCTCACGTAGCTTGTTGGCTAGCCCGACCGTGAAGAGGATGTTGGCCGTTTTCGACTGCCCGTAGCCTGACCATGGGTCGTACGCCGCTCCATTGGAGAAGTTGGGGTCGTCGAAACGCACGGGACCGAGCTTGTGACCTAGGCTGGTCAAGTTGACGATCCTGGCTCCTGGACCGGCGGCCAGGATCTTGGGGAATAGCCGTTTCGTGAACAGGAAGTGACCCAGGTGGTTGGTTGCAAACTGAAGCTCAATGCCGTCTTTGTTGGTCGTGTACTCTTTCACAGCCATGATTCCCGCATTGTTGATGAGTATGTCCAGCTTGTCAATTGCGCCGCTCACCGTCGCTGCAGCGGCACGCACGGAATCGAAGTCATCCAGCGAGACCGGCACAAATGTCACCTTGACCTTGGGGTTGAGAGCCTTGATCCGTAATATGACAGCCTCAACCCGTGGCTGAGACCGTGCAAGCAGAATCAGGTGTGCGGGATTGGCATGTGCAAGGGCCTCGGCCGTCTCGCCTCCCAGAGTATTGTTGCTGGCGCCTGTAATGACGACTGGTGGGACGACACAGTTAGCAGGGAAAGTCCATATGAGAGATGGTCTTGTGCAATAGCCACCACCCCGCACCTCCTTCAGCATGGACGATCTCGTCCGTCAGAGATGTCAAGTCGGCAGAAGCACGAATGTTGAGGGCAATGAGGGTGTCAAGAAGTGTGAGTGACTTACTGGTCTTGCCATCAACTCTGTCGGCCAACGCGTTGACGACTTCGACGCCTGTGGTTTCACGTGTGAATGTCGTCATGGTGAGTGGCAGGGCGGTAAATCTCACTCGGTTCTGGTTCTGGTTCTAGACAGGCTGATTGCGATCAAGATGCAGTGAGATACACAGTTGTTGATTGATGAACTGAGACCCTCCCCAGGGGCCAGCAGCACATCGGAGCCATCTTAAATATTCTCTCAGAGCACGTCTTCACCAGCACTAGCTGCAGGAGTCAGGAGTTAGGGAATCTATCTCCATGACAGGGGCACCGGGGAGCTTCGAAGGTACGGGTCCCAGTGGCAGGCACAGGCACATGCGCACGGCCGCATCAAAGTCGTGACAATATGACAAAGTCTAAGTGGAAGCGGAGAGCGGCCGCACACGTGACTGGGTGTGTATTAGTCACCCAGCGTCCGCGGCCGCAGCGGGTGGCAGATTGTGGCAATAATTCCACTACGGCCGCACAGCTACTCCTCCTCCCTCGGGTTTACTCGGTGTACGGAGTACATTGTACATACACCTGACAGAGTACACATGTGGCAAGCTTAAAGAATGAGTCGAGCCTCAATGCACAAATGCCTCATTCGGGCTATCGAATCCAATCAGCTTTTGCAGTGAATACTGCCAAAGCCAGAGCGGTAAGAGAAGTATTGATAGTACACGCATCAAGCGAATGCCTGGATACTCATAAAGGGGGTATCTCCGCAACAACAAATCCAGTTTCCCAATCCAAAACCAATCGTGCGCGTAGCGTAGCCATACCTGGTGAGAGCCCTTGGTGGCCTCGTCCACAATGCCCCCGACTCAGACTATTACCCACGTCTCGCCCTCGGTCGAGGCGTTCAGATGTTCTCGATGACTCTTGCATTCATCGCCTGCTGGAATCCATCATTGCTGTCCACGTGGAAGGCATTGCCCGGGTTGTGCTTCGAGCTGCCTTCACCCCCCGTGTGTTGCTGTTGCATCAAGTCGGCCATGTTGGTAGGCATTGTCTGGTTGGTGGCAGGAAGGAAAATGACCTTGCTGTTGGCCGTCTTGGCCATCGCCTGCATGGCTTCGAGATATCGGATTTGCATGGCAGGCGCTGAGCTCAAGATATCGGCGGCCTGTCTCATGAGTTTGGCAGACTCAACTTCGGCGCGAGCCGCAATAACCTTGGATTCACCAATCCGCTTGGACTGAGCGGCCATGGACAGGGAGTCTTGCAAGTCGTTGCTGAAGATGATGTCTTTGATCAACATGGACTCGACCTGAACACCCCAGCCTGAGGCCACGTCCTCGATAATCTCTCCAATGGATTGGGCAATCTCTTCACGACGCTCAATGACATCTTGGAGAACACGGGCACCCACGACGTGGCGCAGTGTGGTTTGAGTACGCTCCACCAATGCCTGACGGATGTTGGAAATACCAAATGCCGCCTTATGAGGAGATGTGATGTGATAATAGATGACCGAGGTCAGATTGAGGGTGACATTGTCCTTTGTCATACACACTTGACGCGGCACTTCGACAATCTGAATTTTGACATCAACCTGAATGAGGCGTTCCGAAAGAGGGTTGATCTTGACCAGACCGGGATCGACCGCGCGGTAGAAACGACCGAACTTGGTGACCAAGCCCACATTGCCTTGCGACACTGGTTTGTAGGGATTGGGGCAGATGATACAGCAAGGGATGGCACCCATGAAACCAATGCAGCTGCCGAGAGAGTTGACTGCGTTGAATGTCAGTGATGAGGAGCAGTCAAGTCCGCGGTTGTAACATACTCATTGACCCGTACCAGCCGTGGGTTTCTACATCAGTGTCGCCTTGGAGGATTTGAGCGTATGATGGCTGCAAATCTTCGCGCCGCGGTGGCTGCACTTTGATGACGCCGCCATTTTGAGGGCGGAAACCGACGGGCGGGGTGGGTGCTTTGCCGTTGTCGAGACCCGAGTTTCGAGGAGAGTCCATTGTTGATATCTTGGATGAAGGGAGCAAGTCGCGTGTGGACGACAGGATGGCGGAAAGGCAGTGTTGCTGTGCGACAACAACAACAACAACAACGTTGAGGGCGCAGTGAGGGTGACTGTTGAGCAGCTGAAACTGAAACCGGAGGAGAGGGGTTGTTTGTTTCGGCTCGAGACTGAATGCGGCAGATAGGGAGATATATCGCACCGTAAAATAGAGAGACAAGGGATGAGATGGAGAAGGGTGGACTACAAGATCAAAGATGTCATGGAGAGATATATGTGTTATCGACTTGGTGGAGTGAGGCGAAGGTCGAGCCGTCAGATGGGACGATGGGACGATGGGACGGTAGGCGCAGGCATGGACGGCCAGAGGGTCAATCAGACCGGCAGCGGGGAGGCGGCGTGGTGATTGGCGGTGGAGAGGGCTTAGGGGCATAGGTTAAGGCTAACTTGAAGGTTTGAGGAGGCCCGAATTCTACTGGCAGGGTGCTGAGCTGCCTTACCAACAGTAGCCATACCCATGTTATTTCTGGAACATGGGGCATGCCACCGCCTGCACCTGGCACCTGGCACCTAGCACCTAGCACCTAGCACCTCCCACCTAGGCGGGCACCTTCTAAGGGCTCAAGGCCTAAGGCTAAGGCTCTACCACACTCTCCCCCGCTGATCATAACTGGACCATTCTTCTCCAGCCGAACAGACCCTGCGTTGTTAGCTACTATCTACTATCCGAACGGAGTATTGCCTCTCGTATTCGAATGCGTGCAGAACGCAGTTTGCCTCGTGATCGTTCATTGAATATTCTAGTCTTCAACAAATCAGCTTGGGGCATCCCTGTATGCTTTCTCCGGGGGGCTGTGCCATCTCTCCATCTCTCTCTCCACTCCACGGTCCAACTCATGTTAATCATGTTAATCATTCTGCCCTGGGCTTGGCCATGATTCGTTCCTCTACCAATTCTGATGCACACTGTGCGGCACATCCGCTCACTACCGTTGGTGCTGGCCCCGACAACCCAGGCCTTGTCTGCCGTATTGCCGTGCAACACGGAACCGAACTGAGCAATGATAACGCAAGGATCCCTCGGGAAACTCTGGAATAGAGCTCGCCACCCACGTTTCACCACTTAGGTTCACGGCAAGAAAGCTTAGCCTCCTGCTGCGGTCATCTGTCCTGGCGGTAAGCACAGTAAGTACTAGGTACCTACCTAATCCGTACCCCGTACTATTACATGTAATAATGTGGTAGCAGGATGATCTCCAGGATGACTGACAACCTCTCAGCCTCGGCCATGTACCCGGCGACACAGCCCAAATTGGACCCTCAGTGATGCATGTAGGGAATGAGCCTTGCCTTGGCAACAGAAATTACACTCAGATCCTTCGTACCTCAGATAATACGGATACTGGTACTCCGTACTGGGTGCGTACTGTAGAATTCTACAAACTGAGATCGATTGCTTGCCGCCACTTTCATTTTACCTTCTCTTCTTGTTGCGGAGAGACACCCTACCTCCTACCGTCTGTCGACTCGGTGCCCAGCTTGAATATGCTAATTATATCATGCTGTCATCACGGAAATCTCTGCTTCTCGTGTGATCGTCGATCATCCACCGGCCAAGGCTCGCACTCCATTGGCAACTTCATGGCACGTCGAAAACGGTTGTCGGCATCATGACTTTGGTATGGTCCGGGGCAACCTTCGAGAATATTTCCATTACGGAGGAGAGAATGGAGGCCAAATTAAGGGTCTGCCTCGTGATGCCCGTCTGGCATAACGTTAGAGCGGCAACTCTCCGCCACCTAAAAATAGAGTACCGGCCATTTTTGACGTCATCCTATCATATCCTAAATCTTTTTCACGAGACTCAATATCGCTACAATATCAATTGCGGTTTTGACATCATGTACTACTTCAGACGATGTTACGTATATTGCCAGGTGCCGCTCTTGCCGAAAAGTTTGCTGATATCCTACATGCTTTGCCTTGTGAGCTAAGGTAAGCGTAGCAGAGGAACGGGTTGCAGTTCTCAACGTAACCCTCCAAAATCTTCTCCAGCAGCGTGCCGCGACCCTGGCCTCAAATATGGGAGTGACTAGGTTTACAACGCAAGGCATACATACTGTGTCGGTGTGTCTGAGCCCCTTGGGATCGGCCCTACCAATACCAGTCGGCCATGTCGGCCTCCCGTCAACCGAGAGCCTACAGTACATGCCGCACATGATGCCCACCTTTCCGTACTCACGATGATACCTCGACACTTCGTTCTTCTGCAACCGAAGACGCTATTGATGGTCACTCTTTGGCCGAATCCTCAGGAAGTCCTGAGACCCGCAGCAAAATGCAAGGCGCTCGGGCGGCCAGCCCAGACATCAAGACCGCAGTCAAGCAAGAATCTTCAGGGGCCCTACATGCAGGTTTAGACTCTCTACAGGTCGATAGATAGTACACCAAAGTGCCATGTTTGAGATGTTAGAAGTCGCCTGATCCAATGTGACATTTTTGGCCTTCTAACCAGAATGTTTAGCTCCATCGTACATTTCTACAGGGCAAATGGCGAGCAGATCTCTGTTGCCCTTCCTGCGATGCCCCTCTCTTCCTCGGGCAGGAGCGCTATACCAAACCAGGTCTTAAGAGCTATTATTCTTTCGTGTTCAGTTTTCGCCTCGACGACCACTTCCTTTGCCGCCTCACCGAGTCGTCTCTCTATCACGTTGCCGGACAAAATGACAGTACCCAAGGGTTTAGTGCGGGTTTCGTCGTCTACCAAAGTCTTGACCAGGACCAAACGGTGAGTGAACCAACTCCGGGGATCTTGGCTGGTGCGATAGTTGATGATTTCGAAATCTGCTGGCAACCATTCCAGTTCAGAGAAGCAAAAGCCACCCGCCCAGGCTGGATTGGTGGTGTTGCGGGTTTCGAGCACCCAGAGGAATTGTGAAGAGTCGGTATTTGGCGCGATCGGACGATAGACAAGACGAACCTCTGCACCAGGGACAGATTTGTACACCGCATCGGAACCCTTGATCAGCGGAAGGGGACGGACGGCCGATTGAGAGCCAAAGCCTACATCAACTAGGTATTTCTGGTTGTTAATGGTAACCAGGATAACTTCATGCTCCCAGCCGGCAAACCCTTCGGGGGGCTTCCCCTGTGGGCCATGACTGACTCTGGCACCAGTCACGTATGATTGATAGCCCAGGGATCTCAAGACGGTGGCGAAGAAGGCATTGTTCTCCATGCAGTAGCCACCGAGCTTCCTCTCGACGATCTTGTGAAAGAGGGCCTCGGGATCGAGCGTGATGGTGCGATGCCAGGAATAGTGTAGAGCGACATTGCCCCAAGGATTGAAGCCCAGTTGGCGGATTTGGAGACTTGCCAATGCGGTCAGCGGGTCGGCTTGGATCTCGGCTTCCAAGGTAGCAAGGGTGTAGGTTGGATCTGGGGCGATGCAGGCAACATAGGCGGCCAGCTGGTCGGTCGTGTAGGTTGGACGGTGAGAGAGTGATGAGGCTTCAGGTATGGGAGTCATGGTGACGGTATTGGTGTTGTTTTCCAGGTGCGCAAGGTGTGCAAGGTGCGCCGGATCGTGCCAGGGGGGACGGAGCGGGGGAACGGAGCGGGCGGCTTAGTACTGAGTACGGATACTGTCTGTACATACTCTGTACCTACCGGTAGGTCCTAGGTACGGATATCATGTCTGTCGAGGTACCGAAGTTGTGCTGATGTGTACGGAGTATGTACTTTACCTTACGTACTGTAGGAGTACGGACGGAGTGCCTTAGCCGTCGGCAGCCTGCAGCCTGCAGCCGTGATAAGCGAGCGAACAAATGAAAGGCCCTTTATTAGCCTCCTCTAATCATGCGTACAGTAGGCAGTGAATCAATCCCCGATCCGATGGGAAAGGGTCAGGCACAGGCAACATCATCCCTGATTCCTCCTCGTCGCCAGTTACTGTCCTGTGGGTTTCCTTATACCGTCTCCAAGCAGAGCATCTGCATTTACGGAGTACTCAATGCTCACAGCACCTCCACTGCTGTCCTGCCCACCAACTTCGAACATTGCCTGCGCCACCTTCCAGTCCAACTGCGTGCCATCGTGATCGACCTAAGGAACCCGCAACTTGAGCCTGAAACCCCACCGGCAAGCTCCCAAGACCAACCAGGTTGACATTTCCCTTTCGCCGAACATGAGCCCGAAGCCGGTTCGATAGCTCTCTCGCAATCATGAAGGATACTCTTCGCAAGAAGCCCAAAGCTAGCTCTAGCGGCGATGACCTCGACACCGCTGCTCAATCATCCGAATCTGTCTCTCCTAATCCCTGGGTCAACGAGGCGTTTCCTGCCGCCGACGGCGAACTTCTCTCTCCCCAGGCATCCAAAGCCTCCAAGAGCTCTGACACCACCTCTCCTGACCAAAGTGTTAGCGTTATCCCGCCAACCACAGACACAGAAGAAAGGTCCCAATCACGTCCACCAGCTACTCAACATCTGAACGTCCCCGATGTGAGCAATGGCACCGAGGAGCCGGTCAAGCCAACTCGTCGAAGAAAGACGATTACCAAGACTCCTCATACTTTTGAACTAGAAGTCGACCTCAATCCCACCAAACAAACGGAACAACCACCGCTATCAACCATGGAGCCACCCAAGCAAGAGATGCCTGGGCCCAAGAAGAAAAAACGTGTATCTCAACCACCTCTACCCAATGGCAACTCCACCGGTGCGGTCACCATCAGTGCAGTGGCATCAACTCAGCCATCAACTCGGTCAAACTCTCCTGGGCCAGCTCCTACTATTTCCGCCGTCGCCTCTCCATCTACACCAGTTCAATCGCCTCCACCTCCTTCTACCACCGTTCCTTCTCCATTATCACCCAAAACAGCCACGTCGGCTGGTACTCCCGTGAACCCCTTTACCACGCACCGGCCTAAGAAGTCCATTTCTTCATCTACCGCCCAAGCTGCTGCATCTAATCCATGCCGCTTCACACCTCCACCTCTTCCAAAAGAGGCTTTTCATGGCAAAGTTGTGGTCCTCACGAATGGAGCCAGCCAGACTGGAAAGTCTCTGGTCCGCCAATTTCACTCTGCAGGATGCCGCGTCATATTTGGCGACACCAACAGCGACCAAGCCCGCAAACTGATCTGCAGTCTGGGGCCTCCTCACATTGTACACTTCAACAAATGCGATATGACCAAGTATTCTGACATTTTGGAATTGTTCAAACTCGCCATCACCATGTACGGCCGTGTGGACCATGCCATTTTCGGCGTCGGTGACGACGGGGGCCAAACATGCACTGTTGGGGAGGGCGAGAAGGGTTGGTTCGAGGACCGTAAGGGCTTCAACAAGACCGCCCGGATGGCTTACTCCGAGGTCGAAACGGAGCCAACTGGGTTAGGCGACGTCATGACGGCCAGCATTCGTTTTGCGCGAATTGCTCTAGCATATCTCAAATACTCACCCAGAACGAAAGCGAAGAAGTCAATCGTGAACCCTTACTCCACACCACAGCCTGATTCGACGGCATCCGAGCCGGGAAAAGACGACCGGAGTCTCACATTCATCACCAGTATCGCGGCTTTCAAAGATACACCTCTCCTACCTATCTACCAGGCCACCCAACACTCCATTCTAGGTCTAGTACGCAGTTTACGTACCACAATAGATCCCGATCCCCAGAGAGACGGCGTACGGATCAACGCCGTGGCGACCAATATCATGGTGCCGTGTGCCATCGCCCAATCTGGTGGACGCATGTCAGTCCAGCTTCCTCCCGACCGGCCTGAAGACATTGCACAGGTGGTCGCGGGTGTCGTTGCGACCAACTCGTCCACAGCGGCCTCAACCGAGGCTGGAGGCGACACGGGCATCACGAACGGCGGCGGGATCTGGTACGAAAAGGGGTTCGAAAGGGGCGTGCGCGAACGCTATTTGCACGGTCGAGTGATTTACAGTGTGGGTGTCCTTTGTTGGGATGTTCAAGAGGGTTTGGATCGAAGTGAACCTGTGTGGATAGGTGCGAGGCCGAGCGAGGCGCTAGCAAAGGGGATGGGCGGACTGAATTTGACTGCAGGAGGAACTGGTGCTAGTGCTGGTGCTGGTGCTGGCGGTAGTTGGATCTTGGATCTCTCTTGAATCGGACCAGCAAAGAGCTAAATATTTAGGCGCATGTGAGAAAAGCTCCTCTACTACCAGCTAACTGTCAAACTTAGGCGCATTCACAGCCTTCTCTTGTGGCAGGGAATGTATAATTGGCACGGCAAACAACCGAGAAGCCAGTGTATCCGTACGAGGCTGAGGCTAAGGTATGTGCTAGGCGAGCAGGAATTGCTAGTGTTGCCTTCTCGGTCCCCTTTCCTTTGGCCGCTACTATGTGATTGTGTACAGCCTCAAATGCTTAGGTACCTATCAGTAGGCATGTGTAAAATCTGAAACGACCTGCCCGGGTCATTATATGTACTCTGTACTCCGTACGGTAGGAGTCATCCGGTCCACTGCAGTGTAGTGCTCACTCAAGTTGCCACAACACGCCACAGTTTATATCTGTCAATGCTTGAGCCCTGGATGAACGTTTCGACAGAGATCTCCTGGGTATATATTTTATCTGAAAGAAAGACAAACAGATTAAGACAAACAGATTATGTATTGATTGGTGTATCATAAGGAGTGCAATATCAGTATCGAAGCATGACATATATTCAACCCCTCCTCCATTTTAACTCCACCTCCCCTTCAAAGACTGACACCATTTATGCCCAATAAACCACCCTCAACCCTACTATATACACAAGATGAGAGAATGAAGCCATCTTGTGTCGGATTCTTATCAGACTCAACCAACAGCCCACGATTGCCTTATCAGACTGGAGGATGTTTTGTCCGTCATGGTCATATGGTTGCTCATGGGACCCCAATATTCAAGACATTTCTGCTTGTCCTAGAAGGGGTAATAAACCAAGGTCCAGGTAGTGAGTCCTATGGGAACCACGGAGGCTCAGGAAACAACAATGAGGTCCACGTCGGTCGATTGAAACCTATCCAAGTCGACGTCCCAACATATTCCAGGACATACAAGGTGAATTGACATCGAGGCGCAATTAGTCGGTAGAGGAGTGCTCGTTGGCAGGAAGATGATACTTCCAGGTGTCGTAAGGGGCACATTGCGTATAACCAGTCGGGGCACGGACACCGCGGATCGTAGAACCGCCATCAGCTCGCTGGAGTGTCTTGTGTCGACAATGGATGACGTGGTCGTAGGAAATCAACTCCATAATAAGAGGTTCTTGATTTCTCATGGCACGAACCAGTTTCTCCCAGGCGTAGATACAGTGGGTTACGTGGTAGTCTTGAGCCACGTAAACCGCATCGTGTTCGCCCTTTCTCATCTCTTCCAAGGTATAACTTGTTGTCGCTGAGGAATCAACATACCACGTCCAGTTACCCACATCCAGGAAGCGGTTTGAGAGAACTTCGTCGAAGCAAGCTGCGGGCGTCCAGAGTTGCATCATCACGTCAAAGACACAACCTTTCGCGCGAGCTTCATCTGCTGAATATCCACAGTTTTGGATTGTGTCGGCAGAGGGGATCGCATCGGTCTCCGTACCGGTATTGGTACCATCCAAGACAACGGTTGGGAGTGCACTGGTCGATGTCTTCGTGGACGTGGCTAGGACGGCATCGGCACCGGCGGTGGCAGTGGCGGCCGGAGTGGTCCCGGACTTATACGAGACCACGGCAGATGAGATTGTAGCCAGCACAGCTGCAATCACGGCAACAAAGAGTGTCCCCGTCGCAAGCGAAAGCAGGATTGACTGCTTGCCCCATCCCGATTTCACCGGCCCCTCCTTCTCCGCGAGGGGAAAGGATTCATCGTTTGCTGAGACCGAGCGGTAGTGGTGATTAAGGCCCATTCTGGCGGTTTCAAGGCGATGCCGGAGATTCGAGAGTGGTTATTCGAGGATGGTCCGCGTGATTGGTGAAAAGACGCGTGGAGTGGCAAAAAAGGTGTCGCGATGGACGAGGAAAGAGGGCAACTGGACAGGGGTCGCCCGAAGGGACAAATAGAGAACTTATAAACGAGTGCGAGTTGCCGCTGCAACAGGATGCCGAGGGGGGGAGGATGCGATCGAGTCGAGGGTTGATGGATGTGCAATAGGTTATGAAATAGTTCGAGAAGTTGTTGTTGGAGGGAGAGGAGGGTGTTTTTCAGTGACCAAGAACCTGCTCAGCTGCGGCTCGCTGGTGTCTCTGGATCGGCGGTCCACTGGCCCTAAGCCTGGCCAGAGCCTGTGTTATAGGTTGTAGGCGAGCGATCAGGGGGCGGACAGCGCAAGAGACGAATGGAAAGAGGACTGACGGGCTCGGTCAACCCACTCGCCTCTCAGGGCCTTTTTGGGTTTGGCCTGTGCACACCTTCGACGTTGCTAGAATCACGAGATGCCGGGGGTCAATTTTACATTATCGATAAGAAATTGCGCCCAGGCTGCGCCCTCGGAAAGGGGCGACACCTACGATACCCTGGAGGCTGTAAGGACAGTACTGAGCTTGTCACCTGAGAGGCTTGTCACCTGAGAGGCTCCTTTTCCGCAGACATCACCTGTCTCTGAGCACCACGCAATTTTACCTGCTGTCTGTCAATGCATGTTGCTGTTACTAACCCACCATACCTAAACCTGGCCTATCGCCAGTGAGCCCCTAAGCCTTGGTGGTGTCAACGCATGCATTTTGCTATTTTCTCCTCGTCACTCTCTACCTCCTCAGTTTGCCCAGTTATTCGAACGATTTATCTGTACGGAGTCCTTCCCGAGCACGGTACTCCGTACGGGTATGGTAGGCGCCTTCAGTGTCGAACCCCAGAAAAATCAGGCTGCAGAATAACGCTTCAGCCACAGCCGTCTAGCCGAAGCACAGCTAAGTGGCTCAATGGCCCCTCGACTCTCAGGCAGACACCAAAGAGGCCAATCATCTTGTCGTATTCGTATCTCCAGCCTATAATGCGAGCCTCCATGCCTTCCATTCGATCGAAAGTGATGTAACATATTTATATGTCACTCTCGCTTTACAGCCTTGTGATGCGAGTGTTTTGCTGACCTTAGTGTTTATATTTTACCTCAATTTCTCCCTGCGAAAGACAGAAGACGCAGTTTCTTCACGTATCTAGGACCAGATATCAGGAAACATGGGCAAACTCAATACTGCCCACCCTCCTACGAGAGAAGTCTCGACGAGCTTCCCCCGCATGGAACCTCCTCCGCCCTATGAAGCATCTGTCCGATCCTCCTCCTCTGCTAACAGCAATGACCGCCTTTACCCACAAGGAGACAGCCAGGCGCAGTCGCGGTCACAGTCACAACCACAACCACAAGTCCAGCAGCTCCAGATTGAACAGCAATCTCCGACGGGACAGAGCGATCCCGACAATAAGAGGAAGACGGAAGACGGTTGCTGTACATTTGGCGACGGCGCAACAGGGTGTATGGTCTATGGAGATCATTCAGAAGGTCAATAAGATTCCACAGGCCTGCCGCTTTGCAGATTTACCAGGCAGACTGACCGTGCTCCAGGTTGCCTGGTTTATGGCGACAACGCAAACGGATGGTGGGTATTCCCTATGATGGCGAGCAATGAGGTCTTTTTCATCGACCTTTGTAAACCGTGGTTGGGCAGAGAACTATTGCAGTGCCCTACAATGCTGGTCGTTGCAATCTATTGTACTCAGTTGGAGGTTACCCAGATGCCTCTTCACTGAACACCTGCGTGCAGTTCAAGTCCGACCCTTGCGATTGTGGCTATTGACAAGCTCTCCGGCCCGACACGAAGTTTGTCGGCTGTGGACTGTCAACTCTGAAACAAGAGCTAATCTGATCTCTCAACAGTCTCAATTACGAGTCCCGTGAAGGATGTTGCCTTTGGAGAGCGACAGGCGGCGGGTAAGCTGAGATTTTGACAAGATAACCGAGACTTTCAGAACCAACTGATTGTGATGTGCCAGGTGTCTGAACTTCAACACGAAGAAGTCAGGCTGTATGCAGTGCGGCTGAGACTTGGGGAAACTACACGTTTAGATCGCATCGGGCGGCTTTATCGCGTTAATGATGTTTCCGGGATAAGAGTATCATCGGCAACCACTTTATGAGATATTCTCTGCAGATTTCTGTCAGGCGTTCTTGGACCATGATTTGTTGTGGGCAGGTCCCGTCAACCTAGCAAGAGGAACAATCTCAGGCAGCACATTTGCAATCATGCTCGGATTCGTCCAGAAGCTCAATGTTACTACTACCTATCTTTGAGCCGATGGGACACACTGACTCTTTCAGGTGTCTCCCAATATTTGTTCAGACCTGGGAAGGGAAGGTCGGCTCAGCCGCTGGTCACACCTTACACCTTGGAGCCAAGGAGAACACTGACTTGAAGTGGTTAAGCCCACTGGCGTGCGACAGCGGACTTGGAGCAACTCGCCCATCCTAGGCCACGCCAAAGCTCGTATTGCTTCCATTCAATGCATGTATACAGCCAACGGCTCTGATATGGAAAATATGGTGCAGTCTGTTCGGCCGGCGTTGCTGTGAGCCTGCTTACACTGTTCCCGCGGCAGGTGGATGACGGTAGCCAGACATCTCACGGTCGGGTTGCCTTGCATCATCTAGATCTTGATACACCCAATCTTTGGATTCTGGTGTGATAGCCCCCATCAAAGGAAGGAATGATTCCGTTTCCCGTTCGCGATAACCTTTCAACTTGTGCATGCTCTGCTCCACCCGTGATTTGTGGTTGTAGCTCGCGTGTCGTGGCGCCATTGGTCCACGCAAGCACTCTTGATTCTCTGGGTATCATGACTCCATATGGGTACCAACAACTTCCCAGGTAGTGTTGCTATGTTGTGACATATGAACACCTTGAAGCCGATCCACTGGCACACCGGACAAACTTACGCAGTCGTGGTTAGCTGGCCATATCACGGGCCTGGTAGGGCATCTGTCACAACTGATCTCTCTATACGAGTAGCCCGCTCGCATATCCCTCGACTTCGTGTCAAGTTGCCAATGGTGTGGTACCGGAAGACAGATGTGTATGTACACTGTGGATACCCGTACAGTGAGCAGTCGGACTAACTGCTAGCTGCTAGCTGCTGAACCACCTTCCCTCCATCCTACGCCGTACTACTCCCTTAGTTGCGCATTGGCATCAAAATGACATGGGGCGTGAATGGCTTTGAGAGTGGCCGCAGATCGAAGAGCAGGGTGTGAATGGTAGGGAGGACGAGAAGACCCGAATTGGCAGAGACAATGAGGGACCACTAACTGGCCTGCATGTCATGTCAGCAACGTCCGAGATCTTCCTCTTTGCTCTTCCTCCGGGAATGTTATAAATGGCGGCAATGGGGTCGTTTCTGAGTCCCGTCCCCGACTCTCACCACTCCCGGTATTGGACAGTACAGACACGATCGAGCGAACCAAACAAACCGGACAGAGGTGAGTGAGAAGCCCCATACACGGACTACCTCCTGCCTTGTCAGAGTCCTGACCGAGAGACCGCTACAGACACGTACAGACACGACCATCTTCTCGATCCAGCGGGGCCCCCGAGATATCCAAGACGTACGTTACGAGCGGAAACCCAGAAAAGAGTCGGAGATAGAGTCATTGAACGTGCCTTAACGCTCGATGCCAGTCACTTACCAGTCACTGGATAGTGTCTCGACATAAGGGTAAACCAGCAGTACATTACTACTACGAGTGCACTGTTTCAGCGTTGTTGCCGTATCGACACAACAAAAGACTCCTTAGACGTTCCATCACTCTTGTGTGTGCTGATCAAGCTAATTCTGCACTGAGTGTGCTCTCTCTCGCTTCCTGCTCCCCAACGCGGTGTCTCATATCCGCCGGTCGACCTTGAATCCTCACCTGCCACGAAATACGCCAACATGTCCTCCTCTTCATACGACTACATCATCATAGGTGGGGGTGTCGCCGGCTTAACGCTTGCGTCGCGGCTCTCCAAGCTCCTCCCACGCAGTGAAACCAAGCAGATCCTCGTCCTAGAAGCCGGCACCGACCCATCAAAAGCCGACTATATCCTCTCGTCCACCGGATACCATCTCGCCCGTGAATCAGAGCATGCATATATTTTGGACGTGGAAGCAAACCCGCACCTCAACAGACGCGCAGCCCAGGTCAGCGTCGGCAAGGCTTTGAGTGGCAGCGGAGCCATCAATGGCAGTGCCTGGACGCGAGGGCCAAAGGTCGACTATGACTACTGGGCGAAACTGGTGGGTGACGATGCCTGGTCATACGACAAGCTACTGCCGTTCTTCCGCAAGACGGAACAAGTCGTCGATGGGCAAGGAGAGCCCATAGCGGAGACGGAGAGAGACGAAATCCATCACGGCTACGACGGAACCCTGAAGGTCGTGCCGATGAAAGCCAATCATCCAAGTCGTCATTATCCCCTGCGTGAAACCATCCAGAGGGCATGGGAAGAGGCCGGGGTCAAGTACAACCCGGATGGGAATAACGGAAATCAGAACGGCTTGACGGAGATGGTCGAGCTCTGGGTCAAAGGCCAGCGTCAACTACCGAGCCAGGCCCTGGATCTGTCTCGCGTCGAGATCCGTGATTTCAGTGTCGTGTCGCGCATCACGTTTGACCATTCTGCAGGAGGAGAGCCTGTCGCAACTGGAGTCGACCTTGTGGGTGGGGAACACTTCGGTGCAAACAAGGAGGTCATCCTGAGTGCCGGTGTCTACCATAGCCCACAAGTCTTGATGCTCTCAGGAATCGGAGACCCTACGGTCCTGCAGAAGCACGAGATTCCAACCGTCGTGCCTAATGGCGAGGTCGGTCAAAACCTTGTGGATCATCTGGCGGTCGGAATAACGTGGAAGCTTAAGCACCCTGAAAAAGGGCTAGCCATCGGATCCCCCTTGTTCAACGACCCATCCTATTTCGCTGGCTGGCCGCTGGACTTCATCCTATTTGGCCCCTTGGACGAACCCGGCAACCTGGAGCCGTTAATAAAGGATGCTGCAGACCGAGAATTTCTGCTCCGTCCGGACGCCTCGCATATGGAAATCGTCACCTTGTATGCGCCCATGGGACCGAGACTGACCGGTATCGATGCCGCCATGGATGGAAGCCATGCCAGTTCGATTGCCGTCTGTTTGACCACCACGTCCAAAGGATCCGTGACCATCCGATCTGCCAACTCTGAGGATCCTCCCATCATCGATACAAACTTCAACGCAACAGAGACCGATCGATACATTTCCCGCGAAGCCTTACGAAAAGCGACGTCTGTCTATCTTGAGACCGAGACGGGGCAATCCTTTATCTCTCACGAGGTCACTCCAGAAGGTTATGCGGCGATCACGAGAGATACGACGGATGAAGAGATCGACAAGAGGATTCGGGATTTTGGCTATAGTCTCGACCATCCGATGGGTACTTGTTCAATAGGTAAGGTCGTGGACAGCCATTGTCGGGTGCATGGCGCGAAAGGATTGAGAGTGGTCGATGGCAGTGTGATTCCAGTTCCTCTCGCCTGTCACATCCAAGCCACCGTGTATGCCATTGCCGAGAGGGTCGCCGAGTGGATTGCGAATGGAGAGTAGATGCTTGGTCACGGAGGTGAAACGTGATCCTGAGCCCTGGCCTAAGTCTTTGAATATACTGTGCTGAGTGCCGTGGCGTGCGCTGTTGTTGTTGGATCTGCCGGTGACCGGCGGACAGCGTATGCGGTAAGGGTTGGTATCCGCGATTACGAGAGATGAAGACTTCTCAACAGCTACGGGTAAGATGAAGAGAGTGCCAGCATTCGCACGTCTCGGGTGCCGGCGGAGGATGGTTACGGCAGGCTAGAGGCCTGAGGGGCTGCTCCTTAGCCTATTGTTCAACCTCAGGAGCAGTCCCCAGCTTCAGCCTCATCATATACATATGTCATTTAGTCACATGAGGTAGTTAGAGGTCTCCCCAGGCCCCATTTCATAGAAAACGAGGAACCTTTCGATCTCTGTTTGTTACCTTTCAATCTGCCAGAAACGGGAGTTCACCAAAGGTCATTTTGTTATCTCTGATTGGACACCTATGCTTATTACTTGTATTTTGGTAGCAGAAGGCCTCAATCCCTTTTCTCTCCTCCTTATCTGTCCATCCCTCCACCCTTTTCTCTCCTCCTCATTATCTGTCCATTCCTCCTCTCCTCCTCATCATCTGTCCATCCCTCCAGACTGACGCGCGCATGCCGTCCTTGGACAGGAATCACCCCACAACCACCTACCATTTCCACTGCGCGGTCTCGGCGAATTGCTTCCAGGTATTCTTCTTGGCGCCAGCGACTAGAAACTGATCACTCTCGGCCTGGTCCTTCTCGGCGCCCTTGCCAAAGTAGCTGTAGTCGCGGATCAAGATCATGTTCTGGGTCAACTCCTCGGCAATCCTGTTCCCCAGGGAGGCGGCGGACTCGACGCTGGCGGGCTGCTGGACGAACACAACGTCTTTACCCGTGACTTCGGACAAGGTATCAGTGATCTGGCGCGGGTGAAGCCATTCGCTCACGCCCTGGACAGAGACACCGTTGGCCTTTGAAGCGGCCTCGAAGAGGCCCGCGGTGAACAGGCCCGTGTCTTTCTGGATGTCGATCACAGGCACCCAGGTGGTGGTCGGGTCCCAGGGCAGGCTCAAGCTGACCGTACCCGAATCCGGGTCCCGGCCGATCTGGCCGGTCAAGTTGGACATGAAGTAGCCAGGCATGAAGTACGAGACGATCATGTCTCCCTTGACCCGTTCCGCGTACTCGGCCACTTCGGCCTTGGAGTCGAAATGTTCCACCTTGGACAGCTGGCCGTGCGTCAACTGGGTGACGTTCGGCAGAGACGACCAGACGAGGTGTTGGACCCCTTGTTCCTTGCACGCGTCGACAATGTTTTTGCCCTGTTGCGTTTCTCCGCTCTTGGACGTCGTCTCCCAGTAGTTGGTGACGGCGAAGACACCGTACGAACCGGCGATGGCGGCTTTGACGCTGGCAATGTCGTTGAGATCGGCCTTGGCTAGCTCCGCGCCTCGGGATGCCAGTGCCTGAGCCGCCGGCTTGGATGGGTCGCGGGTGATGGCGCGGATCTTGTACTTGGATGATAGGCTGGGGTTGTTCAATATAGCCGACACAGTGCTGCCACCCTGATTGCCCGTGGCACCGAAGACGGTGATGATCTTTGCAGTCATTTTGGAAGTATTTCTCAATGCCGAAGCCGAAGCCGTCTTGACGATTGACGATTTAAAAGTAATTGAGTATGAGTGATCAGTGATGATCAGATTGTTGATGATGATAATATGATATCTGTGAGCGAAGAAGCCGTGGAATTGGATTTGGATTTCAATGGAAGTGAACTTGAATCTGGATACGAAGGGAGGATATGGATTTCAGCTGGAGCGAATTTACTGTTCTTTATATACCTTTTCCCTCCCCTCTAGCAGGGAACGTCTTTCTAGAGCTAGAGGGGAGCCTGTAGTGTAGGTACCTACCTATGAGGTATCGCTTCCCAAGCAATCTGAGAGAATGAGGTAAGTGGCTCCCCGCTGTCTAGATGTCGAGGTGTGTACGAGGAGCAAGGGTTAGTCATCCGCTCGCGCGTCGGGGTCGGCATTTCCAGCTGATGTGGAAGCCTGAAGGGAGAGGGGAGAGGAGAGAGGAGAGAGGAGAGGAGAGCCAGACAAGTCAAGCTGACCAATTCATCAATCAGCGATGGTGGCGATCTTCCCCGACCCCGGCCCCCGGCCTCTGCTGGTGCCGATGTGGAGAGAACCAGGCTCCGAGCCTCAATCCTCCATCCTCCATCCTCCATCCAACACTTTTAGTCATGGGAGTCATTATTGATCGAGAGACGATATCTTCCGTAATCGCCAAGCACACGCGTCTATCATTGCAAACTCTAGTCGTCCCCCAGCCGGAACCCCCAGGCTCCGTATCAACCTCTTGCTGATGTGATGGAACTCACTACCTACTACCTACGTAGTACCTTAGTTGGAGGACTCATACCGCCCCCGAGACATGGCGAAGCAACTCTTTGAGAAATTCGAGGGCCACGAGCTCACTGACACCATGTTGGATGACGCGGCAAAGCTGTTGACTGACAACTACGGAATCTGGGGACAAGATCCAACCAACTCGACGAACACTCTAAAAATAGGCAAGTTGGGTTGGTCTACTTCGAATCCACTAACACACTGGTAGGGAGTCGGGTGAAGCTGACCAAGACCCGGCTTCGAATCCAATACCTACCTGCTGGCGCTTCTTGTTCCTATGTCCGAGTTCTCGTCGACGGTCGCCTGGTTGGAAATGTATTTGCCTGCCGTTGGAGCTACAAGGACAAGACCGTGTGTTGGGTCACCCAGCTGGTTGTTCATAGCTAGTTTCGGGAACGTGGACTTGCAGCCGGTCTATTAAATTACCTAAGGTAAGAGGACGACTCTATCTACGGGATTATCAGTTCTCATCCTGCTGCCTGCTTAGCCGCCGCAAAAGGATTTGGAAGTAGGAATATACTACGCCACGAGTTTGTCACTTACATGCTGATTTTCGATAGGCGGTATTAACACCGTGGCCGTCAGCTTTATTCGCGATAATGCAGAAGCGGTTATGGAAGCATCGCCAATTCAGCTACGTTAAAGAGGCAAAGCTCCGCGGCAGCATCAATTCTGAAGATACGAGTGGTGTCGTTTCGTCTGCTGATACCAAGTTTTTTGTTGACCATACCGAACCGCTCAAGGCTCTGGCACGGGTCCGATAAGAGCGAGACTGGCCTCTTGGAGAGTTGGTCGACGGCCATGAGTTTCTCCTAATGATGGAGGCCCGACGTCGTCATTCATAAATCGCCAAACGCACCGGTATCAAAAGCACCTCTAGATCTTGGGAACGTATATCCATCAGGTGTTGCTGGTGATGCAAGCAGGATTCATGACTGAAGATTCAACACGTTTACCCGGCCAGGATGGGATCGAGCTCAACGACGCACGGCATCAGCTGCATCAGTGCTATAAAGCATTAGCACTCGAGCCCGTACCTATTACCTATTAGCTCCATAGCACACTCTCTTTCTCTTTAGGGAGTATATGACACGAATAATAGATGTCCACAAGATCTTTGTGAACTCGGCCATACTGCCCTTCAGAGCCCAAGTCCATAATTCCCACGGGAAAGTATGATGCCTAGATCACTCCAGAAGAAAGAGATATTGGATATTGTTGCAGGATCTGTTGGCGAACGTCGTGCTTGTCGCTTGTCCCTGGAAAATGGCCACGTGAGTTCGTGTTCTGCGCCAAGACAGAACGCGACGCGACGGGAATGCGGTTAAACCACTGCCACTGTTCCAAGGGCGGTGCACTCTTGACCAAAGAGCACAAGAACAATATGATGGGAGATGGGAGACGGCAAACACTATTACCATGACGCCTGAGCAGCAGGCAGATTTTGCAAACGAGATTAGGGGCTTTCCGCCCAAGGACATCGACCGGTTACATCGAGTCCTTTTCCGACTCCAAGAAGACCTCGTTGACTTCACCCCAGCCGCGATTGAGAGAGAGTACAATGCGATTTGCTCTGAAGACCGGCACACTCCGCACCCAGATGACCCTTGCCTGCGGTGGCTACTTGATCTCCTCCAAATCGATGCCGACATACCCTTGAACGAGAAATTCCTCGACGCCTTACAAGAGGCGCATATCGTCCTGACGACCGATGGAACCACCACAGACGGCGGAACAGATTATGATGCGGCAGAGCAACCATTATCCATTGGCGGACCGTCTGTCGTGCCGGAAAGGCTAGACTCTTCCGACCTGCTTGACGAAAACGATGCCCTCTGGCAACAGGCCGTGGCCCTCGACAATCGAAAATTGGCGTCTCAAGCGCTCGAACAGTGGCGACAGAAGCTACATCTCAAGAGGGAGGCATATTTAGATTATGAGGATCCAGTAATGAATAACTTCGCCGACCATTTTTATGTACGGACCCTGGCAAGAAAGACCCTGACTCACTGGCACAATACTGTCGCAGAGATCCAAGAGATGGAGAAGGCTGGGCAAGAGTTTCGAGCGCGACAAGATGCATCATTTGCACTTAGACAATGGACGCTAGCTGCTCGCGAACGACTTTTTACCCGAGTCGGAGACGAGAGGTCACTCTATAAGGTGCTGGGGATATGGCGAGAGAAGACCAGACAACTGCGCGAGATGGAAGCTGCTGCAGATGGCTTTCGGGATCGTCAAGTGGTTCGAAACACCCTCGGAATGATGGTGGCCAAGAGTGCCCAAATCCATCATGAAGAAACACAGGCTGTCGTCGTCTACCAGGGCAACCTCGTGCGGCGGATATTCAACAAGTGGTTGGCACAGCTGCAACAAATCCAGCTCAACGAAAGACGAGCAGATGCCGCTGCGGAATATTTTGCAAGCAAGCATGCGCTTCAAAAATGGCGCGAGAAAACCGGACTTGTACTGGAACAAAAACGAGGGCAACAAGCTCGTCGACAGCTCCTCGCTGTCAAGTATGTGCGCAAGTGGAAAGTGTTTGCTAGGAAGAGCAAAGAAGAAAAGTATGCCGAGGCATACAAGGTCATGAGGAGGAAAGTCAAGGTGAATATCGCACGAGCTGCGCTTAATTTGTGGCGGGAAAAGACAGCACGCATCCGAGAAATGGATATGACAGCTGAGGAATTCCGAGCGCGAAAGGATGCGGATAATGTCAAGCGAATGGCACACGGTGCAATTGTCACAATGTACAACAGACCGACACAACAACAAGAAGCAAATCGCCAAGCGGACTTGTTTTTCACGAAGAAACTTGTTGAGCGTTTGCAGATTTTCGGCTCGAATTGGCTTGTTCCAACCCGGCAAATCCTCGAGAATCAGAAAAAGGCGGATGCATACCGTGCTACGAGAACGGCAAGTCACGCGTTGGCGACATTGAGAAACTGGAGGAATGCCGCTTTCAGGTTTCAGAGGCTAGAGGAGGACGCCGAAGTTGTCTTGCAACGAAATGCAAAGAAACGTGCTCTTGTATTCCTACAGAAATGGAGCAGAGCAGCCGCGCAAGGACAGGGGGAGGAAGAAGGGCGGGAAGAGCGCATGATTCCAGCAACACCAGCTGCAAGAAGGAGTCAATTGCTTGCTTCTACCACCCCAGCATATACGCCTGCTGTCGGCCTGTTCCGCGAGGACCGGGTCGTTGAGGAGTTGGATGAAGATTAATGATTAATGAATGACGAACGATGAACGATGAACGATGGTCTATGGGCCACAAATTATGAGTTATGAGCTATGAGCTTATGAAATCCCGTCGAAGGCTCACCTTTTACGTGGCAGCAAACCCTCTTTCGACTCTGTCAATTCCATTGCTGTGGCAGGTTTCTCCTTCCCGTACATGATTGGCGGTAGCCACTCCATACCGACGACCTGTCCCCCTAAAGAAAAATCGAGATATTCCCGGAAGACAGCTGAGAAGCGTAACAGATGCGATGCAAAGATGAGATTACCCATGTGGACAGTCTTGTCGTGTTCCGGATTCCCAGCCAGCACCGCCCAATTCCCCGTACCAATTCCCCGTTACCAGGGTGGTCAATCCACGGCCAGGGCGCTGTGCCGGTTTACAGAAACACGCCGCGCTTGCCTTCGGCCTTGCCTTCCTACGAAATAGACTTGCTCTTCGCTATCCAAAATGCCGCCTCCCTCGATGAGGATTTGACAGAGCGTTCAACCTTGTCGGATATACGAGGTGCGTATCGGACGGAAGTCGTCTCCATGACCGGTACCACCGCGACTCCTGGTATTCCTAGATGGTTGAGACAGTCCGGTAGTCTAAGCGAACACCGACATATGGAAACAGCCAAGTCGACTCGCTTGCAAGGATCTACTAGGTCTAAGTCAATGGAGTTGTTATTGAACACTATACTGATGGCATGATCTACTTTTTGCCCGAGAGTCAACATCCGCGTTACAATCACTCACACTCTGGGAGTCGTGCACAACCTCTAGCTCGGTGAATGCTATGATACAAACTCATGCATGTCCTCTCCTACTCTGGTGACAGAGGGGTGTACTGACCAAACTCTGGCGAGTCATATGAGGGAGGCTCCTTGCCAGCGTGCCAGCGGAATTTCTTCCCGTAGTGGTCATCACGGAGCCAGGGCCCGTGTCCCAGATATGCTTCTCTTGCAGTGGCGCCCTCCTTCTCGACTTTGGTGCGGAATAGACCACGTTTCTGGAGTTCCGGAAGAAGGAACTCAATTATGTCTTCAAAGGAGCCGGGATTCGTGACGTGGGCTATATTGTATCCGTCCAGGTCGGCCACCTCGGCCCAACGCTCCAACTCATCCGCCACTGTCTTGGGACCGCCGACGATCTTGGCACCCATCCCTGCGTGACGATGGTTAGCTTTCTGTTCTGAATATAAAAGAACGAGAGGGAGGGAGCAAGGGAGAGAAAAGCGGGTATGAGAAGGGGAAACTCAGTACCTCCCATGATGATGAAATCGACGATTTGGGCCTTGTTCCATTTCGTGCCCGGAGCGGCGGTCTTGGACCACAGAGCAACGAGTCCCTGAAGCTTGGAGTCTTCGACGGTAGCGAGATCGTCGTCGTCGCCATACTTGGAGAGATCCAGACCCGTCCAGCCACCGAGCAAGGCCAACGCCCCTTCCTTGTTGCCATAGGACAGGAGCTCGTCGTGCTTTCGCTGGGCAGCCTCATCCGTCTCGGCGACAACCAGGGTGATGGCAGACAAGATCTTGATGGAGCGGGGATCCCGGCCAAACTTTTCTTTGGCCAGCGTGCGGATGGCGTCGACCGACTGCCTGACTATCTCTGGCTTGGTGCCTCCGACAAAGATGGCCTCGGCGTGCTTGGCTCCGAATTCGCGTCCGGATTTCGAAATGCCGGCCTGGAAGAGGAAGGGAGTTCTTTGCGGCGACGGGTCGACCAGATGCGGGCCGGGCACGCTCTTATAGTACTTTCCTCGATGGTGGATCTGGCGTACGGTGCCCGGGGCGATGTAGATACCCTTCTCAACATCCCTCACGACTGCGCTGTCTTGGAAACTTCCTTCCCAGAGCTTGTACACGACATCCATGAATTCGTCGGCGATTCGATAGCGCTCGTCGTGTTCGATCTGCGCGTCCAGACCGAGATTCCGGGCGGCCGAGTCGAGGTGAGAGGTGACAATGTTCCAGGCGACGCGGCCTTCGGCCAAATGGTCGACGGTCGAGAAGCGACGGGCGTGGGTGTAGGGCTGGTCGTAGGTGGTGCTCGCCGTGATTCCAAACGCGAGGTTCTTGGTCACGGCCGCCATGGACGGGACGGTGAAGAGAGGGTCGGTGACGGGAAATTGAGCTCCTGAGGCCAGAGCCGGGTCGATGTTTTGAGGCCCTTTGTACACGTCGTACCCGCCCAGCACATCGGCGACAAACAGAGCGTGGAAGCCGGCGTTGTCTAAGAGTTGGGCCAGGTCGGTCCAGAATTTCAGCTTGGTGTGGTCGGCCGTCTTGTTTCGAGGGTGCGTCCACAGGCCGGGGCTCAGATGGCCGGGCGTGTTCATGACGAAGGCATTGAGGATGAGCTGTTTGGGTTTGGGCGTGGGTTCGGGGTTGCTCCCGTTGACCGTGGTGGTGGTGGTCATGTTGCACGAGGCTCAAGCTGTGTACCGTACCTTACCTCTGTCTCTGTGCGTTGTGGGCTTGCTGATGGGTATTCTTAAGCAATAAGCCCAACCGATCTTCAGCTAGAATCGACGTTGGCCTCCTGATTTTGATTCTGATTCTGATTTTGATTTTGATTCCTATTCCTCTCAAACCTGCGCCAGAGTGAGGGAGGTGAGAGACTGGGGGCAAGACACTACTAGCAGAATATCTGGTATGGCATGGCACTGGGATCCGAACTCCTACTCCTTTGGCCCCAATATTCCATACCACTGCCCTGCCACCCACGTGGCTTGCCGAGAGATATAGTATGCATGTCTCCTGTCTCCCGTCTCCCGTCTCCCTTCTCCTTTTTGGGAGTGTGGTTGCTTGCCTAATAGCCATGATAGCCATAGCTTCCTTACCTCTGGCGTGGTGCCTCGGCTCTGGCATTAGTGAAATGCTGTGATAGTGGGCTTCTAAGGCGCAATACAGCCCAAGGAGGATACGGTGGAAGTCGTCGAGGGCTCCACCACGATGGCGGGACCACTACCACTCACTACCACTCACTACCACTACCTTACCACTACCTTACCACTACCACTGAGGTTGAGGCTAACCACGCCGGGCTATACCGATGCTCTGTTTTTTGGTTTTTGGTTTTCTGGTTTCTGGTTTCTGTACGCACACGGATGGCACAGGTGGCACAGGTGGCACTAGATGTGAGGACCCACGCCACCAAAAGTCGAAATCCTAATACTAGTGCTAGTTGATACAAACCCCGTTGCCGCAGGGGCGAGATTGTGTGTATGGGCCAGTATGCTATGGGCCAGTATGCGATGGGTCAATCCACGGGCCAGTATGCGAGGGAGGAGGATAAGGCGTGCGATGGGTCAATCCACAGGACGCGAGGGACAAGGATAAGGCGTGCTCGCCCTCTCGATGAATAACAATGCAGAGAGATGCCCTCACGGCGGTGGTGGTTGTGGTTGTGATTGTGGTCTATCTCAGTCGCTCACTCGCTTCGTTCATCTTCACTGACCTGACAGACAGAAGAGAGATTCTGTTGGAGTGAAGAAGACTGACTAATTACCGATTACGGAGTACTGCTCTCTGATCTCTGATCCCTTACCCTCTTGACCCCCTGGTCTTTGATCCATTGCCCATTGCCCCTGGTACTGGTACCTCCCCGGTCATGGCACTCACCTCGGCTGTTCCGGAGGTTATTCCAACGTCCATCTCCGGGCTTGGGCCTGGAGAGACGGTGGTGACGGCACCCATCCATGCCAGCGAAGCCCCCAAAAATACGCCCAAGGCCCCGTTGAGAACCATCTTCCCTCCTCTCGTGCTGGAGGATCACCCGATCGACGAGACCCCGTCTTTAAAGGTGGCCGTGGTAGGCGCCGGAATCTCGGGCATCACGGCGGGAATCCTCCTGCCGGAAAAGGTGCCAGGTATCGATCTGGTCATATATGAGCGACACGATGATCTTGTGAGTGGACTCATGCCCCAAGCCAGACAGAGCAGAGCCAGAGCAGAGCCACAGCCAGAATCAGACCCAGACCCAGACCTAGATCTGCATAGCATACTGACCATGATGCCAGGGCGGAACATGGCACACCAACATCTACCCAGGCGTCCGCTGCGACGTGCAGTCAGACGTCTACCAAAGCAGCTTTGCACCGTCCAACCAGTGGAAGGCCAACTTTGCTCGCGGGGCCGACATCAAGGCCTATTGGAAATCCGTGGCCAAGAAGTACGACGTGGAGAAGTACGTGCGGTTCCGCAGCACGGTCGAAGGAGCCGAATGGTCGGAGGAAAAGGCCAGATGGCTGATCACACTGACCACCGACGGCGTGCGACGGGTGGAGGAGGCCGACTTCCTGGTCACCGCGACCGGGGTCTTCAGCCAGCCTCGCCTGCCCGACTACCCGGGCATCGCCGAGTACCAAGGCCACCTGCGACATAGTTCTAACTGGGACCCGAACTTCGACCCGACGGGCAAGAGCATCGCGGTGATTGGCAACGGCGCGTCGGGCATCCAAGTGCTGCCTCAGCTGCAGAAGGTGGCCAAGCAACTGGATCACTACGCGCGGAGTCCGACGTGGATCACGAGCGCGCTGGGGGCGAAAGACGCGCCTCCGCCCGACCTGGATGCCCGCGATGCAGTCCCGTCGGACGCGGAAGGTTACCTGGCGTACCGGAAACGCATTGAGTACCGATACTTCTCTCGGCTCGGCACCATCTTCAAGGGCTCGGAGAAGAACGCGGCGGAGCAGAAACGGTGGGAGGAGGGCATGGCGGCGCGACTGGGCGATCGCGCCGACATCCTGGCCCAGGTCAAACCGGACTTCCCGGCCTACTGTCGCCGACCGACGCCCGGGCCGGGCTATCTGGAGGCGCTGCGGCAGCCCAACGTGAAGGTGATCACGACGCCCATCGAGCGCTTCACCCGGACGGGCATCCAAACGGTCGACGGGCAACAGCGCGACGTCGACGCCGTCATCTGCAGCACGGGCGCCGACATTGCCTTCACCACGTCGTTCCCCATCGTCAAGGACGGCTTCGACCTGCAGGCGGCGTGGCGGCCGACTGGCGCGATCGGCTTCCCGGACAGCTATCTGGGGCTGGCAGCGCCGGGCTTCCCCAACCTCCTGTTTGTGCTGGGACCCAACTCCGGCGGCGTGTCGGGCAGCCTGCCGTACGCGGTGGAGACGCAGCTGACCTACATCGCCAAGGTGCTGCGCAAGGCCGCCAGCGACGGCATCCGCACCATCTCGCCCTCCCAGGCCGCCACCAACGACTACCGCGCCGTGGTCGAGTCGTTCTTCCCGCGCACCGTGCTGAGCGAGAACTGCTCCTCGTGGTACAATGGCGGCGTGCCCGGTGGTCGCATCCTCGCCGTCTGGCCCGGCAGCGCGGCCCACAACGCCCGCGTCCTCCGCAACGTGCGCTGGGAGGACTTTGAATACACCTACCGCAGCCAGTCGGGGAACCGCTTCGCCTTCTTTGGGAACGGGTGGACCAAGAACGATGTCCGCGCCAACGAGGTTGATGACCCGGACGCCGTCGACTTCTCCGCGCATCTGAAGAAAGAGGCTCTCGATGGCCAGGTCGATCTGAAGGGTTATTTGGAGTCTTGGTACGAATTCTAGACTGGGAGAGTGTCAAACTTACCTAGGCATTCCCAGCCTTGTTCTTTAACCAGAAGGCTGCTTGGTGTATACTATACACTATATCGCCTGCGCTCCCCCCATATCCCTTTGATAGAGATGGAACCTTTCAACCTTTGACAGAGAGGAGAGCATTTTTCCGTGTTGTTCTTGATGCTACAGACCAGTAGGACTTAGTTCAGTTCCCTTGACTGTGAGCCAGTTCAGTCCATTTCCATTCAATTCAGTCCCTGGTCTGGTCTGGTCTGGTCTGGTCTCGGACGCGTGTATCATGTATCAGCCAGCATCATGTTCATTTTCTAGGGTATGGAATCTAGAATCTGGAATCTGGAACTGCTCGTCTCCGGTCTCCCATATTTGTCCTCCGCTCTCCACGACACTCCAACCCCCCTCCCCGACCCAAAAGGGCAGGGCAGGGCTGGGTTCTACTTGTCACAGTGTTTGTGACCTATGTCTACTGCTGTATAGATAATGATCAGTGAGCAAATACTAAATACTAAATACTAAATCTTCAATACTAAATACTATCGTTGGAACTGTACTCTGTATCGATAGACTATCGACATGTCTCGTACAGAGTTGTCATAACGTCTGTAGTCACTCACCCACTCAGACCACATTATGTCCGGACGCGCTCGGAAGCATATGGATAAGTTGCAAAAGTCCTCCCTCCTCCCTCCTCCCTCCTCCCTCACTCGAGTCTAGTCTGGCGGGGCTCCCACTCCAGCTGCACCTGCAGCTCCGGCTCCGGCTCCAGCTTCAGGGGGAGCGGAGGACGGAGGACGAAGGACGGAGCACTGTCCTGTTTCTGATGCGCCGCCGACGACCATTGATCACCTCATCTGGTAGTATGTCTCGCTCTCTTGGCAGCGGACCATGTATGTACTCTGTACGTTACCTAGATAAGTAGGTAGGGGGTAGGTAGGTAGGTAGGTACCTTTGCCCTTCCTCCCGCACTGTCCTGCAACACTACCTGTATTGTCAGTACGGTTCCTATCTCCCTACCTTAGGTATTAACAAAGAGTCCTGTGTACGGCCATGTGCCATGTACCATGACCATGTATGTACCTAGCCTGTACCATGTGGTGTCAGTGACCAGGCTCAAGCTCAGGCTCCGGCTCCTTGCTCCAGTCTCCACGGTACGTACCCACAATACTAATAGTCCTCCTAGTCCTGCTTGGGCTGAAAAACGGTCCGTGGAGAGTGGAGAGTACTCTGTACTTTTGCTCGTTCTTGGCGATAACTGCCCGGTCTATGGTCTATGTACCTAGGTAGACCTAGGTAGACCTACCCTAGTACCTGCCAGCTCCTCCACCACAACCTCCTACCTCTACCTCCACCTCCGGACTCGTGCCACTACCACTACCAGTGTACTAAGTATACTAGTAATGGGGTTGTTCTCTGGTTTCTGGCCTCTGATCTCTGGTCTCTGTTCCCTGACCTCTGATCTCTAGTCTCTGGTTTCTAGTCTCTGGTTTCTAGTCTCTGAGTCTGCTCTCTAGTCCCTGGTCCTGTCGACGCACCTAGCCTGGTCGTGGGCGGAGCCTCCCTCTCCTCTCTACTAGCCCGGCCTCGACTGAGCAGTCCCTGCTAATTAGTACCCACACTGAGTACTTACCATAGTACATATTACTAGTGAGTGAGCAGGTCGCGTCATCATGGACACAACATTCGCCATCTGTTCTATATCCCTTCCAGTGACCAGTCAGGGTTTCTGGTTTCTGGTTTCGGGCCAACCCTCTTCGCAGCACTTATCTGCCTGCGAACTTGACGTGATCTCTCATCTCGGTGGCAAGTACTAGTGAATCACCTTTTTTTTCACCTTGCCGGTTGGAGGAAACCTGAACCAGAACTAAAAATCATGCCCCAGTCCCAGATGGAAAGAGAAAAGAGGAAAGAAACCCGTGAACCGAGAACCCGGCGAGGCTAAATGTTACTACAGCGCCCAAGCCCTTGGACGAGATTGATAGCCGAGATGGGCGACATGCGATGCGATGTTTGGTCTGTCTCGCCGTCCGATGCACTGTCCTATGCTCGGCTCCCATCACTGCATGCATCTTGAACTCTACATGGCAGTTTGGGAGCCACATACTAGGCAGGGCAGGGCAGGGCAACTGCCCGGTCGAGACATTCACGTCCACGTCCACGTCCACGTCCATGGTCCTACTACCCAGGCAGGCGCCTATACATGCCACTATGGATGGTGTAGCACCAACCGAAGAACGATATGGCACGGCTACCATACGGCTAGTGAATCCATGCCACCGATGCCGAACTCGCGTGGTGCAGGGGCCAGAGCCCAGCCTCAAGACGTCTCTAAAATATAGCCTAACGAGGTTTGTTCCGACGGTGAGGTTCCAAGAATTGGAACGGGCCCTTTTGCTGTTTTCTGTATCCGTGCTGTTGGGAACAACCACGGCCCATAGCGCGTCGCGTGGCAGGCCACGTCCCATCTTAGCGATGGCGCAACTGCGTCGCCATACACCGTGATAGAGAGAGAGCGAGTGCCGAGGTTTTTCTGTCTCTGCGATATCCATATGGATATCTTTATGTCTGGTCGAATCCTCAGGCAGACGGACGAGCTCTAGCCCTCATCCTTCTCCTCCTCCTCCTTCTCGTCCTCACCCTTATCCTCTCACTTCCCCCTTCCACCATTCCACCAACATGTCGGGCTCAGGCGGCCATGTCACCCTTCTCAGCCAGGGAACTGGCTATGGGATCATCATCGGTCTCTCCATCTTCTTCTGTCTCTTCATCCTGGCGGCCATCCGGATTCAGAAGCTGTATCTGCAGGAAGACTCGGAAAAGTCGGAAATGTTCATGGTCGCCAATCGAACCGTGGGAATAGGCCTGACTGCTTCGGCAGTCTTCTCGTCGTGGAGTAAGTTGCCCAGGAAATGTGGCATGTCCACTTGAAGCTCCCTCCCGACTCCTAACTCCCGACTCTCGATACTGACATGCTGGGGAACGTCAGTGTGGCTTAGCGAGACTGTCTTCGCGGTGGTTGTGGGCTACAATTATGGGATAGCGGCACCGATGTTGTACGGCGGAGGCCTTGCGATTCAAATTTCATGTGAGAAACACGTCCCGTCCACCCTCTATGCATCAAAGGACCCCAAGATCTCGATCTCGATCTCGACCTCGACCTTGATCGTCGGCTGACTCTTCTTTTCAATTCTCCCAGTGATGGCGGTTGTCGGTGTGGTGTGCAAGCTGAAGGCGCCACACGCCCATACCTCACTGGAAATAGTTCGCACCAGATACGGATCCATCGCCCATGGAGTATTTACCATCCTGAACCTGATCAACAACATCTTCGGATGCTCGTCCATTATCCTGGCAGGCTCTCAGTTGATGACGGGCATTACCGGCGTCCATTTGGTTGCGGCGACCATCCTGCTCCCTCTCGGCGGTGAGTTCAAGTTCGACTTGAACTTCTCTCCTCAATCAAAGTCAAATGATCTTTCTCGCCTCAAATCAATGTCAAATGATCTTTTCTAACGTTAGGAATGTTCTAGTGGTTGCTTATACCGCGGTCGGAGGGCTGAAAGCGACCTTCCTGACCGACTACGTCCACACCGCCGTGGCCCTGATCTTGATCATCTTCTTCACTCTGAAAGTCCTGACCAACGAACATATCGGGGGCATTGGTGGACTGTACGACAAGGTCCGCGCGGCTGAAGCTGCCGGCACGATTTTACCGGTTCCTGGCAACTATGCCGGGTCGCTGTTGGCTTTCAAGTCCAAGGGCGCCATCATCTTTTCCACCCTCATCAAACTGGGTAATCTGGGCCTGGTGACTATGGTACGTACCTCTACTACGTCTATGTCTACGTCTACATCTACCTCTACCTCTTCCTCTACCTCTACCTCTAGCATTCCATTCACTCCTTCATCATTACCATACCACTACCCTTAGCAATTGACTGACAAATCAGGACACGGCATTCTGGCAAAAGTCATTTGCCTCGGAAGTGAGCGCCACGGTACCGGGATACGATCTGGCGGCTCTGTCCATCTTCGCCGTGCCTTGGGGCATTGGCAGTGTGATCGGCCTCAGCACCCGAGTGCTGGAGAGACTTCCGATCTTCCCCACCTACCCAAACCCCATGAGCGCCGGACAGGTCGGGGCCGGTCTCCCGATGGTGTACACGATCTATGCGGTCGTCGGTCGCGGCGGGGTGATCGCCTTCCTCTTCCTGCTCTTCATGGCGCTGACGAGTACGGTGTCCTCGTCGATGATTGCCGTCAGCAGTATCTTCTCCTTCGACGTCTACCGCACCTACCTCAAACCCAAGGCCACCGACCGGCAGATCATCCGGATCAGTCATTTCGGCGTCTTCTTCTATTCGCTCTTCATCTCCGCCTTTACATTGGCTCTCAGCTACGGCGGTGCCAACATGCTCTGGTGGAACTACTTTGCTCCCATGATCATCTGCCCCGGCGTCGTCCCGTTGATCCTCACCATCTTCTGGAAGCGCCAAACCGCCCTGGCGGCGACCCTGTCCCCCATTTTAGGCATGGCCACCGGCATTTCCATCTGGCTCGGCCTGGTCAAGCACGAGTTCGGCGTGGTCAACATGACCACCACCTCCAACCAGATCTTCAACCTCTACGGCGCCCTAGGCACCATCTTCTCCCCTCTACTCTACTCGGTCGTCATCTCCTTGACCATCAAACCGACCGTCTTTGACTGGCGCGAGTTTCTCCGCATCAGCTTGGTGCAAGACGATGACACGTCCAAGACCGATATCACGGCCACGACCGAGACCCCGACCTCGACCCCGACCCCGACCGAACATGGCGTCCCGGTGGAGAATCTGGTCGACGACAAGAACCCCGGCGAGGTCCAAGTCGTGCCGAGTTCGATCTTGTCGGGCTCACAAGCCGTGGATGAAAAGCAAAAGCAAGCCACTCCCACCGTCGCCGCCATCAGCCTAGACGACGTGACGCATCCGTTGGACGACGCGAGCCTCCGCCACCTCTACCGCTGGCTCAAGATCGCCCTGGGGGTGTTCGTCTCCCTGGTCCTGATTACGTGGGTGGTTTGGCCCATGCCACTGTGGCGCGACTATATCTTCGGCAAGGCCTTTTTCTCCGGCTGGATCACCGTCTCCATCATCTGGCAGTTCTTCGCCCTCTTCAGTGTGGTGATTTTCCCCGTGTGGGACGGCAGGCATGCGCTGGCGAAAGGATATCGGGGGGTCAGGACCCATGGATTCTTCCGGAGGCATTGAGGGACCAAGACAAAATGTGGTGTTGAGTATGGGCCAAGACGGCGGTGAATTAAACGGCAAAGAAGAAGAGGAGGAGGAGGAGGAGGAAGAGGAGAAAGAGAAGAAGAAGAAGAGGAAGAGGAAGAGGAAAGTCCTTGAGTCATTCCCAGATTTGCCTTGCCCTTTGACCAGAAGGCTGATTTAGGCATACTATAGACTATATATAGAGAACACGGAACATTTCATCCTTTGACAACATTAGACAGTGTGCGAACCTACTGTTGTGAAGGCGAAGGCGAAGGTGCTCGGCGTCTCACAAGGCGAAATGGAAGAGGCACTTCAAGTGATGCAGCTCGTGTCGTGCACAGGGATAGGGTTAGGGTTAGGGTTGGATAGGGCGTATGAAAAGCGTGGTAGGAGTGGCATTATTGCATTACATTCAAGTTAGGGATAGAGGTAGACTTGGTTTTGTCAAAGGTTGAAATGTTCCATGTTCTCTATCAAGGGTCGCAGGGGGAGCGCATGCTATATAGTGTGTGTAGTATGCCTAAACCAGCCTTCTGCTTAAAGCACAAGGCTGGGAATGCCTAAGTTTGACTGGTTCAACGTCTTCGATTGCGATTGGCGTTCACCGGATCGATCCAACTCCAACTCCAAACGCTTCCTCACGCGTCATCGTCATCCTGACCTAGTGTATCATCCAAGGTTGGTACCTACCTACGCACTGGGAGAGGGACTACTATTGCTTCCATGCCAGCAGAGAATTCGTCCCTCGAACTCGACCTCGAACTCGAACTTGAACCACTCTGGACCAAGTCCAAAAAGGGTCACACCAGTCTCAATTCCAATCCGATTCAATCCAATCCAATCCCAATGTCCAACCAACCCATCAGTGACATCGACACCCCCGATCCATGGATGGTCGCCGCCCATGGCCGGTTTTACTTGACCTTCACGGCCGGCGACCGGGTGGAAATCTGGATGTCGTCGAGTGCGAGTGCGAGTGCGACTGCATGCTCTAGGTCTGGGTCTGGCTTTAGCCCTCACTCCGGCTCCGGCTCTGGCTCTCACTCCGGCTCCGGCTCTGGCTCTCACTCCGGCTCCGGCTCTGGCTCTCACTCCCGCTCTCACTCTGCCATGGAGGATTTCCGCGCCTGCGCAAAAAGCGTGATTTGGAGACCAACTCCAGGCAGTCCGTGGTCCGTCGACATCTGGGCTCCGGAACTGCACTACCTCGACCGCACGTGGTACGTGTATTTCTGCGCCGGCCATCCGGGCCTGGGGAACGCGTCGCATCGCACGCTGCTGCTGCGGTCGACGAGTCAGGATCCCATGCGCGTTGAGGGGTGGTCGTTTCTCGGCCCGCTCGCCGGCCTGTCGGACCATTGGAATATCGATGCCACAGTATTTTCGTTGCCGAGTTTATCTGAGTCTGAGATTGAGGCGGAGGCGGAGGCGAATCTGGCCATGGATATACAGCAACACCACCAACAGCAACAACCCCTCCCGCAAAAACAACCCCTACCGCAAAAACAACCCCTACCGCAAAAACAACCCCTACCGCAAAAACAACCCCTACCGCAAAAACCATACAGACTCTTTTGCTGCTATTCCGGCTGGCCGCTCGGCGACCACTCAGACACCCAGCAGGACTTGTTCCTCGTCGAGCTGGCCAGCCCTGAACAAGCCATCGCCTCGACCGTGACGTGCATCTCACGCGCCCAACTGCCGTGGGAACGGCTGGACGGTGGTCGGCGCGGTATTAATGAAGGTCCGACTTGGATTGAGATACCGGAGGACAATGAGAGTGATAGTGACGGCGACAATGGCAGCACCAATGAACACAACAATGGCCACAAAAATGATAATGATAATGGTAATGATAGCAACACGAATGAGAATGAGAATGACAATGGCAATGGCAATTCAGGCTCCAACTCCCACTCCCACTCCCACTCCCACTCCCACTCCCACTATACTCCAGCTCCAGCTCCAGCTCCAGCTCCAGCCTTGTTCAGGTCCAAATCCAGGTCCAAGTCCAAATTTGCCTTCCGCGGTATCATCTACAGCGCCAACGGCAGCTGGACCAGCGACTACAGGCTCGGCGTTCTCCAGCTGATTGGGCAGGACCCTCTGGACCCGTCGTGCTGGCGTAAACGGCCCACGCCACTGCTCGAAAGTGAAAGTGACGGTGACGGGGGGAGAGTGAGAGTGAGAGGGAGAGGTGGTCCGTATGGGCCTGGTCACGCGAGTTTCATAGTTTCATCTGCATACCACTACAGGAATAGAGTCAACGACACAGACAGAGTCAACGACACAGACAGAGTCAACGACACAGACAGAGTCAACGACACACACAGACCCAGAGTCAAAGACAGACACAAACACAGCCAGCCAAAGACACAGACACAGACACAGACACAGGCACAGACAAAGACACAGACTCAGACACAAACACAGATCTTCTGCATCTACCACGCCACCGCGAACCATGGCCAAGGCTGGACTAATCGCAAGGCCCGCGTTCTGCGTTTGACACCGGATGATTTCCAACCGCAGGCCAAACCGGTGTGTTGTGCCGGGCTCGGGCTTAGGTTTCCAGCAACTACAGCTACAGCTTCAGCTACAGTTCCAGTATCGCCTACAGCTACAGCTACAGCTACAACGTCTATTTCTGGTCCAGGCCCGGCACACGCACAGCCACAGCCACAGCCACAAGCACAACGGACCGTCCAGCGAGGTACTACTGCTTCTACTACTGCCCAGCGCCAAAGTCTACTAGACCGAATCGGTCATAAAGTGCTCAGAACGCTCCGCGACCTGTAAGGCATCAGGGTCAGGGTCAGGGTCAGCTAGAACTTACAGAATGTACTCCGTACATACAATACAGTACCTGCTACGTACCTGCTACGTACCTAGATTTAAACATTTCCTCGGCTTACAGAGTATTGCCTTCGCGAGGCATCGAAGTCACCTCAAACTACAACTACTGCCAACACAGCCAGACCATTGTCATAATTGTGCAGTACATACTTCTCGTGGGTTATCTTGGACGCAGGTTTCTGTGTCAAAACGCCCCTGCTTATTCCACAGCTTACAGCTTCTCGTTTAGAACCTGCGAGTCAACCCCCTTCAGATGGTCGGGAACGTGTCCAGGAGGATAAGTACCAGGACCTTGACCTCCTTGACTGGCCTTACTGGCCCTACGCTCCTCGGCGCTCTCCCTGGCAATTTCGTCAAAAGACTTTCTCAAATGGAGACCGCTGGCCACACTATCGATGCCACCTACGTTGGCAAAGCTCTTTGAGTTACCCACCAGGCTGTCTTTGCGAAGGACCTTCTCGTCATAGGCTTCCTCGTAGGCTTCCTCATCGGCTGGATCCTGAGGAATGCCATAGACCGTACGGGAGACAAGCTGGTTTCTCGGCCTCCAAATGTAGCTCGTGCCAGTGTAAAGGAAAATGCTGACGACGAAGCCATAGAGCCAGTCAAAAGTATACAAATGCTTGGCTCCAGTGGTAATATGTGTTTTGTCATTGATGCTGTACGCAAGACCCGGTAGGCACGGGCCCACGGCAAGCAAAAAGGCGAGCATTGCACGCCAATTGATCCCGGTCTTGTTGTACCTGTACCGCCCGTGAGGGTCGTACAGGGCGGGGACGTCAATGTGCTGCCTCTTGACGAGCCAGTAGTCCGAGGCAATGATTCCGGCCATCGGGGCCAGGAACACGGCATAACCGCCCATGAAGGCCAAAAAGGTGGTTGCGGAGCTCAAAATCTTCCAAGGAACAATGACCCAACCACCGACAAGAGCCGCAATCATGCATCCTCGCTTGATGTTGATATACTTGGGACACAGAACCGTCAAGTCATTGGCGGCCGAGATACTGTTTGCTGTGATGTTGGTGCCCACTTGTGCGATATACCATGACGTTGCAGCAAAGAAGGCAGCTGCACGACCTCCCGGGTTGTCTAGCCAGTGCGCGATGATATCCAGCGGGTTCCAGTAGAATTCTCCATAGACCACTTTGGAGGCCGACGTGGTGACAATTCCCATGACGCCACAAACGGTGAAGATGGCCGGGAGGAACGGAAGCTGAATGTATTGGCCTCGGCTGGTTTTCGCGTAGCGACTGAAATCCGGGATATTGCAGGCAAGGGTTGCCTGGGACGTTGTTAGTAGTGGTCACGCTGCCGAATCTACTGCAATTTTCCGAAAACGACTTACCCATGAACCTGTCACGGAGGACATACAAGATAGCCATAGCCACGCGCGTGTGCTGCCATGGACGGTTTCTGGAAGGTTGAAGATCGCACCACCACCACCGGCCTTGTTGACAATCCAACCGAGAGTGGCAAGTGCGGTCACAGGAGCGGCGACCAACTTCACGAGGAAAAGATATCGGAGTTTGGTGGGAGGGATCAACAAGAGTGGAAGTTGGATGATCCAGAAGAGGAAATAACTGACCATTCCCGAGGTGGTGATACCGGCGCTGCTCGGAAGATGATTTTCGAGCCGACCGTATGATGGCCAGATGGCGGTGAGCATGATGGTGATACATTGTGCGCCGTTGGCTCCCTGGATGCCTAGCCAGAACATGGCCAAAATGGCACGAGACACGATACAGAAGTAACCGAAGTAGTAACCGAACCCGGATCGTACAATGACAGAGAAGGGAATGTGTAGTTTAGCGCCAATGGCACCGTTGAGAACCATAGGGACGGCGACACAAGAGGTGCCCACGACCATGATGGGAATGGCGTCTCTCCAATTCAGGCCAACAGCGATGACGGAAGAGGCAGTTTCCCAAGTACCCAGGTTGATGGTATCAGTGGCCCAATAGGCCATCCACGTCCACAGAGTCCAAGTTTGATATTTCGGAGGCACGGGATCCATGTCGGCGTTCGTCCAGACATTTTTGGGCGCCAGAGCCGACTCTGCAGGCCGTTAATACACGAGAACTTGAGCTTGCGATAGACTAGAATGATTTCGACCAACTGACCTTGCTTGGGGAGCTCCCATGCTTTGGCAGAGGTGGCCCTCGCCTTGATGGTGGCTTTGCTAGGGATGTATTTTGTCACGTACTGTGACACGTACTGAGACATCCTGATGGGGGTGCCACAGTACGAGGACCAATCTCAGAGTTGAGGTTTCCGCTGGAGAGCCCGCGCGACGAGATGGGGATCTGGGAAAATATATGCCTCTCTGGAGTCTCGCCCGTAGTCTATCCGTATCTGTATCAAGTACCGTAACCTCCCTCATCTTGTCACGAGAATGATGTAGTGCACGACAGCTGACAGGGTATCATTCAACTTTGTTAATACTGGGGGAAGGATCCGCAATGGAGATCTGCCAGATAAGGGTCACTCGACTTTCTCTTTGGACAGAGGCCGGAGGAGGTCGTTTGCCATGATTGGCGTGACAGTCGTACATGTACTCCGTAGACCTTATCCGTTTGGCTGGACGATAAAGACGCATGGTGTCTGGATACGATAAGGCAGGTCTCCAAAGCTCACGAACGGACGGGTGTTTCGCTTGTAGATCTTTTGGGTCTTCATGACTGGACGCCGCTGGGAGGGCTTAGCGAAGGTCGTCGAGCGAGATAAAGTATCTCGAGAGGCCTGGCAAATCGTCCTGTGTGCTCTTGTGCAAGAAGAGCTTATCTTCTGTTCAGCGAACTTAAGTCGAGTAGCTTGAGTTGAGTGGAATCGTGGCGAGATAGAGATAGGCGGACTTCAACGATGCAGGACTGGCAGGGACTGGCAGGGATTCGAAGGATACGCAGGGATACGATATTGTAGGGGTGCTAAAAGGATTTTCCGACGCCGACGGCTTGAGTACACTGGTACAGAGCAGAGTATCTACCTTTGTATCGGAACACCAGGAGCACGCCCATTGCACCACCAATAATTAGGCAACCCACCAACGTAGCGCAGTCAACCTTATCATCATCACTACTACACTACCTAGGTACGCAGTTTGCATGCAACGAGGACGCAAGCAAGAAAAGACTTACTGAGTCCATCCCGGATCTGCCCTTCCAGAGAAGAATGATGGTCAGCTAACATAGGCAGGTCAGGTATTCCGGTACTCTAGTAATGCAGTACCAGCACCAGCACCAGCACTCGCACTATCTGCCTACAATGTATCCGTACAATACCTCCTAGGTGTAAGTGCCTCCCACATCTTCAGTGGATCTCAACGAGACCCCCCATGTTTCTCGTTCTCCAGACTTCGACCGACGTCTCAAAATAATGACCTTTTCCACTCTATCTCTAGAAGGAACCTACGCAAGCCCGCTAAGGCTGACTTCTCCCTGGGCTTATCTCCTCCCAATTCCACGTTCAAGCCAGGCATGTCAGGTCATGTCAGGTCAGGTCAGGCAGATCTCGATCTAGCCCGCCACGACAGGTCGGCAATCAGTCGGGACGGACAGACAGTCACGGCCCCTAAGCCCACGAGGTGCCAACCCGTTACAAGAACTCCGTACGGAGCACACCGTTTTCCCGAGGTGAGGTGCATCACACAGACCTAAAGATCATACAGTATCCGTATATTCGCTTGGGAGGTGTTTAGGTTATCTCTGCGGTGTATCCGTGTAGCTTCCATCAATCTCGCCTCCCCTCCCAGCCCCGATGTCACCCTCTATCTTCCAGGGGACACTATCTCATGACGGTGTCTGGCCAGTGCCAAGTCTGTCTGTTGGGAGACAGCCGCTCGTATGGATTTGATTGTTCAATTGCATTTCTTCAGGGAACGTGAACCATGATGTTGTTCACCTCTCGACGACTTCTTGATGTGACCAGGGTCATTCTCATTCATCGATCTCAGTACTGAGTACGGATATGGAGGACGGATACTTGCCACGTTTTCCCCGGACTCTGGCTAGACTACAGTAAGCTTAAGCATCCGGATCCCTGCGACTGGCTGGAATTGATCTGCTAGTCAGTGGTCAGAGAGCTGGCTTAGGCTTCGGACTTGAAGCTTCATGAAGTGGAGGTTCCTAAGGTAGTTATAGGTAAAGATAGGTATACCTAGGGAGGTACTCCGCACAGGTATAGGCACAGGTATAGGTACAGGTATAGGTACAGGTATAGGTACAGGTATAGGTCTAGGTATAGGTCTAGGTACAAGTACCTAAGCTTATAGATACCTAGATATGTATACTGCGCACTATCCCAAGGCCTCCATGGCTGAGGTGGTCTTTTTAGTGTTCCTAATGCCCCTAATCGGAACTGTAATCATTACAATTACTACGCAGGGTCTCCAGCTCTCTTTTGTCGTGTCTAGTACGAGTATGCGCTACCTAGTACTCCGTACTGCTGGCACTGCTGCCTTAACCTAAGCCTGCTGCCTGCTGCCTCCCACAGTAGGGTTTGCACCTGGTGGCTCCACCATGATGTAGTACAGTAAGGTAGGTAGGTATGTACATGACATCATTCACATGTGACAACCACCAACGGTCTGGTGCAGTGAGAGACACGGATTCTCCGACCTCTATACGGATACTCTCCGTACCTAGGTACTAAGTGTAGGTACACATACACATACTGGCATGGACACCTCGAGTCAAAGGCTACTATGGTATATATATCCATATATATGTATGTAGGCACCCAGCGATGGCTGCGACGAGCTGGGACAAGAGGCTAGGGGCTAGGCACATGCAAAACTGCTTGGTCATTCTGCACCTTTCCATCCTTTCCATTTCCGCATTGATACAGAGTAACATGTTAGAGCCTATGTAAATTAGGTACCTATGTAGGATGAGGTAGGTTCCCCCAGTCTGGTATGATCAGAGGACCGAATATACCTACCTATACCTATGTAGGTCCTCTGGAGATGAAGAGACCTGTACGGATACTCCGTATCGAAAGCAATTTCAATTTCAACACAGACTTCGCTTCGCTTGCTCGTGGTATTTCCAGGTCCAGGTCCAGGTCGACAAGACTTTGCGGTCTTGGGCACTGGATCGCATGAGGTAGATAATATGTTTCTCTCTCATACATTGCGCTCTTGGCTGAATCGCATGAGGTAGATAATATGCTTCTCTCATACACACACTCACACACCATACACCTCCTCTCCAGACCAGTATTGGAAAGCTTCATCCCTGTCCGTCCCGTCGATAATGTATTCGCCAGCAGCGATGATTCGGGTATCAATTGCAAGGAGTGATCAATTTGTACATAAACCAAAGCTACCCCTACCCCTACAACCAATCTTCGTCAACCAAGGGATGACAAGGATGATTCAGGAGCGGGCTGCTTTGATTCACTTGTTGGTCTTCTCCTGGGCGATCTCCTTGGCCTCCTCCTTCTTGGCCTGGAGGAAAGAACTGACCCATTTGAGCACATCTGAGCTCAGGACCAGCGACGTGGTGATGACCGCCTTGCCACCAGCCACCACACCATCTCCACCACACTTTTTGTACTCGTCACCGTACGTCTTGAAAGCCCAGTCCTTGGTGTTGTTCGCAGTCTCAAGCGGCCAGTTGATATAACCATGGAGCTTGCTCTGGATATCCTTGGTCTCCGACTTGACAATGGGCACCTGCTCGTCGATTTTCGACAGCAATTTATCACCAAGCTCGTCCGCCTTGGCCACATATGGCTTTGCGTAGGATGCGGGTGTTTCCAAGTAAGGGACGGCTGGCTTCACAAACTTGGCATATCCGGCATTGGTCAAGTCGATGGATTTGGCGCCATAGGGGTTCCCCTTGATGGTCTTGACCGAGTCGGACACGAGAGGGTAGGAGGAGAGGTGCTGGAGAAGGTAAAGTCAGGGTCAGCAAGCCTGTCAATAGATCCAGGTCCAAGGTTGAACCTCGAGTATGTGCAACCACGCTCTAGGACGGATACTTACAGAGAAGAATGCAGAATGAGGCAGGTCGCCGTTAACAGTGGCTTCACCCATTGTGATAGTCCAGGAAAGAAGGTCTAGGGGTGTCGATGGTCAGTAGGCTTCCGTAGTGAGACTCGAGGCGTTTTTGAGGTAGAGTACACGCCAAAGGAGAGAGAATAGGAGAGTTGAAGAGGCACGTAGGGTGGTCTTGGGGTTATTTTTTGTTGAGGATGGCAAAAAGGCGCGGTGCAAACATCCTGGGCGGGAAGGTTGGGTGCAACGCACATGCGCAGCGCAGCGCAGCGGGGAAAAAGCATGTGAAAGAAAGTGCCAGGTAGTCAAACTCACTTGGATTAAGCTAAGCTAGCAAGTGATGATCCTGCACCGCCACAATTCCGTCACAGACTATCCGTACAGACTGATGAGACTGATGAGACTGATGAGATCGATGGATGATGGAATGGCTGTTGCAGATTGCAGTTTCGCAGATGTGTGTGGGCAGAGGAAGAAGGAGGAGAGGAACAAATGGCGCAAACTCAGGTCGTGATAAGAAGAAAGCGGTTGATGGTGCTAGAGCCTGGGGGTGGTGCTCGGGCTTGGTTTTCTACGAGTACGGAGTAAAGCATTTGCTGAGCTTGGGGCAGGGAAACTGGCCTGGCCTGGCCTGCCCTGCCCGTGCCACAGTTTGGCATTTGGCATATGGCCGGCTGGGCTGGGGGGCACCTACTGTAAAACAAGAAAGACGACAAGGGATGACGATAGATGCTCAGAGGCCAGTAGCCATGAAGCCGTAACCGCCATGACTATCGCCATCCCATCGCTACGCTGCAATCAATGGGAAGGGTTACTGTAGAAGGGTGAGGCCGGGCTGGTGATGGGGACTGACATGTGAAAGCTGGCGGCAGTGGAGCCATGGCACTGATAGCACTGATTGCACAGCAATATTAATGACTGGCGTCACAGGCTGCCAACTATTAATTCTCAGTTACCAAGTCTGCGTGGTGCGTGGTGCGTGGTGCGTGGTGCTACTGGTGCTGCTGGTGCTACGACCACCGAGTACGGAGTATCCGTACACCGTACTGAGTACTACCTACAGTAGGTACCTAGAGGTAATTAATACACATACTCCTAGGTGACTGCCACCACTAGTATTTGACACCTTAGGACCCCTCCTGCGCTCACTGCTCCCGGGAGACATATCCGTGAAGCTGCTGCCACTGCCACCGCTGGAAATTGGTCCACCCGCCCAATGCCAGTGCTGCCTCCCATGAGGTTGCCTGTGTACTCCGTACCTACCTGCCTACCTACTCGTCCACCCCTAATGATTCAGACCCCCCTACTCATCAAATCCTATATGATTCAGACGGGCCGGACAGTGCATAGGCGAGCCTCTCAGACATCCGGCTGCGCCGAGGGCATAACGTCGTCGACTTCCGCTTTCGTATAGGAGCCAGGGACAGGGAATCATGGTGTGCGGGTGTGTAAGGTGTAAGGTGTAAGGTGTGTCTCTGTGTTGTACTCCGTCCTCCCCGGAACTCACGCTACATGTATCCATATCCGTACACTGTACTCGTACAGAGATATCTGCCAAGGCTCGCTTCCGTCTTTCTTGAGTCTTTCTTTGGCTTTCACATGGCATCTTCCCCATGTCTTTCAATACGTCTTTCAATACGTCAGGATATTCTGCAACACTGCAAGACTAAGGAGGTCCTGTAGGGGTGGATTGCGGAGAACAGACCATGAGCCGTGGCTTGAAAGCATCCCCGGACACCCGCACCCGCTCCCACACCCACAACCACGCGGTGGAGACTAGACTCTGCTCTCGTGAGATGAAACCGCCTTTTCACTTTTCAGTGCGGCCACCACGGCATGAACGTGTCTGGCATATTATTGCCAGGCACGTTCTATCATATCTCTACTGACCTTCTGTTCTTGGGACGGCCAGTTTGCAGGCTGTGTTTTAGCTACTCGTATCCGTACACACCCCCCGGCCGAACCGTCCCAAGCGGCGATCCTGTCGACAATCATTAATTGTCTACTGTCCCGCACGCTACAAGGGTTGAGCTCCTAAACTTGTACTGTACTGGCACAGGTGGACGGAGGCCTAAGACCTGCCCCTGCAAGCTGCATATCTATGGGAGAAGCATGTGAAATGTGGCACCACTCCCCCGGTCCATGCACATGCCGCGAGGGAGAGAAGGATTTATAAAACGTCGACCGTCACGCCTTGGACGGATCATATCCTGTTTCAGGTAAATTCTAACGAACTGGCTGCAGTGCCCAGGACACCAGTAACGACTATTGCTGAGTCTCATGCATCTCAATTATCATGGCCATTCTGCAAGCGCAAAGTGGTCTGTCTGCCCTAGCTGTGCCTGTCCTTGATCTCCGCATGCACCAGGCTGGATTTCCTGCCACATGCACCCTCAACAACCCCCCGAGCTGCAAGTCCAGTTGATGCTCGCTTCCAACACATCTTTTTAGGCCGACTTGCATATTCGTCCGAAGTCCTGCGCCCGTCCACTCCCATGATGGCCATGATGGTGTCCTCAAGTCTCGCAATGAATTGGTATGCTTTAACCCTAACCTCCGTTGCCGTCAACAGCTAGCCGCTTCCATCTATTCCAGATGAAGTCGGTCGAATCCTGAAGGCACCTGCCAGCCATGATTGCGACAGGCCCGCACATATGCTTCGACCGCCTCACCAATGCCATAGGTATCTTGTCCGCCCACACCCCCCTTGGCAAGCCTCGCAGGCCGCTCTTCGTCAGAAAGTGCCATGCGCACCTGCAGTAAAAGGCTCTCGACGCTCTGTGCTGCACTCCACCCATTGTTGGTCAACACCTCCATACACATGGCGCCCCCTTCCGTCACGTGGCCTCCGCCTCCCTTCGCGAATGGAAGAAACCGTGGTTTGACTACGCGAATAAAAGGCGGGCTGAATGGGAATTGGTTGGAAAATCGCATCTCGAGCACGATCGACGTCAGTCCACAGGCTTTTAGGTCCTGCGCCAGAGGCAGGCTGGCTGGGAAGCTGTGCAGTTCCACAATCCACTGATACATGTTGTTGATCAAGCTGCGGTCAATGTGCCATCCCAAGGTTGCCGCTGGGCTTCTCTCCTGCAGAGTCACGGCGTCACGCAGCAACCGCATGAGGGCCTTGGTCGACGTGGTTGTGGCATCTCTGGGTGGTTCCAGAAATTTGATGTCGCGCAAATCGAGCGTGCCAGGCACAAAGTCTGTCGCCAGCTCGGTGGGTGCAGCGAACGCAGTGGCACCACCATCGCAGCCGGGCAACGTTTCGTCACAACCACCAAGAGCATCATTTTCTTCCTCGAATCTGCTCGTCTTTAGGATTGCCAAGTCATCTGCATCAGAAACGACGCTGTTAGCGTCATCCTCTTGACGCTCACCGGTAGCTTGATCTATGCCGACCATGGTTTTGGCGCGCTTTCCCACCTCGGTTGGAGTCATTTGGATGCTCTGATACGGTCTGCGGGACTTGGAGATGGCTGATATCGGAATCGTTATTGCTTGGTTGGCTTCATTCCGGGCCAGATAGTCTGGGTCCTGTTCGTAGACATCCGTCAACGGATGACTGTCCACATTGAAGCCTGTGGCGGTCTTGACAAACAAATATCGAGTCTGGATCCAGTCAATGTCCGAGACCACGTAGTGTGGCGTCTTGCTGACAAACTTGGCCGGATTGTTAACCACTTCGTTAAGGGAGAAAGCCTTGGTGATGTTGAGCATCGAGGGTTTCCACTGGGCGCGAGTTTGATTATCTGGATTGGCATACACTAGACTTGTCTGTGCATGTGGGCTTAGGTAGACCCCGTTTCCAAAACTTCGACCATTGACTACTTCATCGTAGTGAAGCCCTTGTCGAACAATTGAGTGCCAGTTGGCCAAGCGACTGCCATGCCAGGCGAATATAGTAGGATAATTGGTACGGGTGGCAGCTGCCTCTCTCATGACGCAGTCGTTGAACCGCTTCTCTTTGTCTGGTGCACCTTGGGCAAAGCGAAATTGCATCCAGAGATCCATCCCCCCGATCCGGTCTTCCTTCATGAGCGAAGACTTGCGTTTGATCTCGCCACTGACTTCATCCACTTGCGCAATGCATGATCGATTCGAGGCTACAATCCAACGAAGTAGATTGACAGATGATTCGGGAATTCTCTCGCTCCACGATTTGAGGGATGCGGCGGCGCGTTTTCGACCCTTTGTTTGACGTTCCAAGTGCTGATACATTTCTCCAACCCCTGGCAAGACCTCCAACAATGTAAGAACAGCGCACAACTGCTCTTGTGTGGAGAGATCCTCAAAGTGGTTGTCATAAACATAGCAGTGAGCCTCGATAGTCCCTGAGATGTATGGCAGACTGTCATTTTGAACCGTGGCTGCTGTTTGCTGAGACGTGTCGATGTAGTCCACCCCGACAGGCTCTCCGAGGGATATGCTGGGCAATGCGACATGCTGAACTCGATAATGGGCAGCTGAAACGTTCTGGGAAGATACGAGGACTAACCAGTCTCCTCGTTTGAGCTTTCGGACATCTGGTGAGTGGTGCTCCTCGTCCACCATGAGTGAGTTCAGAGCGGGCGACCAACGGCAAGAGAATGATTTTCCCCCTTGGGACTGAGGTACCGGGCCAGTTGTATGAGGGTGGACTTGTAGTGCAGGATGGTTGAATACGACCCGAGGAGGAACAGGCACTACTAAGCCCATGCCGAGTGGGAGGTCCTTGAGTCGGCCTAGGCTCGCGGCAGCATAACAAAAGCTCACCAACAGATCCACAACGTACGGTTGAGAGATGATCTCCCATTCCAAGCTAGTGCCAAAGCCAAGAGACATGTACTGGTACAGACAAAGTGGTTTCGTGCAGACGTAGGGTTTGAGAGCCTCGAACGAGTCGTCGAGGCGACAGTGACACACAAGACAGAACTCAGTACAACGGACGAAGTGTCTGAGAACGAACTGCATGATTACCAGGGGCAATGAAACATGTTCAAGCGGCACCTCCCGCAGATGATCTGCGAGGGCAATACCTGGAAGGCTGCGTGTGATGACACTGTCGTCACTTTGATATTTTCCCAAGTCGTCAATGGCCGCACTTTCCGACGACGCTTGTCTTTCGGCGACGAATGTTTCTGCCCCTAGCCAGCCAAAACCATGCGAGATGCGAGATTTGATAATGACGAACAAGCGCTCCTCGAGAAACTGGTTGAGTGCTTTGCCAATGAATAATGGCTCCAATTCGGGACCCTTTTCGATGTTTTCAGGTCGGTACAAAGCGCCATCTTGTTCGACAGTATCGAGAAATGCTGATGCTTCATGCAAGGAAGGCTTGTAATGCTCACAGAGGCCGACACGCATCCTCACACCGGCCCGGACATAAGGATTCTTTGCCAGCTCGGTGGCATCAATGTATCCGCCCGAATATTTGATTAGGAGTATGAGATAATGTTTGCGTCGTAAACCCCAAGCCTGCATGGCTTCGTCGGATAGACCTAGCTTGACAACACGAATTGAAATGCACAGGACGCCCGACGTGGCAAGATTGCCAAAGATACCGACACGGAAACCTGCTGCTTTGAGAATACGGAGGTCTTCTCGTATCTTCCCCATCTTGACTTGGGTCTTTTTGGAGGAATAGGTGTTTGAAGATCCTATGTGGTGCGCTACGCCACTGTAGTTGAGGTCGCCCAGCCCGAATTCGCCATCGTCTGAATCATAGAACTCAAGGTCTGCATCGAAATCATCGGAGTTATCGACTCCAGATTCAGACTCTGCTTTCTCTTCTGTGTGACACATTATGGCTGCTGTAAGCCGCTCCGAGACTTCAGTCAGTATGGCTGGAAGTGTCTTGCCGGTGGAATTGTCAGTCACTTTCTGTAACGCCTGGGGGATGGTAGGATCGACATTCTCGTCATCAGTATAGAGCATGTAAGAATTGCCGTTGGGATATTCATCGAGGTTGGTAGTGTAAAGTTGTACGCGGACATGGTAAGGCTCCGAGGCCTTCGTATGGGTGTAGAGACAGCTAATGAGTCCCTCGTCTGGAGAGTGTACCCCTTGTATCTGCCCAATGACCGCAAGACTGGCTTCGGCCAGATGCTTCATAAACAATCTGCGGGCCATGATCACCAAGCTGGACCGTCAAGGGTTCAAAGTAAAGTTGCAGAGGTTCGCAGGTATCGCTATTATCAATTTCCCTTTCGGCGCAGTGCGAGACAAAAGACCTAGGTGTAGGCTCGGAGGAATTTGGGCGCAAACAGATCGACAAGGTGCATAGCCGGTCTCAAAAGAATAGCATGGCCGATCATCGGGAAAGAGGATATCTCTGACACAGAGGGAGAGGGGGGAGAGGAGAGAGGGGAGATGAGGGAAGAGGGAGTGAATGTAGTGAATCAATATTCGCTATTGTCGAAGCAAATCATCGAAGTGCCCAGTCTAACACAGGCTCGACCCAGGTTGAACCAAGGCTCAGGCAAAAGTCAAAGAAAGGCTGGAGGCCAAGGAGACCCAAATACCTTCAAGGTTTAATCAAGGACAACGGCCAAGTGGAAGCGACCATGTAACGCGTCGGACTTGAATGTTTACGCTGCTGTGAGGCAGCACTTGCGGTCCCACGACAAGGCAGCAACGCACTGCATGCCGACATACTAGTTCGAATCATGCTGCACTGCAGGCGCCTGCTCTTCCCTGCTCTTCCCTGCTCCTTGGCAGCCTGACGCGGGCTCTGCATGCCACTCAGGCTGCAAGCCAATGAGAATCTCTCACATGACTTCACTCACTGGCTGTTGGCCACTCCATGATCTGCCATCTGAACAAAGCAGGATGCACATGAGGTGACATGTATGTCCAGCATGGAGCAGCAAAAGAAGCAGCAGTGAATCCTGACTTTAGCTTCGGGAACCACAAGTGCCTATCCGCACTAAACTTTGGCCTAAGCGCGCTATCTGAAGGGATCCTCCAGGTCCTCTCGGCGGGACTTTATTCCGGAGCCAGGACCAGTTCAACTGCCAGTGCTGATACTTCAGAACAGATTGATGCAGCATTGCAAGTTTGTTGGGCAAAAAGTTCCATTCTAGTCCAGAGTATTGCTGGCTGCTGGTTGCTGGTCCTTAGTTCTGGCCGAATGGCGAGTACTAGGCCCAGTCCATGTCCCAGGCCAACAAACAGTTCATTACAGTCACTCCCTGGGCCTTGGACCGATCATAACTTGGGCCTATTCTAAACGAGAATCCCCTCAAGATGCCTACTAGGATAGACGCCGAATCGCCCAGCACTGAAGGAGGTAGCTCCATACTGTCAAAGCTCAAACAGCCTCAATTCGACCCTGTCGACTTCCTCAACGCGGCTCTTCCTGCCCTAACTTTTTCGTCGGAAATCCAACCACAAAGAACGAGCAAGTCTGCGCAACTCCAAAGTACCTCCGCCGAGACTCTCACGCTTCTTAACTCCCTCAATGCCCTCAACATTCGTGCTTCTGCCGACTTGACATCTCTGACGGACGAGATTATTCGCAGTGGCAGCCGTCTGGCCTACGAGGTGGAAGTCCTCCGGGGTGATGTGAATGGGCTACATGATTTGTTGACAGAGTCCTTGCGGGACGAAATCAATCAATTTGTGCTGAATGAGGTGGTCACTGGGAAGTCAGGAAGCCCCACTGGCGACGCGGGCGACCAGAAGGCTGCACCGTTACCAGACGAAGTGAAAGAGCCGGACTTCATGATACAACTGCGCTTGCTCGGAAAAGTCAAAACGCGCCTAGAAGCTGTCATCTCCCTCTTTGGGGAGGCGATGAAGTGGCCGATGCCTCCCTCGGAGCTGTCCATGGCTTCGTCTCTGATATCAGTCTCGTCTCCGGAACTCGGGCTTCAGAGCACGGCAGAGGACGATAAGGCACGAGAGGTCTTGAGGGCTATACGAGGAGAGATCACAGATCTTCTTGATTCTGAGTCGGGTGGGTACGCGGGACTTGAGGCAGCCTCACAGAGGGTCGAAGAATATAGACAGCTGGCCATGCTGTGGAAAGGCACGGGTGAAGAAAGAGCCAGGATAAAATTTGTAGAATCTCTAACAAAGATTCTTGAAGAGAAGAAGAAGAGTCTAGACGGCAAAGGGGGATCTCGAAATTCTAGAGCCGATGGAGCAAGCTCATCATTAGGAAGGAATCAAAGGGGACTGGGTGAAGGAGGCGGCGGCGCCGCCGGACTTTTCAGAAATCTCCAGCGGTTGAAGGATGATCTGTATTTTGAATAAGCATTAAGAAACGACGGGACGATGGGAATTGACGTGAGAGTTGAGCAATGACGTGCCACACTCCTCAGCATGTTGCATCCGCATCCTGTTCCTACGTTCCAATACTTGCTCATCACCGTCACTCGAATGGGGGCCGAAGTTTTGCTCAAGTGTTTCCAGGTCGGGTCCGTAACGTGCAAAGCCACCTCTCATGAGTTTCGAATTTCATTTTATTCATGGATTTGGCATGCTTTCTGTCATCCGCAGACGAGGAATCAAAGTCCTCATACCCGGGTATCGCCGTGAAATGCCGACCGCCACAGACTTTTCCCCTTACACCCTTGCATCTAAAATCTCAGCGGTGTGAAGAACCATCTGTTCTTTCCACTCAGGTATCTCTCTTCCAGCGCCTTCTTGACATTCTTCTTCGCATCCTCTCGCTGAGAGACCTCTTTGAAGGTATCGTTCGAGATGACGCTCTTCAATCCCTCCAATTCGAGTGTGTATCGTGTCGGCATGATGTGGTTGTAGTTGATGACCTTGATGAATGGCTTGATTTTCGATCGCTTCTCGGTTCGCTTCTTCCCCATGCGCCGGGTGACTTTCAATGGGTAGCGCTCGATACCTGCGACGAGAGCGTAGGAGAAAGGGTGCGCTTTGGTGCCGGAGTCGACAGGCTGAATGATGACGACCTAAAAATCCTGTCAATGCTGTTCGTGATGCACTCGGGAGCCAGGCGCTTCGAATTAAAAATCCGCCGACGCTGGGCTCAACATGGTTTCGTACCTTTCTTCCGGCATATCGGCCTCGAGTGATGATGGCCACACGGCCGACCTTGAGAACTGCATGAGAAGTCAGTTATCTGGGCTGTATACATAGCCTCGAACTGCCTGCTTACACTTCATCTTGAGGTCAAACTGCTGACTTGGAATGATCGTGGGATTGAAGACGCTGGTCGGCACAAAATTGCGGTGATATTGCAGGTAGCAGCCTCGGGCAGTGTGGGATTTCGCAGGCTTGGCGCTTAAAATGTGTGGCCCGCACTGACTAGCTTTGATTGGTCCGAGAGTACAGCGTCACATGACCGGCTAGCTTTGTTTACATTACCCGATTCGGAAGGGTCAAACAGGAACCAGCCCATTGCCAACATGCTGGTTATTGGGAAGATACTTGCCAGCATCCAAACCTACTCCTATACCATTGCTTGATCTTGGTCGTCACATTTGTAATAAGCACCGAATTCTGCTGCTGGAGAACGATCAATACAGTTGCAACATGAACATCGAGGACGTTCATCTTAACTGACAGCATTGCTAAGAAGGTTCCCCACAAGGCATTGACCACCATGTCTGCCTACTCAACCAGTTCGAGAGACGCTTCGCGGGACCGTGCTGAGTCTCGAATGGTGAAGCACCAACACTCATTTTCGGAGTCTGGTAGGAGCTCCGTGCCCATGTGAGTCCCTGTTGGGTAAACCAGCCGAGTGTACAAATATTGATGCACAACACAGGTGGGACAGTTCAGACCCTGATAGAGCGCCTCCACCACTTCCGCTGAATCCTGGTGTACCAGGCAGCCCAGTGACCAGATCTAACACCTCTAAACGCATTGAGGAAGCCGCCGCTCTCATCACGGCCAGAGCACGAGAGAATGCGCCCAGCGCGTACACAACCAATCCTCCACCGCTTTCACCCGACCGTAACATCATGCGAGCACACAATCGGCGAACGCAAAATATACAAAGTCCTGGTGGAATCAGACTGAGCGACTCCCTGGAACGACGATCTCCCGACAAAGGCCTCCGAACCGCTAAGTTCGTGGACTTCGAAGACTTCCGTAGCAGTCGGTCCTCCGAACGTGGCCCAGTGCGACCGAGATCAGAAACTCCGACACCCGCCGATAGGAATGGATCAAGGTCCAAAGAGGTTGAAAACACGCCACCTGCGTCAAATATATTGGCTCTGCAGACAATCAGGAACAAGCAAGATGCGGCGCCTCTGGGAGATATCACCAATGGAGCATCTCCACCAGTCCAACCATCTTTCTCATTCGATGTCCTCTCTTCTCAGATACTGAGCCTGACCAACTTAATTGCGAGCGTCCAGAAGGAGATGGCAAGCCTGAATAAGAGAAGCAAGGACAACTACGGTGACCTTATGAGTTTGAAAGAAGCCACTACAGCACGAGATGAGGACATCCGTAATAGTCTGCGTGAACTTGTCACGGGGCTTGAGAACAAGTTCAGCAAGCTTGATGCTCGACTACTTCCCTCGCCAGAGGTGAATAGGTCTACGCCAAATCTGGGACTGTATCTCGACGATAAAGCTCATAACGGCTCTCCACGGCCCAAAAGCTTCGGCTTGCCGCGCCTTGGGAGTCCAACATCTTTCTCCATGGCTCTTGATCGAGACTTGACTGCCTCACCCTCCATTGCTTGCGTGGATGGCGCGGCCAGCATTGCTCTCTTGGAGAAAGTTCTTCGGGAGATGGCCACTCGTGACGGGCAGGACAAGATCATGAACACCCTTGAAGCAGTCAAAACCCAAACACTTGTTCATTCAAAATCGAGCCCATCTGCACCGGTCTCGATAGACCCTGCCATGATGTCGAAACTCGAGGATATCCTGCTATTCATGAAGGAAATGAAAGAGGAGTCAGGGTCGAAAGCTCTTGTCCGCTCAGGAGGCAACGAGACTGGCAAAGGGCCTTCAAATCTGGAGATCTACCTCGACGGAGATGCCAGGACAGGAACTCTGGCCAAATCGAGTTCTGAATCTGTTAATGAGGAAGTGATGAAGATGCTGAAAAGTGTCAAGCAGTCCATGGCTCAAGGTGGCGGCCTCACAAATGAGGTCAAAGTCCTGGTCCGTGAATTAAGAGGCGAAGTGCTTGGGATGGGCCGCGAGCTTGGAAGAAAATTGGAACAGTCTTCCATCCCAGACAAGGGAAACAGCAGTGAGACTCATGCAGCTATGCAAGTTGAAGTTGCAGCGATTGTCCAGCAAGGTCTTGCAGAACTCAAAGATCATATGCATCGGATTGTGCAGGACAACAGGCGCCGTTCTTTGGACAAGTCCCATCCACCAGTCGACACTCAGGAGATCATTCAGGCCGTCCAGGGGGTGCTCTCTCAAATGCCTCGCCCTCGCGAAGAAGGAGCAAAGGATCCAGTTGCTGAGAGAGAGGAGTTGCTTGCTGCAATCAGAGAAGCATGGGAGGACTGCAAGCCCGAAATCGCACTCGAGCACTTCGGACTCGAGCGAGATGAGATATTGGAGACTCTCAAGGAGGGTCTTAAGGCATATCAACCTCAGCAACAAACTGCCAGGGACACAGGCGCCACCTACGAGGATGTACTTGAAGCTGTTCGGAAAGGATTGGCGGAATTCACGCTCCCTGACCTTGCAATCCCGGCTATGATCTCTCGAGATGACGTGCTGTCAGCTGTCCAGCAATGCCTGGAAAGCTTTGAATGGCCCAACGTCCATCATAAGGAGGACACTGGCAATAGCCTGACACGAGAAGACGTGCATGAAGCCGTCCGTGAAGGGTTGGCACAACAGGACAAGACTGCCAAAGAGCATCTCATCGATGCAGTAAGGGAGGGTCTTTCACACCAAGAACCTAATTCCAAGGAAATTGAGTTCAATCGTGAAGATCTCTTTGATGCCATCAGGGCTTGCCTCGAAGGCGAACAAAATCCGCTCGGAGGAATGGGCGAACGCGTTATTGATGCCATGCACGAGTTCTTGGGCAGCATGAAGACAGAGTTTCAACAATACTCCGCTGCGAGCGGGAAGGACACCGAGCAGGTACTCGATGCTCTCAAGGACGGTCTTGAAGATCTCAGAGCCGAGATCGTGAGCTACGTGGATCGTGCCGCAGACGTCACCGGCAAGGATGAGATTATTGACACTGTCAAGGCTGGCTTTGCTGCCATGCAAGCCGACATCGACAAGAACGTTCCCGATCGCAGTAGTAGCGCTCCCAACACACCCGAGCTTCTAGATGCCATGGAGAAGGAGTTTGAACATCTCCGGGACACAATCAGCAAGAGCATGGCGATGAGCAACGTCCTCTCTGACAAGGATGAAATCCTGGATGCTATTCGAGACCTATCCGACGAAAGGCAGTCATCTCTCAGCAGCAACAGCGAGGATGTTGTTCGCCTTGTCAAGGAAGAGTTGGAACACATGAGAACAACTCTGGCAGGTACACTGATCAAGAGCGGCTCCTCACTAAACCGCGATGAGGTGCTGGAGGTGATCCGAGAAGGGCTCGAATACTCTCGAACGGTGCCCAAAGCGGATGGCAACGAAAGCATTCTGTCCAACACCAGTGAGCTGCTCGACGCTTTTCAGGATGGTGTCGATGGCATCAGAGCGGACATTCAGAAGTTAACCGACCGCCCTGTGGATCTGAGCACGAGCTATGAAATACTGGATGCATTGAAGACAGGAATCGAGGAGGTTCGCGCTGACATTGCGACCCTTTATGACAAACAGAGTGAGGGCTCTGAGACAAACACGGCCAGAGGCCAAGAGATGGTAGTTCATGATCAAAATCGCATCTCAACCGAGATAGAAGGATTGAAAGTCATGATCACCCAGTTGAGAATCAAAGTCGAAGCACTGGACGGAATGACTGCACCACCTGCGCCCACGGAAGTACGGGTGCACAAAGATGATATGAACGAGATCTATGACGCGATTCATCAGGTGGAAGAATCGGTCCACCGGTCTAAGCAAGATGGCTCTCACGTTCACAAAGATGACCTGGACGGCTTACACACTGCTATCAATCAAGTCAACGACGTGGTTAGTCAAATTCGTGATGCCCCTCCGCCAGAAGCCACTATACCAGAGAATGCGGCCTCGAAGGAAGACACCGATGCAATCGAGACCTTGCTACGCAATTTGAAAGCCGAGCTGGACGAAGTGCTCTCTCCAGATGCCGAGGAGCCTCTGGCCAAGTCAACTCAGATTGGTGCCCTTGAAGTCATTCTGAAAGACATCAAAATGACTGTCGAGGAAACTGCGACCAGAGCCTGCGAAGACTCTAGCAAGGAAGACTTCACCCTGATCGAGCTTATGTTGAAGGATGTTCAGGGCAGCGTCGAAGATGTCAAGTCGAAGATCGACAGCAGCCATTCAGCTGACAAGGCCATCGATAAGACTGACTTGCAAGTCGTAGAGACATTGTGCATGGATATCAAATGCCAGATTGATGCTATCAAGGTCCCGGATTCCGATGTGCTTCCAAGCAAGGAGGACCTTGCAGATCTGAAAAACGATCTCAAGGCTTTCCGCGAACAATTCGAGGCTGACAACGGCCTCACTGCCCAGGCTTTCGAGGCTCGGAAGATCGAACATGGTGGACTGGCCACGAAAATTGATGATGTCAAGAACGTGATTGGCGACCTCCGGGACGAGTTAATTGGCAAAGTGGAAGGCAGTGCAGATGGCATCGTGGAGTTGAACAAGGTGCTTGGGATGCATCACGATGACATGAGCAAGTATGCTACTGCTTCCAGCATTGCAGAAATGTCAGAAATGATCAAGAGTGAGCTCGAGCGGCACATGGAGCACCATTCCAGCAGCAAAGCCGAGATGGAGGAGCGAGACGCAACCCTGTTCACCAAACACGAAGAGACGGGTTCCGAAATTAAGATGACCATCGAGGACAGATTTAACGAGCTGATGTCCAAGTACGACGACGCACAGCTCCTGAGTGACGCCAAGCTGAGTGCACTTGAAGACCGTGACAGCGCACACCTCGAAGCTACCAACAGCACAAAAGCTGTAGTGGATGATCTCAAGTCCCTCATGGACACTCTGGGCTTGACGATCACGGAAAGCTCGGAACGAGTCTCTGAGGATTCCAAGACCGTCTTCAGCTCGATTGAAGAGTCCAACCTCAAACTGGACGGCCTTCGTACTGCAAATGCATTCGAACACGGTGTGACGCGGGAGGAACTAGCCAAAGCATTCGTTACAGTTACGAGATTGGAGAGTTCGGTGGCAGAACATCAGCCAGCTATTCTGGCAGCAATCCGCGAGGTATTGGGAGTTGTCAGCCAGCACTATGAGCACTCTCAGCAACAGACGGAGAGCTTCGCACGAGTGACTGAAGAGATCAAAATAGGTGTCGACTCCATCCCGGCGGCCATTCCACCCTTGCTCCCAGCTCTACCCTCGGCTACTTCCAACCCTCCTGTCGTCCAGGAAGCGTCCGCCCAGAAAGAATATAACGATGATGAAGTCCAGAATAAGTTGGACAGTCTGCTTGCTCACGCGACTGAGGCTAAGGAGATGTTTGTGGGGATTGAAGACCAGCATAAAGACACGCAGGCTTCCTTGGCCAACATGTCCAAGCTTGACGATATCCATCAGCAAGTGGTCTCGACAGCAGCCGAGATTGCCAGCATGGTCACCACCCAAGCGAGACTTATGGCTGAACACCACGAATCTAAAGCTGCTGAAGCCATGGAAGCGGCCATTGCTTTGGAAAAACGGACAGCTCAAAAGGAGAAGGTGGAGGCAGATATCGTGGCTCTCAATGAACAGAAAAATGCCCTCATGGACTCCATGGCAGTGCTAAGGCAAGAACAGGAGGAGCTCAGCGGACAAACCAAGCGGTTGACGCGAGATGTGGCGAAACTGGAGACTGCATTGCAGATACGACAAGAGGAGATGCAGGAGATGAATGCTAGAGCCGAGGTTCTAGAGCGGCGCATTCTAGAAGGCCTCGTCAACCAAGCGCGAGCAGTGAAAAAGAGCTCGAGACCAACAGGAAGATCTAAAATGACACCAGCGGAGAGAGATGCATCCATGAGTCTCAAGAGGGTGCCCAGCACGGCCAGCACAGTGACAGCCAGAACTTCCGTCAAGGGCGGGAACTCGGCGATTGGCAGCGCTGTGGGTATAGCGTTGAAAAAGAGAGCGCCATTTGGAATGAATGTCAAGGCGTCCGTAACTCCAAGGACGTCAGCGGTTGATCGCCGGATTCTCAGCACCAGTCACGTCACAGGCAATCGAGGCCGAAACACTCCTGAGATGGCAATGATGCTCGCTCCCGTGCCCAAGTCGACCGGGTTGGTCAGCCTGAAGCGAAGCCATTCGGTCAAGAGCAACCCTAGCAGCTATCTCAACGGGCGCAAAGCGAGCTGGAACGGGGTCTCTTCTGACCTGACCGACAAGGAGAATTTCAACCTTGAGCACGAGGACAGTGAAGATGATGGCGAGACTGATGCAGACACTGAGAGGAGGACCAGCTTCGACACCAGTGTCATGTACAGTGACAGCATGACGTATGGGACAGGAAGCTCCCTGAGCGGGCACAGTAGACGGTCGACAAGCTGCGCCAGTAGTATTGTGGGGACTGTCAATGGTCAGTCTGAGAGCATTGCAGAGGAAGACGAGGACGACGTAGGGGACGCAACAGAAACAGCCCTGGTCCTGCATGGGACCTCAGCCGACTCTGGGCAGGTCAACGCAGGTCAAGACAATTCGATGGCCATGACCACGCTTGACGGGTTGGAGACACCAGTTGCTATGGCAGACGAGCTCTCCGACCTCCAGCCTCCGCCTCGCATGACAGAGCACGGATTCAAGTACCATGGGAGCGACAGTGGGCTCGGAAGTGAGCCATTGACGGCAGGAGCTCGGGAGAGCGCAGGGGAAGCACAGGAATATTTCCTCATGACGGCGCAGGAGATGCAGAGATGAGTGAGGCAGGAGTGGAAGTGGGTTGGACAGGCTGGCGTTGTATGTTCAGCGGCACTTGGGAATGAGCGTTCAGCGATCGGGCAATGAGGAGGATTATGCAGAGTGAACGGCGAAATAGGTTTTGTTAATTGAACGTGATATGGGGTCTGTGTGGGAATAACTATTGATACAATACTCGTAGTACTTACTACTCAGTCAGGGTGGCAGCCTACCTATGTAAGCCTTGGCCCCTTTAGCCCCTTATTAGCCGACAGCCTTCCCCAACAATTCATCAACCTGACTCGTCATTGCGCTCTCTGATTTGCTCCCTCGATCCTCACGAGGTCGCCTGCCACGCTGCCGACGCTGCCCACTCTGGCTCTGCGTCCATCCTCTTCATCCACCTGGGTTGCCGAGTGCTCAGATCCTTCTTCTCTCCTACGCAACTGCTCAAATGGTATGGGAGTACGAGACACCTAGCCAGTTTGATGCCCGCCTGCCTCTGTCAAGACTCGCCTTCTAGCTCTCGCGATGATCGACCCTTTCCCTCCTCCACCGCCGTGGCTCGTTGACCTGGTCAAGCCCTACAGCGACGCGCTCTATCTCCCGACCTTCCCATACCATGTCCACGAGGTCATTTTCGCCTTCGCCTTCTATCAAATAACACAGTCCATCCTGTCACCTGTTTTGTCGGCATTCCTCTTTCCCGAGATCTATCCCAAACTCACGCGGCGGACGCGCATCAACTGGGATGTGCATGTGGTGTCTCTTGTGCAGTCGTGCTTGATCAACGGCCTAGCCCTGTGGGTGATGTTCAGAGATGAAGAGCGATATGACATGCAAAACAGCGCAATCGAGCGGATTTATGGCTACACAGGAGCTTCGGGGCTGATCCAGGGCTTTGCCACGGGCTATTTTGTTTGGGACCTCGTCGTGAGCACTCGGTATCTCAGGATCTTCGGTCCTGGCATCTGGGCACATGCAGTGACGGCCCTCGCAGTATTCTCACTGGGCTTCGTATGTGTCAAAAGTATGATGCGCCTTCTTAATCAAGCTGACGAGCGAACGCAGAGACCCTTTTGCAATTATTACGGCCCAGTCTTTATCCTCTACGAACTATCCTCCCCCTTCCTGAACATTCACTGGTTCTGCGATAAACTCAACAAGACCGGATCCAAACTCCAGTGGTATAATGGCATGTTGCTTCTGTCGTCATTCTTCGGCTGCCGACTCCTCTGGGGCACCTACCAGTCTCTCCGAGTCTATCAAGATGTCTGGCACACTATGCATTTAAACGGCACAAGTCCAGTGCTCCGAGAAATACGCAGCTCGCCACACTCGTCCATTTTCGTGCCAAGAGATGGCCAACTGTGTCTAGGTGACAATAGCTGCATTGTCGCACAATCAGAGGTTATGAAGTTCACCGGTTCTCATACTGAAGCCATTCCTTTCTGGCTGGCTGGTGTCTACCTGACTTGTAATCTGGTTCTGAACTCTCTCAACTTTTACTGGTTTGCCAAGATGATCGAAACTGTGCGCAAAAGGTTCCAAGGCAAGCCACACGATGAGTTTCACCGTGAGCGAGACAGGAAGAACAGCAGGGTAGAAGAAGCAGCGACGGAGCTTGATCATGCGATTATTTCAGGGTCGAAGACGCCACTGGAAGAGAAGGATGATGCGGTTGCACGGAGTACAGGAGTGCCAGACGGTTCAGCGCAGGTGAAGAAGCGCTAGGAAGAAGAGTACCTGGGTCTGTGTCCGACGGTCGAGACACAGAGACGAGGCGAGACGCGCTTGACATAGGGGCTTATTGACATATAGTTGTGGTAATTGGCGGGGATGTCATGCTGCTGGCAGGACGATACTCCTGGAAGCCGGGCTTTTGTGCACTTCTAGAACAAGAAATCATCGTACGGATTAGAGTAATAGATCATATTATATGATTCTGGCCAGGCCAGCTGCATAATGCCTCTTGCCGATCTGGATCTAATCTGGCACAGTTTGATCTGATCTAATCTAATCTAATCTAATCTATTTTATCTCCAATGATCCAGCTGGGCTTGGCGCTTGTTGCCCAATCGACCGAGAACGCAAACATGGAGACGCCATGCGGTGCGGTGCCTTGGACTCTGGAGAGCCACAGCCACCTGACAGCGACAGCGGTCGAGGAGACCACAAGGCAACATCAAGCGCCACCGTGCCACTACCAACCCCCATTTGTATCATAAATCTCAATCTACTCCTTACACTTCCAGCACAAATCGTGCACACAGCCTGCTCGCTCCATACGGCCGGCGCGGTGCGCCCCCTCACCCTCACCCTCGGTCACGATGGCCTTTCTCTTTGGAGGACGAGGACGACAGAAGCAGCCAGCCGAGATCGCCAGGTCACTGAAGGATCTCCTGATTAAATTGGCGGAGCCGAATCCGAATTCAAAGGTACCCATACCGCCAAACCGCCGTCATTGTGTCGTCTGATAAAGCGAGCCGCAGGTGGAGGAAGATGTCGCGAAGCACATGTCACAGATGAAATTGATTGTACAAGGAACGCCCGGTCAGAGCCCCTGAGGCAGTGGTCACTGGGCTATAGCCATGTTCTAACGACGACCAGAAGCCGACTGCAGTCCTGAGCAAGTGCATCAGCTTGTGCACTGCATCATCCAAGAGGACATCCTGTTCGAGCTCGCCAAGTCGGTCCGCCTCCTCCCCTTCGAAGCGCGCAAAGACGCCCAGATCATTTTTTCCCACATCCTCCGCTTCAAGTCTCCAAACAGTTCCTCGAGTTCGCAGTCGGGCTCGTCCGATCCTTCGGCAATATCCTACCTCGTCCTGCAACGGCCCGAAATCATCGTCGAGTTATGTCGCGGATACGAGTATCCGCAGAGCGCCATGCCTTGCGGGACAATCCTCCGACAAGCACTACAGTACGACACCATTGCCGCGGTAATATTATACGACGAATCCGGGCCGGGGGAGAAGGCGGTGCAGCTGAAGGATGTCGACGTCAGCCGCAGACAGAGCGGCAAGGGCGTGTTCTGGAACTTTTTCAGCTGGATCAATAAAGGCAGCTTCGAAGTCAGCGCGGATGCATTTACGACTTTTAGGGTACGTCTGAAATCCAAGGCAGTGAAGGAAATATGAAACAAAAGGAACGGACTGATAGTTGCGGCTAGGAAATCTTGACCAAGCACAAACAACTGGTCTCGCAATACTTGGCAACGAATTACGACCTCTTCTTCAAATCACATTACAATCCAACCCTTCTACTGTCTTCGTCTTACGTTACGAAGCGGCAGTCCATCAAGCTCCTCGGTGAACTCCTCCTGGACCGCGCGAACTACGTGATCATGACCCAATATGTTGCAAGCGGGGAAAACCTCAAATTGACGATGAATCTCCTGAAGGACGACCGGAGAATGGTCCAGTACGAAGCCTTCCACGTCTTCAAGGTGTTTGTGGCCAACCCGAACAAAAGCGATGAAGTCAAGAGAATCTTGATTAAGAACCGCGGCCGGCTACTCAGGTTCCTGCCCGGCTTTCTGGAAGGCCGCGCCGACGACGACCAATTCCTCGACGAGAAGAGCTTTTTGCTCCGGCAGATTGAGAATCTGCCCGAGGAAGGGGCGTAATTGGCTTTTGTCGGGGTATAGAAGCGGAAGGGAGCAAGCAGTGATCGATCGGGTCCGGTCGGTGCCTGAAAAGGGTACTCATCAGCCCGGCCGGCGCTGCCTTTTTCTTCTTCAAGCGGTCACTGTACTGCTGGCTGGTTGGTTGTGACATTGGCGGGCATTGGAGGCGGCATCTACTACACTGCAGCGACCAAGTCGAAGTTTCTTGCCACCAAACGAAAGACATGACTGTATTTCCTGGCGTTTACTGGTGTTCCCTAGGGGTCAGGTCAATGTCCGGATGATTGAATGACTCAAGACCGCCATGTGGATTGGTTGATTGATTGGTTGATTGATTGGTTGATCGATTGGTTGGTTGGTTGGTTGGCTGTATTACTGACCGCAGAAGAAGCAGAAGAAGAAGAAGAAGAAGCAATGCTAGCAGACCAAACAAGAGTCATTCATTGACGCCGTCACATTTAATTCCAGCCCTAGAGATCCCGACCAAGCCAACAAACCCGACCGAAAACTAGACCGGGCATGCCGCTCACAATCCTCGATTGAGGACAGGCAATCGGCTCCCCGCTCGTTTCTCCATCGCTCTCCACAGTGGCAGTGAATAGAAATTCCCCGGCGGGCGCTACACTGTACATGCTGCATCCAGTCGCTTGCCTCCCGCCTCTAGGGTTGCTAGGTAGGGACGATTTAGTAGTAGTAGGTATGTTCTGTATGTACTCCGTACTGTACATACACATACAGCCCATCAGGCACAGATGACGATGCCTGGGCTGTTTCTGTGAGCTAGTCCAGCGTTGTTCCAACAGACCAAAATTGTACAGAACAAGAACAAGAACAAGAACAAGAACAAGAACAAGAACAAGAACAAGAACATCTTCCAAGCTGAAAAAACTGCGAGTTACTACATAGTCCTTGCCAAATAATGGGTAGCATGCACATATAACATATATTACTACCTGCCTGCTTCATGGGTACGGATAGATGACTGGCCTTGCTCCCGCCTGTCCTGAAGCTCGCGAGCCTCGTGCCTGCTGATTCCCAGCTGGTCTAGGCGTGCCCGTGCCCCTAAGCCCGTGCCCGTACTCGGCGTCCTAGTCACCGCGGTGGGTGCGGGCTCTCTCTCATGTGAGCAAAATTCTCCACCCGGGTCACCGTCGCCGTCGCCACGGACTAGACTTTCTTTACACTCTGTTCAGAGATACTTTATTGCTCTTGGGCCGTCGCCGTTGGGTAAAGGCATCGCGAGACATGACATTGGTGAATCTTCGCCACTGTCGCCGTCGCCGTCGCCGTCGCCATTGCCGCCAATATGCTCAGCCGTATCCCCCCACAAACCCGTGCCAGTACCAGTACCAGCTACTCCGAATACCATGACTATCCGCAGCCAGACACGATATCCTCTCAACCTCGACACCTCTCCTCACTCACTCACCCAGACCCTCTGCCTTACGACAAGGGGAATTTCCAAGCCGGCCGGAAGAGAAGCGAGTCGGAACTCGATGGCACCGATTCGACTGACCGAGGGGCAGTCCGGCGCCGGATCAGTCGCGCCTGCGACCAGTGCAACCAGTTGCGCACCAAATGTGACGGGAAGCAGCCGTGTGCGCATTGCACCGACAGCTCCTTAGTCTGCGAGTATGCGCGAGTTCACAAGAAGAGAGGGAGGGCCCCCAAGAAAGAAATGGAGCAAGCTGAGGAGACGAGTTACGCAACACCTCAGGCCGCAACAAGCAATCATTCTGCCATTGCCCAGCCGGCACGTCCCCGAAAGTACTCGATTACGTCCTACTCTGGCCGAGATGGTATAGTCGACGGTGGCGCTGTGTCCTCCAGCAATCCGCCTGCGAACAGCAACTTTCAGGCCAATCACCACCCAGATTCGTTCTTTACCGGGTTTGATCCCACGCCCGGAATGAGCATGGCAAATGTTGGGCAAATGCACGAGCTGGATGCGTCGATGGCCTCTCAAATGGCACAGAGTAGGAGCATGGATTTTGCGGTCTCAAACCAAGCCTATCCGACGTCGACACTAGACTCTATGCACGTTCCGGGAGCAGTCCAAGGCTTCGGCTTTCCTCTGGGAGATGATTATTCAGTGGCCTTCATGGGCAAAGCACCCATGGTTGAATCGCCGGATTGGCTGGCTCTCACGTCTCCCATGTTCATCAGCGAACCTCTACCAGCACAGCCTCCTATCACAGAATCATTGAGATACCCTGTTCTTCTACCTCTTCTCCCCCACATCGAGTCTATCATCCCTCAAGCTCTCGCCTGCGATCTCCTAGAGCAATACTTCACAAGCTCAACGTCCGCATATTTAAGGCCGGCCAATCCATATGTCCTCGGATACATTTTTCGAAAGAAGTCCATCCTTCATCCAACTGATCCTCGACCTTGTACTCCTGCCTTGCTTGCTAGCATGCTCTGGATAGCAGCCCAGACGAGCGACGCCGCCTTCCTCACGACCCAGTTGGATGCGCGGGCACGGATCTGTCAACGATTGCTGGAATTGACGATTAACATGCTCAAGCCTTTAATCCACAGCCATCCCAACACTTCTGCGGCGACGCCCAATTCGAACTACCCTCAGTTGCCTCCCAAGGACGCCGGACTCGCTGCGTTGGTCGTGCCGACGTACTCTGGTGTACCTGGAGTAGACCGATCACAGATTGACAACTTGGCTACCTATATCCATTTGGCTACGGTAGTTTCCGCAAGTGAACGCAAGGCCGCGAGCCTTAGATGGTGGAATGCCGCTTGGTCACTTGCTCGCGAGATTAGGCTAGGGCGTGAACTGCCGCCCAATCCTCCGGGGCAGGATGGCGAGGAGACTGATGCTGGCATCAACCCCGCAGACAGTTCGATCGAGAACCGGAATGGCTCTCTGGATGGCACCCATCGCAAGGCTGTGGGCTATGTGTCTGAAGAGGAAAGGGAAGAGCGAAGGCGGGCCTGGTGGCTCTTGTACATGCAAGATCGTCATCTGGCCCTGTGCTACAATCGACCCATGGTCTTCCTCAATAAGGAATGCGAGAATCTATTGCAGCCACTAGATGATGACGTCTTCCAGGCGGGACGGTTTGACAAGGCATCGGATCCCAAACATCGGAGGCGAGGGCTGAACATCGAATGCACCTCCCATAGCGTGTTCGGGTATTTCTTGCCTCTGATGGTTATTTTGGGCGAGATCCTCGATCTCAACCATGCCCGCAATCGGCCTCGGTTCGGTCCGAGGGCGAATCAGCCCAAAAATTGGGACGAGCACACCGACGAAATCACTCAACAGCTTGAGTCATACGGACAGAGTCTCAAAGACTTTGAAGCTTCGGGGGGTCATGTCGCAGAGACCACCCACAATGATGTTGTGACGCCGTCGGTGGTTTCTGCGGGAACCAACGAGTCACACAATGCTTCCGAGCTGGTTCTGCAAACCAAGACCGTCGTGGCCTATGGCACCCATATTATGCACGTGCTCCATATTCTCTTGACGGGCAAATGGGACCCTATTGCCTTGCTTGACGACAACGATCTCTGGATCTCCTCGCAGTCTTTTGTAACTGCGACCGGACACGCCGTGAGTGCCGCGGAGGCGGTTGCGGAAATTATCGAGGACGACCCTGATCTGAGCTTCATGCCCTTTTTCTTCGGCGTGTATCTGCTCCAGGGTAGTTTCTTGCTGCTGCTCTTCGCGGACAAACTTCAGGGGGACGTGAGTCCAGATGTAGTGAAGGCCTGCGAGACGATTGTCCGCGCCCACGAGGCCTGTGTCGCTACACTGGACACTCAATACCAGGTAAGTAGATGCGGCTCTGTTGTGTGCAAAAGGACTTGTGCTGACGGGAATGATAATAATAGCGAAATTTCCGAAAGGTGATGCGCTCAGCTCTGCAGCAAGTTCGCGGACGTGTCCCAGAAGACCTGGCTGAGCAGCAACACTGGAGGCGTGAAGTGCTCGCCCTATACCGATGGACAGGGGATGGAACCGGGCTGGCGTTGTAAATACGAAGAACAAACATGACTGGATGAGCAACCTTGGATTGGAATAGTGGACATGTCAGTAATTCATGCGGGCATAGCTGGGGATGTTTTTGGCTACGGCGTTCACAGGAGATACCCAAAGGCGCTTCCTCACGATCGTACCTACACATTCTACTTACTGGTGGGCACCTAGTGGGTGTCACTCTGATCCCAAAGGAATGACCACAAAGCACGGTTATGGTCCAGGTAGAAGCAATAATAGCATTGGCCCCTAATCTCGACATTAAATATTGTACCTACCTTAGGTACCTAGTACAACTTGGAAGGGGTTTGTCTAGCTAGGTATACAGAGCAGTGTCAGATCAAAGTACCGTAGTAAATTCAGCACCAGTGAAGCCGTCGACGTGGTATTGCTAGCCGACGGAAGGCTATGCATAGTATTCATTTCATTGTCAAGCTTGCCTGGCTCTGTGATTGTGGATTGATGATTGATGATTGATGTGGTCTGCGGCTGGAGACGGTTTCCTCTAGTGCAGCCGAAATAAAATACCCACGGAAGAGACAGCAAGGAGCGCTCCCCAGCTGCAATTATGTACTATGAAATGGTGGTTGTTGTTAGGCGGGTGGCTGCAGGTTCCTGAGGCGCTTCCAAGCCTACAACTTTCCCATTCGTGGGCCGGAACCAGCTCATTCTCTTAACTCAAACACCGGCCAAAACCCAACCAACGACCAACGACAGGCTCGTCCCACCTCTCCCATACCATCCATCCCATCCATCCATCCTCCTGCGGCCTGGACCCTCCGGCAGTGGCCTCGGCTGGAAAAACAACTTCGGAGGAGCAGCAGAATACTGTGCAGTGTGCACACTCACGCCACAGCCGGGGCGACGAAAATCCTGCAGTGCCTGGCCAGCATGAGAAGTACGGATAGAGGATAGAGGGCACCAGGAACAATCAGGAGAAGAGAAGAGGTAGACAGGCAGACAAGACAGACAGACAAGACAACCGAGACCGAGACAGACCATCAAGGCTGTCGTTGTTCCTACTATCGTGCTATCCACCAAGCTACCGATCGAATCCGTCGATGGCCAAAGGGCTTGACAAGCCCTTCGATGGTTGTGACAAGTGTTATCGGTCACTTTTGGCGGCCTCGACACCTTTGATTCAACCTCCGAGTCCCTGTGGCTGCCTTAGGAGCCCCTCCCCTACGCCTTAGGAACCCTCCTCCTGCTCGCCTCCTCGCCTCCTGGCCTCCTTCCCCGATCGCACCCTGCACCCTCCATCAACCCTCTCTACCGTATGAACTTATCACTCCTCCCATGTTTTCCTCCTTCAATATTTCCCATCCGTCTCTCTTCCATTTCGCCCTGAACGATACGACTGAAGACCTTCATACCATGCCTTGTACATAGCCGCGCCCTATGCGACTCGACTCGACTCCAACTGCACGCCGACGCTCGACTCTCGTTTACCCACGCTTATCTCTTCTGCGTCACACGATGCACCGGTAGCCTGACGATTCCATCCCCCGGTGCTCAGTCTTTGAAACTCCGCCGGATTCTGTCGCCCGTCGCTCTCTCCCTCTTTTCGTGCTCACCGAACTGTCCTTCCCGCAAGTCGGAGACCAGTGTTGTGGTTGTGGTTGATCCGGACCTCCTGGCTGCCGAACCCAACAGTCCAGTCCGCGTTGCAAACTTCCCAGCGCAGCGGATCGGATACTCCCACAAGACCCAGGACCACGAAAATCTCTCCCCCATCCGAACACACGGTCTCCAGCCATGGCAGCTATGTCTCCGCCCCGTCCGACAGGTTAGTGATGGGTGCTGTCTCAGTTGGAGAAGCTTACCTTGCAGACGTCAAATGGCTGGTACCACCGCCCGGCTTGCCGACGACTAGTGGCTCCATTGACGTCTGACATTGCACCCGCCCACTTGTCTTGCTCCCATCTCCACATCCCTGCCATTGCTTTTCGAACCTGGTGACTTTTCTACATGTACCTATGTCTGTCCACCAATGCTAACATGCTTGCTTCAATTCCGTCCAGACGATTTCGACATGACCAAGCTGCAAAAGTCCTTGCAGCAACGACAGCGTCACTCCATCCGCAACAGTCCGCATGTCGCCAAATTAACCCCGGCCGAAATTCGGTCCTTGAACCACAGTGCACTTGCCTCCAAAGCAGGCAGTCAATCTAGCTCGAAAGGGTCTTCTTCACCGGCAAGATCGAGGCGCTCGGCCAATGCCACTCCGCCAACCAGTCCTGATCGCTCATCAGTTCTTGAAGCCCAGCATTACAAGGACTCGGTTTCGAGAAACTCCAGTCTCAATATCCCCACCCCACCCATCACGCCGAACGGGCGTCGAAGATCGTCCCAATCCAGCACCCATGGCCATGTTCCGGTGCAAAGTCAGACGAATGGTACAATTCACTCTCCTCGTCCCCGCGGATCGGGTCAAGCTGCCTTTATGGTGGCGAACGGGATGTCTTCCCGCCCATCAAGTTCTGGGTCCTCCACATTTCGTGGACTTCCCACTTACAGGGGGCCTGAAGTCACTCGGACAGGCTCCATAAACATGCTTCCTCGGCCTGCACCGAATATTGTGTCGAACCCGCTGTCCTATTTCTCACGACCGAGGCAAAGCATGGTCAGCTCGTCACCAGACCGTTGTCGGCATAATTCACAGGACTACGGCGGGAACAAGGCTCAGAGTTTGCGCAGCGCTCGTACCGATTCTTTGCCCAACCTCGACGGCCCCTCCTCTAGGTCTGCGAGCCCCTTGAGGGTCACCGATTCTCCCCTTTCAATGCTTGTCAATGAGACGGAGAAATTTCCAGTTCTTGACGTTGATGACCCTCACAACCAGCCCAAAATCCATTGCGATGACGAAGGCAACAAATCCGAAGTCAAGGGAACACAGACGCCAGCAAATACCAACGATGCGCCACTGTCGCCCGTTGTCCAGCAAACCCAAAGTCAGCCGGCAGAATCGCCGAAGAAGGAGCACAAGAAGCGGTATAGTATTGGTGTGGCTCTCTTTGGTAAAGACAAGAATGTTTCAGAGGGGTCGGAAACTGCACGCAAATTGCAGAAACCCAGACGGCGAACAATGTCCTTCACCAAGAAGGAAGCCCAGAAGTCATTACACGAAGAAACCCACCATGATATTGTCCAGGAAGTCAAAGTAGATGGAGCAACGATTGAAGATACTGATTCAGCGGCACATCCAGCGGTCCGACCTTTGTCTCTTATCATCCCAGGCGAGTTCAAAGGGAAGGAAAAGGAAATCGATGCCGGTCCCGTCTACGCTCGATGCTCCTGCTGCGGTAGACTAAAACGTCCACCAGGATATGCCAGCGAGCTAAGTCCAGTCTTGGAAAATGAAAACCTGAAGACGAAGTTCAGTTTCGAAATCGAACGGATGTCCCCGACAACACAAAGACGAAGCTCTGATGCTAGCCCAGACAAACATACGCCAATTATCCCTACAGAAATCGGCGGGAATGAGGCTCGTCAAGCAACTATTGAATCATACAAGGACCCGGTCAGCCCAGCTAGCGAACAGAGCCCCCCAAAGAACACCAGTCCCAGAAGATCAAAGAGACACTCTGATCCTCCCAGATTCGTCCGATTTGGAAGTTTACACGGCCGCAGAAATACCGATCCGACCGTGATCGACGAGGAAGACGAGGTCGACGTGGAGGTTAATGCCCCTCTCATGGATGCCCAAACGGGCATAGACGCTAGAGACGCCGGAATTCGAAATCTGGCTGCTGTCGAGGAAGTCGCGAGCAGCCGACCTGTAATTGAACATGATGGAGATCGATCATTCGTCGAGCCACAGTTCTGCGTGTCATCTTCGTCCACCGAAGTAGCAGCGGCTACCCATCCGCGATCGCCAATCCAGGAAACGCCGTCGGCCACTCTTGTCACACCGGCTCACGAGGCCAGCCCCGAGGATCAACCCGTGGAGACGCGGACGTCAAGTCCGACAAGCTCGTCACCCGACCAGAGCCAATCATTGCTCTGTCTGCCCGAACCATCTTTCGGACCAGAATTTGCACGAAGTAACACCATCTTGAGAAGCTTCGTCATGGAGTCGAATCGGACTGTCAGCAATCACGGCAGTGCCCTCGATGTGGGATTACCTGGCTCAGCGAGGGGGACGGGTGGTGTTGCTATGCCGGCAGCGATGAATCAGGCCCGAGCCCAATTGTTAGACACGGAGCGCCAAAAAGGTCAAAAATGGGTTGCCGAAGTCATGGCGGTTTAGATGTGGCTTCGGGGAGGGAATTGCACAAAACATCTATTAATTATCGTAGTAATCTTTGAGCGAGTTAGCGCATATAACGAAAAATGGAAATGAGCGTCGAAGTCGTGGGAGGCACGAGATGTGGTATTATTTGAGAGTGAATGACAAGCTTTACATACAGCAAATTCGTTTCAGACGCTAGATGGAATTACCCCCTGAACTTGGTTCGATATGCAGCTTCCACAAGCCCTGCGAATCGGCGACCATGGGTGATGCTCTGGCCATAAGATCCTCCTGCCTCCCTGCCTGATCTCGCATCAATCATGGGTCCCACAGCATTCCTGAACGCGGATCCTTCCATCTGCGTGTCCGTCTCCGTCTGGGCCGAGACTCACGCCCAGTTTTGGGATTGGGGGCCTCGATCGCTGTAGGTGTCGGACCCCAGCTCTGCAGCACCAGCGCCAAGGGAGGTGCTGTTCACGGCCGTCGTGCTCGTGACTTGGCTGTGGGTGTCGCTGCAGCGAGAGAGGATGCCAGGGCTGAGGTTGGGTTTGAGTTCGCCGGCGTCGATCTCCACGGGATAGACGGGACTCGGATTAGTCTGTCCTCCGTGCGCCACGAGTCCCGGTGCTCCTTGAAAGATGCCCAGGGGATTAGCATTAGGTCCTGCCGCCTCGTTATAGTGCGGTCCGTAACCGTAGACAGGCGGAGGAGACGGAGAAACGTGGTATGCCTGGTTCTGGTGCATCATCACGTTGGGCTGTGGTGGCGGCTGTGTGTACCCGAATGCAGGACCGTAGCCGTGCGGGTGCGGGTGCTGGTAGCCGGCCATCCCGCTTCCATAGCCCGGATGTTGGACCAAAGCAGGGCTTCCTGGCGTGACGGTCGTCGCGACAGACATGTGTTTTGGTTCGGCGGACGAGGCGCCGTATGCTCCCCCCTGTTTTTTATCCTGGGCCGCCCCAGGCCGGATTGGGCCGCCTGCCTCCGTTGCTGCAGCTTCGAGTTTGCGCATCCGTCCGCGCCGACGGTGACGAACAGCTAGACAGGCCCAGAGACCGCCAATCAGTAGCAGGGCGAGTACTCCGGCGCCGGCGCCGATGCCTGCTTTCGCGCCATTGCTGAGGTGTGTGGCCTCTTCTGATTCTTCCCCTTCATCGTCGGCACAGGGTAAGCCGAGCGCGAAGACTCTAGATTGGAGACGTTAGTTGTGGCAGATTCAACAGGACAGCTGCGGTTCTCTTTGTGCGGGTGGAGGGGAGTGAAGATATGTCGATGAACAGATTACACGATGGACAGGAGACGAAACGCGGGTTTGGGGACCGGGCAGGGGGCAAACCCACTGGTTGATGATCACGCTGACGGTGGGCGTCGAAGTCGTCGACGCCGCTGCCATTGAGACAGATATCGCCGAGGTGATAGATGCCAGGACCGACGCGTCGGGCGAATAGACCGTCGTGGTAAGTGAGCTGACACAGGGAAGGTTTCCGACGATGCTTTGGCCATATTGCGAGAAGCCGATAGGACTATGATCAAATTAACTGGCGTTGACACCCAGTGGTGCTGGGGGCGGCGCCAGTGCACAACTTACCAGCACACGGGATCCAAATCTTTCATGTCACTACCACAACAGTCAGCGTCAACATCAGACTGGAAAAGAATGAGTGAGGCAGCTTGAATCTCACTTGGGACAAACGGTCAGTGGGGCCTTGCTCAGCAGCGATATAACGCCGGTCGGAGTTGGGCTAGGGGTAGTGCCTGTCCATGAAGTGGTCGGGTGGTCTTCATCCTCACTTCCTTCCCCCGATGCAGACGCAGAGCCAGTCTGCTCAGGCTCGAATTGGGTGAGGTTTAGAGAGGGGCAGCAGTCCGGCCGGTCGTCTGAGCAGCCGATCAAGGGCACCTCGAGCGATCCGCCATCGGGGAAAGCCAGGATGGTGAATTGGGGTATGTTACATCTGTAGGGGAAGGTCAGATTAGAATGTCCCAACATGACAATTGTGTCACTGCTGCATACGTGCCGACAAGCAAAGCCTGGCCTGTGAACGGAACTGTTTGAATCGCTGGGAGTGTCGTTGGGCTCGAGGCATCTGTCGCAGTCGTGCTGACATAGGTGCTCCCTGTCATGGGCGAACTGGAGAGTGTGCTACTGGGGTATGCCGAGCCTGAGGTGTAGTCGGTCGACGTGGTGGCATAGGGATCAGTCGATGTAGTTGAGGCAGTGTCGTAGACGGTCGAGCTGTACACAACACCATCGGAATTGGTGCTGTACTCAACCGTCTGGGCCAGCGCTGGTAATGGAAAGGCTACAAGGCCAGACCAGAGCACCGCTATCGGCTTCATCGTCGTAACAAGTCCTCAAGCCTTTAATTTGAACCGGGAGAGGGCGTTTCCGCTTGTTGGTAGCAGGCCAGGAAAGAAACAAAGTAAAGAAGATATGCCCGTAGCCGCGGGGGTGTCTCGATATACCCCAACTTACCTGCTCGACATGATGTACGCTTAGTGGTGATTGCTACGGAATTTCCCATACATGACAGGGCCTGCGAAGGCTTGGGGCCAGCGGAGGCCAGAACTTGATGAGCGGTAATTCGTGCAGAGGCGGGTTGAATACGAACTGACGACCGGACAGCCTCACCTTCCAAGAGTCCCGGTAGCCCATGTAAGCAATAACCTCGCCTAGTCGAACCCAGACTCAACCCAGACTTGACTCTGAGGGGGATGGTGTCGAGGCGGACTGCAGAGAGCGATTGGGCAGAGCCAGTCTCGACCCCAATCATACGAGGAGTCAACACGAGGTTGCGTCCAGATGGTCCATGTGCGGTAATTGGATTCGTTGATGGCTGCCGTGACCAGGGGCTCGCATTGACACTAGCTTGGTGAGTCTCAAGAAAGTTGTCTCTGAGCTCTGAGGCTGAGCCCAGCACTCGCTTTGGATCCAGGTCAAGGGGCAAGGGTCAAGGATCAAGGCAGTGGAAGGATTACCAGTGGTCACATTGAACCTTGTGGTCTTGACTGGCCTGACCGTTCGTGACGTCCCAACACAAGGGGCTGTCCGAGACCATCACAGCGAGATGCACAACGCAAGATGCAAGAAGATCCTGTGCCCAGCGGTCTCCCTCGTTGACCTCTGAATGGAGGATGGAGGAAGAAGCATCGAGGCTGGTGTGGTGGTGGTGGCCGTAAGTGACGGACAAGTTGAACTGGTGAAGCTCCGAAAGACTCGGCTGCCGCAGCTTGGCAAGCTTGGCGCCCAGAGCTGAGGAGCAACTCGGGGCTGAGGCAGCCACCACTCACTCACTAACCACCACCACCACCACCACTGCTACCTGCTGCACTGGCATGGCACCGCGCTCCAAGACTATTACACATACATACCTTACATGACACCTGAATGCTAACTATCTCGACCTATTAGATTGGGGCTTTGCTGGAGGTGGTCTCGCTGGCTGTCCTTGTTTGGGTTTGAGATGACAAGATGTAGACTGGTCCCGGATACCTCTAAATACTCTTCATCTCCCTTCCCAAATGTCTACGGTACAGCTCCAGGTCACACTACGCACACGACAACCACGTGATTAACGTCAAGCAGGAGCAGGGGCAGGAGCAGGAGAGAGTTAAGTTCCGGTTGAATTTAGTCTACTCCCTTTAGATAACACCAATTGGACCAACACGTCTCCAAGATGGCTTGGACAATTGAATACAAACCAGACACCCTCACACATCATCCTGTCCACAATCATTAAGGTGACTCATGAATGTCAAAATCTGGTAAAAGATCGTATCTCCCGAGGACGCCATGCAGATGATCTAGTCCTAACTGGACTACATAAAAATAAAAAGAGACTTGATCGTCTCTTTACAAGCCCGGAGCAATCTTGCCAGCGGCTTCGGCAGCAACGCTCTCTTCGTACCACGCCTTGATATGAGCGGCTTTCTCAGGGCTTCGGACTTTGACGTCCATTTGGAATGGCAGGGGACCTCCGATCAGATTGGGGGTGAAGGCGTTGGCATCTGGCCATTTGGGTTGACCGTTGGCGTCGACAACTGGGTTGAGCTCGAAGCAGCCAACCACGCTGCCACAAGCGACGAGTAATTCGGCTTCGGTAACCTCAATACCTGGGCACATGCGGCGACCCATTCCAAAGCCGTGGTGACCCATGAGTCTCGGATGCTCTGTCAGAGGCTCTTTGTATGTTGGGTATTCCTTCTCGAGCCATCGGCCAGGGTTGTAGGTCTCTGCGTCGGGGTAGAGTGTGGGATTGCGAGCAAGAGCAAGATCGACGGCGTGGATGACGGCACCCTTGGGAAGGTAGTAGCCGTTCCATTCATCATCCTCTTCGAGAAGACGGGGCACACCTAGCGGGACCGGTGGGCGCCATCTGACGCACTCCTTGATCGCTGCACGAAGAATCGGCAGGTTGGGAGCATCAGCGACCTCGATGACGCGGTCTCCGATGACCTCATCATATTCCTTGCGGACCTTCGCCTGCCATTCAGGATGGAGAACCATGGCGAGGAAGAAGCAGTACAGGGGCCCACCAATGGTGAAGATGGCGACGGTGACCAGCATGCCAACAGCGTAGGCAGCCTCATGGTCATCGAAACCGAAAGAGCGCGAGCCACTTTCGGCCTCCTTGCGGTCAAAGTATGTCCTGGCGTAGCTGATAGGAGCAATTCCTTGGTTCATCTCCTCCCGAACCTGCTTCATCAGACCCTTCCAGAGCTTCTCCTCCTTTTCACGTCGTTCCCGGACTTTACGGATGGAGGGGTTAAGCCACTCCGGCAGGCCACCCAGGAAGGGCAACAGGTTGGTGATTGGTCCCGAGGGAGAAATCTGAGGGATGAATTCACCGGCATTCTTGCAATGGGCAGCAGCAGACGCTGGGCTGCCATAGCCGAGGCGGGCACTGATACGACCGCAGAATCGGTCGGTCAAAGCAAAATGGTCTTTAGGGTCGACCAGGAGCTTGTAGAGGAACCGCTTGCACTCGTGGCTGACATAACCGTAGTACTTTGAGTTGAAGCCCTGGGTCAGAACCGTGTGGGCGAACTTGCGTTGGTTGCGCCAATGGTCTAGGAAGAGATTAGCCAGACATATCTGCGGGGAATGTCGAAAGGACTGCTAACCGTCGTGAGCCAGAAGTGGAAGATATTGACCCTGCGAGTCGCTGCCCGGGACAGCAGGCACCTGCGGCCGCGAGGAGTAGATTCTCGCCTTCTTGCACAGCAGATCATAGGCAATGTTGGTATCGCCAATCCAGATGTGCATCTCACCACAAATCGTCGAGCGGAAAATCCCATTGTATTCATCACAGAACTTTTTCATGGCATACCAGGGAGCGTTCGGATCCACGTCGTGGACACGCCCAATGTAGGGGATGGTGCTCGTCGGACCCGGGATCAGCTTGAGCCCTGGTGGAGGACGGTCTCGGAGCATATATTTGATGATCTGGATGGCGGTAACCAGGACGAAAATGCCTGTGCCAATGAACCACTTGTAGGTGCCAATGGCCGTGACGGCGGTTTGGGGCTGGAAAAGAGCGTCGGAGGTCTCATTGGAATTGAGATAATGGGAGATCTGGGTCATGATGACCGACGGCGAGATTGAGGCCGCCATGGTTGACGAGGACTGCGTTTGGAAGGCAAGCAGGGGCCTAAACGAAGGGAAGGGGGGATTAAATATGGGAGGGCAACAAAAAGGAGAAGGACGGAGGGAGGAGGACTGTAGGTAATCATGGCTATTAACATAGGAGCTGGCTGGGCAGGCCACCAGCGGTCGAGGGGCCTATGGGAAGGCGCAGTCGAGTTCAGGGCTGATGCAACTGGAGCAAGCACAGAGGTCAGAGGTCAGACTTGTCCGTCGACTAGGCGGGCTGGTCAGCATCAGGACTTGACAGCACCAACGGGGGAGGAAATTGTCTGACGAGGGCGATACAACAATAGCTGGGAGGCTAGCGCCCACTAGCCCTGGGGCCATCCTGATACATTCTAGCCCGATTCGTGACTAGAGCCGCTGCACTGGGAGCCAAATTTGGAACACAAGCCAGCCACCATTGGCCCTCCGCAACGTTCCCCTGATACCGCAACCACGGGCCAATGGCCTAAGATTGGCATGTCCGTAGTGCCGCTCGCGGTCGAATCATGTCCCAGCAATTCACGGCCCTCCAGCGCAGCCTCTGCAGTGAGTTGCAGCAGGCTTCAAGCACTGCCGAGCTGGGGAGCTGGGAGCTGGGCCTGCGCGGTCACATGACTGCAATTTATTGGACTGGGCCCGGGCACTACTGGGATGGGTGTCAGGGTGCCAGGGTGGCGGCGGCCTCAGGGTTGGCCTTAGCGAGGAACTGCCCCAGGGATGCCGTGGGTTTATCAATCATCATCAGACCGAGATTCTCTCGTGTTGTATCATGCCATCCAAATACACATTCCATCGACCCGAAGGATCCTCTGACTCTTTGCTAAACGATTAGGCCCTAGGGTTTGAGAGAGGCTGAGTGTTTGCCTCTCACTCACCCCTGAAATCATACCCGGAGTCCTCGGAATAATGTGAAATGCAGTGGAACTGTCGTGTGGAACAGGAGGATTGAAGGTCGCGCCATGCACAGTTCCCACCGCGATATTGGCACCGTCATCTACGGAGTAAAATCATATCACTTGATAGATGGCAGATGGGGGAACGGTTTCAGCCTTGTTTTCCACGTGACTCTGAATTCAGGCTGCGGCTGCACCTCTCTTGGCATGAGGTTTTGCTGCCCGTCAAGTTGTCGTCGCATGGTACTATCCTGCCCAAGGCCATGGTGATTACCTTCACAGCACAATAACATAAGACGAGATCATCCTGGACATCCGAACATCCCACATTCACTCAACCAATCCCTAGCGAGCCCGTGAGAGCAGACTGCTACGCTCTCATCATGCCCAAGAAATGCGGTCGATGAGCCCATCTCCCATCTCACACCATCTACGATAGCTGACAACCGGACTGAATACTGAGTTCTGGGGAAAGGATTCTTTAGGGCCGCCTGTTGCTGCTCATGGCCTCCTCGAACAACGCGTTAGAACCCGTCCATTTGCCCTACTGGCCAACCTGTCAAAATGCTCTGACTTGGTCGTCCGAAGACTTGGCTGTCGCTGCAGGTGAGGTTGTGCATATTCTGACGCCGCGTTATGTTTCACAATCTCAACGGCTTGCGGGTCACAGGCAGTGGCATACTTACACCTTGCGTGTGAATATGTTCGAGCCAATCGAATGGCCGTACCAGTCTATGGCTCCTCTCAAACATTTCTCCCTGGGCGAGGAGCTCTCCGACTCGGCGATCGTGTCGCTTGCATGGTCGCCCCCGGGCTTGGCCCTGTACAGAAGGAGTGTTCTTGGTATTTTGACTTCAAATCTTGTCCTATCGTTCTGGGAATCCGATGGTAGAGTGGGTGTGTGGAAGCGGACTGGCATCGTCAATCAAAATATACCCATTACTGCCGCCCCTAAGACGGCTGACAATCCTAGACGCAAGAAAAGGATCCGCGCATTCTGCTGGTGTCCTCAGCTGCAACCTTTTGGAGCCTCTAGATGGAGCACCCAGTTACTGGTGGTTGCAGACGATGACAGAACCATCCTCGTGTTTCGCGTCCGAAAACATGATGGTGCAACTTTTGGGGGATGGCGATTTGAACTTGTGGCAACGCAGACAGTTCAGAATACCGATTTGCACCTGGAGGGGATGAGCACTCTGAGAAGTACGCTTTCCACCTCGTCCCCTATATCGAAGCTCGCGACAACTGAATGGCAACCCGAACAAGAGGTAGATTCAACTTCTAGGACAGACGTTTTGACCTTACAGGTGGACATGGGTCAATGCACTCAGCCAAAGCACCTTTCCATTCACGTGGTGAGGACAGCCGGGGACAATGCGGACCGCTCTTACTCCTCCCAAGATCTGAAAGTGTCGATTATAGAGTCCAAATCAGCGTCAGATCTTTCGAAGAATGATCCGCCTCTCGAATCTTTTTTTGAAGCAGCAATTCACGACATCCAGTCCGAGTACAATGAAAAGTTCAATCTTGGTGGGAGGGTGCGCGTCCGGAACTGGGGTACAGCCATGTCTTGCGACAAGACTCATGCTGCAACCTGCATCTCATGCCATCCTTCTGATATGATTGAATATGGCATGCCATCCAGTCAGCATACGGTGGTATTGTTTGCTCAGCTACAGCAGCCCTTGGCTCCTGAAAGTCCAAACTCCATCCGAAGTGATGCTGCTGTTCGCGAGGAGATTCTCCACTTCATCACGAACTCTCCGGCAGATTGGGTCAAAACGGCCATGGACAGGAACATCGTCCGCAATGCCGCTGCTCTGATTTCGTCCGAACTCAAAGACCGTCCGTCTTTGGCCAGGTGGGCAGCCTCCACATTGAATCATCTCGCGGGTAACCACGGAGGAGTCGAAAGAGGTGGGAAAATGCAACAGAGTGGCCCGATGGACTCGGGTCCAGAAACTGATGTCATCTTCGAACATGACGGCGTCCCTGCTAGAATCTCGACCGAAGAGACCTGCGAGATTTGCGAGGCATCAATACCCTTCAGTTCCCCCCTAGATGCAGCGAGGTGTATCAACGGACACCAATTCAGCCGATGCAGTATCTCCTTCGTTGCGGTCCAAGAGCCTGGAGTGTCCAAATATTGCGCCAAATGCGGAAGGCAATTCCTCGACCCTGGCAAGCTGGAATTCCCCGAGGGTCCAAGCTTGAGTCAAGCGTTATTCGACCAGTTCGACATTTGCCCCTATTGCCAAGGCAAGTTTCGCGGTTGAGATTGGAATGCGGCTCGAGGTGAGGCTTCGTGTCACCATCCCCATCCCATCCCAGCTGCAAACAGGTTCGACTCGCTCCATTCTGAGGGCAACATATATCACGCGTTGGTCGTTCTTTGTTGCCGTCCGAAAAGGTCAAGTTGTCCAGGCTCTGCGCTCTGTAATGGCCGGCAGCGTCCACTTACGAGTACCACTGCCGCAAACGGCAATGTTCTTTCAACAGCAGCAACGCCGCGGCCGCGGCCGCAAGCAACCCACCATGGCAGCTCTTAAAATGTCTTTCGACAAGACTCCAACGTTGGAAATCCTGAACATACTTCAAGTTGATTCGCATCCATGGTGTTCAATCCAACAAGTCCCATCCGTGTCTTTGGCCGCCGACCTGTCATCGTTCCCCAGAGTGCCACACAACCAAGCGCAGCAGCTACTGCTGAAAACGCTTCTAAAATGTCGTCCGCAGATGCACCACAATCCTCATATTCCCTGACAGGCTGGCGAGGAGAGGTTTCACGCCTCATGCGACAGTCCCAGGAGCGACATCCGCATCGTCAAGAGATCAGCCGATGGTCGAAGACGAGCACAGAGTCAGAAGCTCCGGAAGCGTTGCAAGCGCCATCGTCCAAGAAAGCGACTGTCCTCAAGAAAAGGAGTAAGCAGCGCAGGCTTTCCAAGGACACTACAAACTCTAGCCCGGTAGATCCATCCTACGACCCTGTCACCAAAACACTACGCCCGGTGGAGACTTTCGAGATGCCTCCAATTGCTATTACCGGCCCAGACGAACCTCGCTCCTTCTATGAGTCCGGCTCTGACGATTCAGGCGACAATGAGCACATCATTCATCGAGCCAGCAGTGTTCGAGTGGCCAGGCCGCACATTGTTCAACACAGCAACGCCTCGGGCGGCTCAGTCCCAAAGTTATACGCGCCTCCAACATCGACAGCAAGCCAAGGACAGGCATCAGAGGTCTCACCCGCGCGTGGTCCGAACCTCAAGAAGCTGCAAGATATGGCTGCATCTGCCGAGCGACGACTAAACAAGGCCGTCTCCGGTGGGCCAGCGGAGGCATTGAAAGCATTGGAAGGTCGTGATACGGATCATGAAGGAATGACTGCTTCCACAGAAGCGTCGACAGCCCCTGGATCGCAACAGGACAACACCATGAAGGAAACCATCCTTGAATTCCCTGACACTCCTAGCAAGCTCGAAGCCCTGGATACTTTGCCTACCCCGATGGGCGGGTTTGGATCACTCCGAATGCACAGCACCAACACGAATACGAATACGAACACCGACACCATGTCCTCGAGCAGCACGTATGTGACGCCAGGATCCATCGACGGCCTGCGCTCGAATCCCACAACAGAGACGGACAGGAAACTATCTCGGGCCATCTCGGCTCCTGTGCGCAACTCGACGCGTCGCGTCACGATCCGTCCTGCTGCGCTGGTGATCAACCGGACGGACAACGACCCCAAACTATTTCGGGAGTCTGTCGTCAGTACACCCTACCCAGCCAGACATAGCAGCATCGGCGAGATCGACGAGCTTCAATCGCAGGAGATGCGAACACCCAGGTCACTGCGCCGCACGAGACCCCTGTCAAACCACAAGGAAAGCGAATTTGAAGGAGAGAAATACACAGATGAGTTGGGGGGAGGCGAGAAGTCGCAATCACAAGATCATGCGCCCGAAGTGCCGCTCTCAACGAAACCTTTGCCCTCTGCGCCAGCCACGTCGCGCTCTGACCGGTTCCCGTCGCCGGTGGCGCCGGAAGTGTTGCTCCTCGACCTGCGGCTTGCGCGCCACCCTTCGGCGCGGATCACGGTGGAGATCGAAGTGGCTGACAAAACCACGTTTGACGATGAGGCTCTCTTCATGGTCATCCGCGAGGTGTATCGTCGCAGACTGCTCGGCGTGGTACGTAGGTTCTTCAGCTCCAGGACACTATCGTACGCCAGCGTTGCAAACAACAGTACGAGTACTATCGCCCCAATCTTAACCAATCCCACTGCATCTGGGCTTCGAGCACTCGGGTCCTTGCATGGCCAACCCTGGACGCTTTCGGAAGGTGCACCGGAAATCGACGGCGGCGATTTCATCAAGCACCTTCTAAGCCCGCGCCACGGACGGCGGAGGAAGATGTGGCTTTTGTGGTTGCGCAACAGCCAGTACTCTTGTGACTCATCTGCGTCAGCATCGACGATCGCATCCCAGGCCCGGCGCTCTCGCGTAGCATCACCATCATCATCATCACACAGCCCCCAGGCGCCTGATAGCCCGGTGTTTTCATTTCTGCATTCGCGCCACAGCAGCAGCAGTGCAGGGGGAGGCGGAGGCGGAGGCGGGAACCACACCCACTCCATCAACAATGACTTCCTGTTGTCTTCGCCGACCATGACACCCAACCACGCCGTTTCCGGGCTCGGTCTTTCGATCAGGCCCAGTATCAGTATCCCACGCATGCCGTTCCAGCCGTTCCCTTTCCAGTCCAAGTCGACCGCGACCCGCCGTCACCGTGCCGGTGGTGAGCACGTCCAGTCCGGCCCGCCGACATTGTATCTCCACCACAGGTTCTCGCTGCGCAAGCTCGTGGCCGTGCTGGCTCTCACGTTCTTTTTGGCCGTCTTCACCACCACCATGTGGATCTTGTTCGGAGTGCCTGGCCGAGGAGCCGACCAGGGCAACGGCACGACCGAGGTCCAGGGGAAAGCGTACACGTTGAGTTGGAGGCGGGATGCGCAGAGCCGAGTCGGTGTCGGCCTGGTCTTGGGCATTGTCGTGTTGGTAATGGGTTTGGTTAGTGAGGCCGTTTGGCTCTGGGTCAGTTGGATTCTTGTCTGAGGGGAGCGGGAATATCAACTCCAAGGGGAATCTATCTGCAGGTGCGACATTTTGTGGCCTGCGTTGTTTCTTTGTGGCCTAACCCTGTGTTGTTTCTGTGGCCCGTGTGGAAACAACATAGGATACTGTGTAAGAGAAGGGGAAAGCAGGAATGACGGGTTAGATGTTAGAGGTTAGAAAGGTTACCAGGCACCTACATCAACACAGGACATGAACTGGAATGAGTGTGCAAACAGTACTATAGGTAGCTAGGTAAGGCAGTCTTGAGCCGCGCGAGAGCTGCCGGGCCGGATCTATTCTCATGCCTGAAGGATTACGTAGTACTGCGAGTCGAGAAAGGGGATCAAGGCTGAAAAGAAAAAAGCTAGATCCTAGATATAATGAACGAATTAATTTTAATTGATTCATCCGACCGTCTGTCTAGTCGTGTCGAGGATGGACTGTACTCGAGCCTAAGCCTAAGCCTGGCTTCTTCCAGCTCAGCTCAGCTCAGTTCAGTTCAGTTCCGGTAGTGAGCGAGAGAGGACGGGACTCCTGAGTGAGTGCGTGTGTGTGTGTGTGTATGTGCGTGCAAGGCAATTAATTCGATCGTTTGCAATAGGAATGCCTTGCCTGGAGTTCTGGTGCCTCTTTCTCCTCTGTACCGTACCTAATGTATGTCCAGTATGTAAATAAGGTAAGGAATATATATCCAGTATGTATGTAAGGTAAGGAATATATGTCCAGTATGTAAATATCTAACATAGGGAATATATTTACGAATATACCATCTGCTATGGTATTCGCATCGTTTCCATAGTTAGGCAACATCAACATCAACATCAACAGCAACAGCAGTCGTGGTCTACAGCAAAACCTTGAGATCTATAATATCATGTATTGCCAATGCCACCCCCAGCACATGTTAATGTTACACAATCCCAAAGGTTCATGATTTCAGTCCGCCACCACACCAACATCTGTTCTCGCCTTCGCGCTCCATCTGAATGACGACATCCATCTTCCGCGAACGTAGATACATGTCCACTCTCTGCCTGACGTCCTCGAGATCGGCCGTCTGCGCGGCAATGACATGGATGACTCCTACCACAGTCGGGTCTTCGGCCCCGCCGCTACAGGCTGTTCCATCACTATCCTTGTGGGAGTGGCCGTGGTTATGACCGTGATCGTGACCATGGGAATGCGAATGCCCGTGGTGGTGACCTGGTTCTTTCTTGATGTCTTCCAGCCAGAACTTCGGCACAGTATACCCGGCCACACCTCGGATCTCGGCAACGCCGCTGAGGATCCCACGCAGGTTGTACTCGATGTCGGAGTTCAGGGACAGCAGAAGAATCTTGGTCGTCGATGTCACCAGAGGGATCGTGGAGGCGAAGATCAGCACCGCAATGATGCACGATGCCAGCGGATCGAATCCGCTCCAACCGGTCAGACGGACGAGCACGGTCGATCCAACCACAGCCACTGACCCAAGGGCGTCGGCCATGATGTGGAGGTAAATGCCTTGCATATTCTCGCCTCCATGATGGTGGCCGCTTGCTGCCTTCTTGCCTTTGACTGGGGATGCAGACGCCGTCAGCGGCGTCTCTGCCTCGCTGTGGCCATGGCCATGTTTGTGGTCGTGATCGTGGTCGTGATCGTGGTCGTGGTCGTGGCTGTGGCCGTGATTGCCATGATTGTGGTCGTGGTCGTGCCCATGATCTCCATGGCCATGACCGTGCGCCCCGTGAAAGGCGAAGATACCGACGAGGTTCACAACCAAACCAATGGTGCTGACCACGAGGAGTTCCATCGTACGGCTGACATCGGCACCGGAAAATAGCCGCTCGATTGCTTCATATACAATTTCAATACTGATAAGCATTAGGAAAATCCCATTGCCGAGGCCTGCCAGAGTATCAATCTTGCCATAGCCGTAGGGAAACTTGATGCTAGGAGGCCATTTGCTCATGACTGCCGCACAAACGCCAACCAGTAAGGCAACACAGTCAAAGAACATGTGTATGCTGTCGCTGATCAACCCTAAAGATCCCGTCAAGACGCCATATGTTGATTGAACCACCATAAAACACAAATTTAAGATCATAAAGTAGAAGATCCGCCGGGAGTCATCGTCGGCAAGGATCCCATGGAGGAGAGAGTAGTTCTCGGTCGATTGCAGTAGTAATTGAGTGGGTTTGGAGAAGCTGCGCTGGAATGTAGGCCGTCCCGGGTACGCCTTTACGTTTGTATCCCTCCTCTTGGCTATGTATTGATCGCCCGAGATATCGAGGGAGGGTGCAGGGCTGACGTGGGTGAGCCGATGTACACCTGTATCAACCGGAGGAAGCCTGTTCATCTCGCTTTGGTGGACAACGGACTCTGAGGGTATCCGCGCCAATGGAAAGGGAGCGGTCAGGCGGCTTCCTGTCCGGTGTCGTTGATGGGATCGTGATGGTGTGTGGGAGTGTGAATGCGAATGCGAGGGTGTGTGAGGATGCTCATGCTTGCAATTGTCGGTCGCAGCAACCGGCAAAGTGAAGGTCGCACTCATGGCTTTTTCCGCAGAGGGCGAAGACTGGGCCAGTCTGCCGTTTGGTACCACATCCAGCGTGGTGGTCGAGGACGCGTTTGGAGCTCGTGTAACCGTGAAGTCGGAAGCTTGGAAGATTTGTCGATCGAAGAGCGCCGGCGCCTTGGAGTAAGTAGAGCCACGTTAGACGAGGGAATGGTCGGCTAGGTCTTGTCTGTGCATGCAGAGGCAGACAGGAAGAAGCAGACAGGAACTTCGAGGCCGTTGTCGGTGTGGACTGAGATAGACGAAGGTGGGGGATAGGCTGTAATGGATGTTTGCCCGGGATGGACTAGCAGCGCAGCTCGAGGACAGGCAACTCCTCCGAGTCTGGGTGATTATTCCTGTATACAGAGTACTGTTGCTGTTGTTCTCAGCCCAAGCCCTGGGCCCAGAGTGAAGATGGCGTACAGTATTCGTACTCAATACTGGTCACACAGCTGGACGGAGTAAAATGTTGGCTTCTTGGTTCCTAGCCAGGGGCAGCACACGGCCAAATCCAATGTGCAGTGCAGTTGGTGGACGCATGCAGAATCCTCTACCCCTCTGATTCGCTATGTGGCGGACCCCTTTTTCCTCGAGCGGCGCAGGCAGATGGCACCTAATAGATGGAGATGCCACGGAGACGCATGCGATTTCTCTCTCGCCATCCCTTCGCTAACGAATTCGTCTAAACCGTTAAACCGCTTTCAGATTCTTGAGGCGCGCTACCCAACGTCATTCGACTCTCCCTTGCGCCTGTTGAGCCTGAGCGCCGTGAGATGTGGGATCTGAGTCATGTTCTTAACACTCTTGGTCATCGTCTCGACCTTGTTTACCGTCCTATTGCTCCTCCTGCCTTCTCGGCGTGATCCAAGCGAACAACAACACACTATACAAGTTGTTGTCCTTGGTGACCTAGGCCGAAGTCCGCGCATGCAATATCATGCCTTGAGCATTGCAAAACATGGTGGCCACGTTCAGCTGATCGGCTATAGAGGTATGTGACTTGGGATATTGTCTATCTGAGCCAAGGCCAATCTAAATACCACTCGACCAGAGACCGAACCTTTACCCGAACTACTCGTCCATCCCAATGTCAGAATCATAGCTCTTCCGCCTGCTCCTCGGTGGCTACAAACAAGTCACAAGCTCTTGTTCCTCTTGTGTGGGCCGGCAAAAGTGCTGCTACAAGCTTGGACTCTATGGCGAACATTAAGTTATGTTGCCCTGGCCTCGGAATGGATGCTTGTCCAGGTATGTATGCACTGCGTCAAAAGCTGTGCTGCTCCGAGTTGACGACGATCATCTTGCAGAACCCACCATCCATTCCTACTCTTTTGATTACGTCGATCATCTGCTTCTTCCGGCGGACCAGGTTGGTTGTGGACTGGCACAACTTTGGATACTCCATTCTCGCCCTCAAACTAGGCACAGATCATCCCTTGGTCACGCTTTTAAAGCGTTATGAGACTATTCTTGCAAAGGCCGCCAATGCGAACTTCACCGTTACAGATGCCATGGCCAGTGTTCTGAGATTGGATTTCGGGCTCGCGACACCTGTACTCACCCTGCATGACCGACCGGCAAGCTTATATCAACCTTTATCATTGTCAGAACGGGTCGCTTTTTTGCAAAGGTACCCACTGCTAGCGAAGCACTTCAATGCCATAGTGGAGAAGAAGACGAGACTGGTTGTGTCTTCAACGTCCTGGACGGCTGACGAGGACTTTGGGCTGTTTCTGGATGCTCTCTGTCTCTACTCCTCCAGTGCCACCTCTTCTCATCCCCAGCTTCCAGAGCTTGCCGTTGTGATCACGGGTAAGGGGCCACAAAAGGAGCACTATCTTGAAAGGATCCGAGAACTGCGGCGGGGAGACACTTTAGAAATGGTGAGCATTTATACCGACTGGCTCAGTTTCGAGGACTATGCCCTCCTGTTAGGATCCGCGGACTTGGGCGTTTCTTTGCATACCAGTAGCAGCGGAGTTGATCTTCCTATGAAAGTTGTCGATATGTTTGGTGCTGCATTGCCCGTCGCCGGTTGGGACAAATATGCAGCATGGCCTGAGCTGGTCACGGAAAATGTCAACGGCCGAGGTTTCGGCAGTGCAGAGGGCCTGGCTGATATTCTCCGCCAACTGTTCGATCCCGCCTCCAAGCAACTCGAAGATCTGAAGGATGGTGCCAGAGCAGAAAGCAAACGCCGATGGAGTACCGAATGGGATCCTGTTGCTGGCAGGCTCTTCGGACTAGTAACTTAACAAGGCTCTTTCTTGACAGCTGCCTACGGGCATACTCTATCTATATTGTTGGCTCTTATCTCGATTCGCTCTGGCGGATGGGGTATTTTGTTGGCTTGCTTCATAGCATCGGCGGACTTCAGCGACCACACTCGCTGACTCCTCCCCAACTCAATAGATGGTGAGGGTGTGAAATATACAACAAGATGCACGCAAGAGCCAGATGGATTGTTCAGTCGCATGTCCATTCAACGACGCCTCATCAGATAACACATCAGTGCCTTTCCCAAGCTATCAGTCGGACCATTTCCTGACTATTTTGGCCAGCATACACTGTCTTTTTGTACACCATGGGTGAATACGGCGAGGTGAGTTACTGGCTCTTTATATCAGCTTGGTTATTGTGCTCCTTCGGCGTCTTGATTATTGGCACAGGAGTACGATCACATTGCTGTCGTGCACGGTCCTTTGTCCCTCGACATCATCGTCCAAGAATACCCGGTCTAATGGCCGTTGCTTTTACAGCAGGCACCACGAGTTGCGTTGAGTTCTGCCAAAACTGAGACTCCTAACTTGACCCATCGGGTCAAGAGGATATCACGATCAGCTCCCTTCTCCCAGTTCATCGAGGCTGTGGAACAAGATGGCTGTGTAATCGTTCGCGATTTCACCGATCCGGCTACGGTTGAACAGGCAAATCAGGAGGTGAAACCTTGGTTAGAAAGGCAGGATGCCGGAGCAAAAGTTGGCGGTAAGTAGAGTATGATCCACGCTCCTGCTGAACTGGCTGCTGCTGAACTGGCTGATGGTCTGACGGTGTCTCAGCGCTAGGAGGGAAGACGAGAACAGTGACAAAACTTGTGGGCAGAAGTCCAACGGTCCGAGAGAAGTTCTTCGCCGATCCTATTTATCAAGGTCTTTGCGAACACTTTTTGGCGCTTGAAACGACACATTGGTACGGGCCTAAACCTCTGACAACGACAAGTCATCCATTACTTTCAATTTCTATCACGTTCGACATCCCTCCCGGAACTCCAGCGCAGGGTTTGCACCGCGACGACAAAAATCACCATGCCCGCCACACCAGAACCGAAAAGTACGAGAAGGGCCGTGATGTGCTTCTTGGTCTCTTTGTGCCGGGCTGCAATACCTCAAAAGCGAACGGTGCGACGCGCATTGCGCCGGGCAGTCACCTCTGGGGCGACGACCTGCCAGACTTTGGCCCAGACGGAGGGCAAGGCGTCCTTGATGCTGAAATGCAAATGGGTGAAGCATTTATCATGCTGGGCAGTCTCTACCACGGTGGCGGGGCATATGAAAAGCCGCTGGGGACAGGCGGGCCGGAGAGCAGGACCGTCCACGCCATGTTTTCATGCACTGGAGTACACCGGCAGGAAGAGATCTCCTTCTTGTCCTATCCCATTGAAGAGGTCAAGACGTATTCAAAGCTCGTTCAAGAGCGACTGGGCTGGAAGCAAAGCGAGCCGAACCTTGGTTGGGTAGACCTGAAGAGTCCAGAATTCCTGCTTGAGTCGTGAACGAGGCCGACCCGGTGGCGGGCAGGACAGGGTATGGCGATAGAACATGACAAGCGCACCACAGGCTGGCTCTTCATATTCTAGCTTGGCCTTGTTCTCTCTGGAATAGGTGGCGATAGGTCTAGGCATTTGGTGCCTGGGTAGAGGAAGATAAGGGCGATACGTACTGTACACCGACAGAAGAGGAACACGACCAGGCTCGTCAGACTCTATGTGTGATAGAATGAAATCTCTCGGGCATATCCAAGATACACCGACACGATCATAATCCTATGTGCGTCTCCCCCATGCTGGTTCGTACACGAAGACGAATAGAGTCTTCGGCAGGTTCTCAAGCCCTTGAATGGTCCTTCGGCCTTCGCAACGCAGGACAGGGCCGTCTGGACGAAGGTGGCAGCCTTGTAGTGACATAGCATAATAGTTGGTTATATGCTGGTGCTGGTTCTCCGACTGCTTGACGCGGAGAAAGTCTGGCGCCGCGGTCCCTGGCCCTTGATTTCTCACGCGAACAGGTGACTTGCACTGCCTGCGAAATACCACAGCAGCCAACAGCCCGGCCACGACGACACCTGTGAGATGCCAGGAATCCCATTCTTCATGCCACGGCCGCAGTCTTCAGACTCGACCAATTGACCCATTCATAGCCTCCGGCGGGCATGAGACCAAAGACCGATTCCGATCCTTGACCTCTTCCTCTCATATGCGAGCTATCCTACCGGGCCGACCCCAGTCGAAGCGACAAGCTTTGAGCACTGCATATTGGGATGGCCTTCGTCTTGTTGTGAGTGCTTTCGTGCCGCTTGTTGTCGGGATCTCCTTCTCACCTCAAGAGTAGGCATACATCTCGGGCAATGCGGCAGTCATCCTCAGCGGTCCGCAGACCATTCTCCAAACCATCTACGTCGATACCGTCGACTCTCTCATTGCGATAACATTCGAAGAGACCACTGGCCGGATAGCTCTCTGTGACGAAAGACATGTCTACATCTACAGGCCGGTGGGTCGGGACGAAGGAGTGGTCAGATGGGTGCTACACCACGAATTGAGGAATCCCAGCGGACTGGAGGTGTCTTCACTGTCCTGGGGATCTGCTGAAGAGTTGTTGCTGGGGGGTTCACGACTGGTGCTTTGGTTCATTCCTCATACCACATCACCAACGATTGCTTGGGACCAGAGCCTAGCCTACCCTACAGCACTCGCATATCTATCACCGGACAGCAGCCTCATCGCTTCCATTGGACACCACGACAGACTGGTCAAGATCTGGAGGAGACTGTCCTACGAGGTTGGCCGCGCCAAATTCGATGTCTCATACCTCCCACATCCCGACGCAGTCACGAACTTGCATTGGCGGAAGCCATGGCACCTGGAACAGAACCTAGACAATCTGCTCTATACGTTCTGCTCCGACAACTCTATCCGAGTGTGGACGTGCTTCGATCCCCACTCCTTGTCGGTCCTCCAACAAGTCGGGATCATCGACATGAATGCTTCGATCCAGCCTCGACGGTTAAGCGTTAGTTCGATGAGCACGAGACGATTCGCCTTCATTATGGATAGCCGTGACTTTTCCATCGCGACAGAGAAAGCTGTGCAGGGGTCGACCCCTAAAGCTGCCGACCATGCGCTTGAACACCTCATCGAGATAGCTAACCGGAGTCCTGAGATCTGCATCGTTCTCGATGGTCTGGGGCACATGTCGGTATGGGGACTGGAGAATGCTGGATACAAGAACAAAATCCCTCCGTCTGTGTTTCACATCTCCCATGTGGACGGAATGAATATCCTCGTCCCACAGCTGAGCGATCCCCTCGAGGACTATGTCCAGTTTTGCATCTTCGCGGGCGGTGTCACGCGCTCGTCCCTGTCCATTCTTCTGCATTCATTCGCCGGTGACATTGACTGGTACGACAGTCCCATCACCCATCTTTTCGATACAGCCCTCAGACGAGACCGTACTCATCTGATCTCAACCCTGGCCGGACACGGAGCCCCTATAAAGCGAGTTGTGCGTGACGTCCGGGGCACTATCGTCCTGTCCGCAACCGAGGAGTGCAACGCCAGTATATGGCAACACGAATCGAGTCACTCCACTGCTCCAATCCTCCGGCGGTGCTCGTTCACGGTCGACCACGATATCAAAGACGGCCTCATTCTCTCGCGTGGACGATATGCAGCAATCCTAACATCAAATGGTCTGGAGCTGTGGGATATTCGAGAAGCGAAGGCCAAAAGGCTCGGCATCCGAAGCTTTGACGGTCATCGTGTCCCAGTTTGTATAACTCAGAGTCGAGTCGCTAGCGAACGGGCGTTGACAAGTCGTGTGATTGTGGGATATTATCCCGACCACGCCGCCGAAGCCTGGGAATTACTCCTCCCAGCAAAAGATGACAGAGGTCCGACCACGAAGCACGCGCATCTAGAGATCATACGCTCTCTCGGCAAGGTAGAGTTACACGTGCAGAATCGGTTCCACTCTTTACTATCTGTTTGTGATAACATGAGCACAATTGACCGCCCCACCGATACCCGTGAAATCGAGGCACTGGGATTCACTGCAGTGTTGGCCAAAGAGGGCAGTTTAGAAATGGTCAAGTCGCGAGAGCAAACCGACTCGGCCAAGCCGTTCTTGACCTCGGGCGCGGTTTTCCAAACCAACATTCGAGCTCCCAAGGCCATTAGTGCAAGCGGACATGGCAAGGTCGTGGTTGTCAATGATAATGCTAGTAGCATGAGCATTTGGGACGCCAAAACAGGGGCCTGGGAGTATGAGCACGAATTGGATGGAACCGACACCATACAAACTTTTGCTTGGGCTATGTCACCAGATGGAGCTGCGCTGGTCGCACTATGCTTTTCTTATCATATTGTGGTTCTATCCCAGATCCGATACGCATATCCGAAACTCGAGGGTGCCTGGGTCGATGTTCGTCATATTAGGATGAGAGATTACACCACTCAATCTATCGGAGATCTATGTTGGCTTCGAAGTGGTGATCTTGTGGTTGGAACTGGCATCCAGCTGTTCATCTTTGAAGGGTTCGCCATCAGCAGTCATAACCAAGACTCCAGACAGTTACAAGATGTGCGCAGAAGGATCCGATGCGACTCGACCTTCGCAGTCATGTCGATGCTCAACTCGCTACTTCCCGTGTTCCATCCGACGTTTCTGTCCTTGTTGACATGGCTGAAAGGACTTACAGCGACGAAACATGTCCTACACCGACTACACCGTAGCTTGAAGTTTTTCACCGAAGGCGATCTGCTGCCCAGCTTCCTTGACATGTACATTGAGACACTCCTGGTCGACGACCAAAAAGATCTGGCCAAGTGGGATTCGCTGTACACCAACGGGGATCAGAACGGCGACTCTGAGCTTCAGATTGCGCAAATCGCCAAGGGCCTGGTCGAGAATCTGCACAGAAACCCGTTGTGGCAACTTAGTAGTGAAGAGACTTCCCAGCTGACAAGGTTGATCAAAGAATGTTCGGAACTGGAAAAGGAAGAGCACTCAGTTGATGTCAATGGGCGTCGCTACCTGCAAGCCCTGTATGCATCCAATAAGCAGTTCGTGCCTTGGAAGGCCATCGCCTTTGCGGCAACGAGCAGGTCTCAGGAAGTCCTGGTTGAGGCAGTGACCCGGTACTACGGCGGGAAACTCACATGGGATGCTGCACGGAAGTCGGGTCTCTTCAGTTGGCTGTCCGACGTTGAAGCTCTTCGGTTGCAAATGGAAGCCATCGGTCGGACCGAATTCACCAAGCACGAGGAGCGGAATCCGGTGGATTGTGCGCTCTATTATTTCGCACTTGGAAAGAAGTCGGTGGTCCAAGGTCTGTGGCGGATGACCATCGGGGTGCGTGAAAAAGAGAACACGATGAAATTTCTTGCCAACAACTTCAACGAGCCGAGATGGAAGGCGGCCGCTCTGAAAAACGCCTACGCGCTGCTCAGCAAACGGCGCTTTCAATATGCTGCCGCGTTTTTCTTGCTGGCAGGCAGCCTTTGGGACGCCATCGCCGTTTGTCTTCACCAGGTGCAGGATCTACAACTCGCCATCGCCATTGCACGGGTGTTCGAAACCAAGCAGGCTTCATCAGACATGGTGAGGATGGTGGACGAAGCAATCCTACCTCTGGCAGTGGAAAGTGAAGAGGGTCGATGGATGGCCAGCTGGGCCTATTCTCTCGTTGGGCGGCCAGAACAAGCCATCCGAGCTCTTGTGCGACCCGTGCATGAAGTGGTGGGTATGTCGCTGGAAAAGATTGAGGGCATGGTCGGATCGCTTAGCTACACGGCCAACGACCCTGTCTTGACGGCACTGTACACCCAACTGCGAGCCGAACTGGTGAAGCAGAACAAATGGTGTAATGTTGTCGGCGCCAAAGAGGAATGGGACTTCGTCATGCGGTGCGTTCGACAGTATCTCCGAATGGGCTGCGATGTCCTCGCATTGTCACTGGTGCACGATTGGGAATTCGTGCCCGAGAGCAAAGACCTGGCCGATCCGGGGCCGGATGCAGGCGCAGCGCTCAGAGGGATCCAGAGAAGGAAGACCTTTATCGATCTAGAGGAGGAAGAGCAGGAAGAGATGCGGCCCAAGGTGCAGCCGGAGAAGAAGAAACCGCCACCTACGCAGTTCGTCGAGCCCAGCGCAGACAGTCTCCTTGACAGTTTTGGATTTTGATTTCGGCGCCGCCGCAGACACGGGGTGATACAGTAATACAGTAATCTTGAGCTTAATCTTGCAAGAGCTTAATCTTGAGCTCGGCTCCTGAGCAGGGAGCGTTCGATGACTGCACTGCACCATGTTGATGTACTGTATTGTACTGTATTCATTAATCATCTCAGCCTCGTGCGAACCTCCCCCTCCACCTCCTTGTCGGCATTCTAGTGGCGACTAGACACGGGATGCGGTGAAGGACTTCATCTCTGTGAGCCTGGGATGCGGTGAAGGACTTCATCTCTGTGAGCCTGGGATGCGGTGAAGGACTTCCTCTCTTTGAGGCTGGGACGCAGTGAAGGGCTTTTCATCTCTGTGAGGCTGGCAGGTCCATCGACGAAGGTTCATCAATGAATGGCTACACGGCTGAGCCGTACCGTTACGATCGGATCGGATCTCATGGCTTCTCTCGCATCGATCGGCCCTGATCGGTGAAATGCTCGCCCCTTAGCCCCATTCCATTCAGTCGCTGGGCAGGGACGTTCAGTCATCTACTCTACTCCATACACGTGTGTGTGTAGCTATGGTGGCTACTGTAAGTGCTGGTCTGCATACCGTGACCCAGAAAACAACCGTGTTTGTGGTATCAGCCCAAAGAGATGCCTACTGTACATCAAAAGCCAACGCTTGCCTGCCTTGCTCGTTCGTACTCCAAACATAGAATGCTACACTGATGGCTCGGCCATGGAGCCTGGGCTGAGACTTGGGCCCAACTGCCCTGCCCTGCCCTGCCCTGCCCTGCCGCCGATTCAAACCGGGCGTAGTTTCGTCTTGACCGCCTCTCTAGTTCGTCCCAGGTCTTCCATACACTTCATATGCTCTTCGTGCGCATGATCCCACCAATCTCGACACTGGGTATCGTCTTTCAACCATTGCATATATGCGGCATAACCGGCCTCGTGCGAATTCTTTTCCTCCAAGCTGTCGGCGTCAGGCCCGTCCCCACGCATGCTGATCCAACTCGGCGACATGGTTCCGCAAATTCGATCCTGTCGACTTCGGAAATGCTCAATCATTTTGGCGTTGAATCGGTTCCACTCCCTCATGTACGCATTCATGTGGTCCACGTACTGCAACCAATTGGCCTGATCGAGTCGATCTACTGCCGGCGGTACTATTGGCTTGGGTGGCTTGGGGAGATTGAGTGCACGCAGCCTGGCCGCGGCTTTGCCGCCTGTATCGACACTCGCCTCTGGGCGTGATTCAAACGGCAAGTGAGTGGCAATGTCGCCCAGATCCTTCAATCCTGTTGAGGCTGGAGCGAACGGAGCCTGCTGGGCGAATTCTTTCAAGTCAACCCCTCCGTTTGTCGATCGTCTTCCTGATAATGGTGGAGCTGCCTCTCGTGTAGACTGGTGCACCACGTGAGGGCTATGGTCTTGCTTTCCATGACTGGGTGGTGTATCGTCCACATCCATGACGTCTTCTTCGACAAAGACATATCGATCTCTGGAATCATCCCTGGCTTCATGACCTGTCCGATGGGCCGTAGATGAAGGCCCTGTATGGGCGGCTGCGCTTTTTGCCTTCGCTGCCCAGTCTTCTGGCAGTTTCCCTCTTTGGAAGGCGGCCGATTTGTCGTGTTTATCTTCGTCCGAGCCACCGTCACGATGGTGGGTAGATCGTCCACCTGCAGACTCTGATGAGGAGCCGCCCTCTACGTCTACTCCCCTAGATAGTCCTCGATCTCTTGTCGTTGCGGCTTTGCTGCCACTCCGGGTTGACTTGGATGGTGACTTTCGCATCTGGGCCTCTGGCGGACGAAAGATGTCCTCGGCGGTTACCTTGTCATGCCACGCAGCCGCTGAGAACGTCGTCTGCACATTATGGCCATGATCATGACTGCGTCTGAAGTTAGCGCCTACATCGGATGAATGTAAGGGAGAGAGTGGAGGACGACGTCGGGGCCCCGGGTTGTCATTTTCCTGCCTTCGAAGCCGAGGAGGCGTCATTTGCGGGAAGACACTCGAGGGAACTGCCCAAGGAGGGAGGCCATTAAAAGAGCCACCTTTCCGGGCAGCAGGGCCATGCCCTGATTTTGGCAACCACGGGTAAACAGGGGGTCTTTGAGAGGGAGCGTACTTGGGTCCATCCGATTTGCCACCACGTCCTCCATATTCGTGCAAACCGTTCGGCTTCGGTGCGTCGACATCAGGGGAAGTCATATCTGGGAAAGGTCTCCGGATGGACTCCCTCGGATCGGGAGCAGGAAACTTGTACTGGCCATCTTCAACAATCCTGGTGTAATTAGTGTTGGGGAATTGTCCTGTTAGACCTGGATTTGGATCGACGATCCTGCCAAACGGATTCAAGCCTTGGGTTCTTGACCGTGGCATGGCCTTGGGCCTTGAGTTCATATTCAGTACTTCATCTTCACTAGAAGAGGATTCGGAGGAAAAGTCGGCGTGAATCCCGTTCTTCATCCCTGGACTGGCACTACGATGTCGAGGATGATGTTCGAAGTGAGCAGACGACCTACCGAAAGGTCCCCGGTCATCCCAACGTGGGTCGACGGGCGAGTGCCTTACGCTCGCAGAACGATGCAGACCATCTCCATGGATGTCGGTCCTTTCACCGCCCACTCCTGAATACTTGGAGGAAGGGCGTGATCCTCCGAATGAATCACTTCGCATGTCGTAGTCAGAGGATCTCGTATGTCGCAGGGGACTTACTGCAGGTCTAGCCCGAGTTACTGGAGGTGTTCGCATATGATCATCTGGCACATATCCATGCGCTGGGGATCCTGGCGCATGGTCTGCTCGGACGTAAGAGTATGCAGAACGAGGTGCCTGTGGCTCGTCGGCTCCATGCGCACCAGATGTGTACCCTTGCTTTCTTGCACTTTGAGTCCGAGACAATCCGGGAAAGCCAGCGGGATTCATATTTGAGACGTGGGGAAGATCTGACGAGGATGACGGCTTCGGTGCTGTTGGAGCCTGGCGTGGCGTGCGTGGCGGTACCTGTTGAGCAGTAGGTGCTGGTCTCATGTTAGGAAACATTCTCCCCGCTTCTGCTCTGGCATCATCGAATCTGGCTCTGTCCCATGACTGTGGTGCTCCGCGAGCAAAGGCATTGAACTTGTCAGCCCCAGCGGACGTCTGAGGCTTCTGGTTGGGGTTTGGGAATTGCGGCCGCTTGTCTTTGGGTTTCGGAGGCGGAGGGAAAGGGAAGTGTGGTGTCGACGTGGCTGTTTTGGGATTTGAAGACCGAGTAAAGCCATATGGGTCGGATGCATGACTACTCGTGGGGTTTCTACCAGCCAGTTTTGATCGCGCAGCATCATATTTGGCCTTCTCAACCGGGTCGCTCAGAATCTCATGAGCGGCTTGGACTGCCTGAAATTTGGGCAAGACGTCGACTTCATGGCCAGGATTCCGATCAGGATGGAATTGTTTCGCTGCACGCGTAAGCCAATGCCAACAATCCGTGGCCTACTCCTCTTACCCAGTAATCTGAACTGCTTCTTGATCTCTTCCCCATCTGCAGTCGGCGGTAGATCCAGATCCGCATAGTAGTCCCGCTTGACATCCGCCTTGACCATTGTTAACGGCGCGGTACAAGAGACTCAGATGACAGTGCTAGATTTGTGTTTCGCCGAATAAAATCTTTCTCTTTCCTTCACTCAACATGATTCCCCAAAAGCGTGAGAGACGTCAGTGCCTGATGGATGAATCCAGCAAGTCAGGCGGAAATGAGTTGGCCTCTCCCAAAGAAACGGGAGTCTTAGGTTACCACGACCTGAACAGATCACAAGCCAATGTTGTCGCGCAGCCGACTGACCAACGTAGGATAGGCTTCGTGGAAGAAGACAGCGGGCGAGATGCAACAGCGTCGGGAAGATGGGAGGTGCGGTAGCGCAGACGAGGGGGGACGGCAGTAGTATTTGACTCTCGAGATCTTCAGCGACTGGTTATTCGCTCGCTGACGGTGGTGAAGAGCCCTCGTAGGGTGGTGCGGCGTACACACGTGGGAGGGTATAGGACGGCTCGGGGAGATGTTCGCGGTTGTACCTGAGCAGGGCTGTAGGCTGCCAGGCAGTTCCAAGTAAATGTGCAGGGTTCGAGGCAGAGATGTGGTGTGAATGTCCAGTGGCGTGTAGAGATCTGGAAGCACAGCATCAACCGCTTTGCGAAGGACAAGAGGATGATGTGCTGGCATGCTCTGACAGGGTGTTTCTTTACTTCTGTCGCTTTTGGGTATAACGCGGGTGGGCAAGGCTAAAGAGAGCCACTTAACTAGGCAGAGGGTTCTAAGGTAACCACAAGGCCGCTCCCGGTCCAGCCGTCAGCTGTGAGGCGCCATTTCGCTTTCGTGGTTTGCCCATAAGGGCCAGTGGATGCCTATCATCTCTGCATTATGATATCACGCTGTTTGCTTCTGCCTCGCGCTTTTCCTCCTCCTCTACACCGTTGACTCGTGAGGCGCGCAAAGCGTATGTTCCCTGCAAGACCGCTCTGAGTTCCTCCAAGAATCGGTCCACTTCCTTGTCCGTGCCCACTGTGATGCGCAGGCATCCATTGCACCCATGTTCCTTGCCGCGGAATCTCACCACAACTCCCCGCTGACCCGCCAAAGTTTCATATACTGCCAGAGCCGTTGCATTATCTGGCTGTCCACCCTGTTCCCGTGGCTTGTCTAGAATCTCAACAAGCAAGAAATTGGAGTCTGTTCCTCCTTGAAACTGTCCAACACCTGGTATCCGCGGCAGTTCCTGGAGAAGTCTATCCCTCTGCTTGAGTATCTTTGCTCGGTTTTGTCGCATAACCTCCAGGTTTGCGTCCTGCAAGGCTGCTGTCGCGACAGCACTCGCTGGACTGGAGATGTTATATGGAGCCTTCATGTTGTTGAGTAGTGACGCGATCTCCGGGCTGCTGAAAGCGACACCTAACCGTATTCCGGCCAGACCGAATGCCTTGCTCAATGTTTGCATGACCACCAGATTCGGCCATTCAAGGACCCATTCTGCTAGGCTTGATCCTTCCGGGGCAAAGTCGATATAAGCCTCGTCAACCACCACAATCCCATTCCAAGTGGGATGCTCCAAGACTTGTTGGATATCCTCCTTCTCAATAACAGCCCCGGTGGGGTTGCCGGGGGAGCAGATGTATACCATTTTAATCGATGGGTCTGAAGACAATTTGTCCGCGATGAGCTGTGGCTGCAATGAGAAGCCATTTTCCACATTCAGAGGCACATGCACCACTTCCACGTCGTTCACGTCGGCACTGACAGCGTACATGCCATATGTAGGAGGACAAGTCAAAATCTTATCTGTTCCAGGCACGCAGAAGCACCGCAGCAGTGCGTCAATGGCTTCATCGGAGCCCACGCCACAGAACATGTTCGCAGGCTGAAGATGTTTATCGGTATGTGTACGCGTATTTCGCAGTCGACAAAACCGCTCCTTCAATGCTATCTGGTGAGGATCTGGATACCTGTTGAGGCCCAGGAAGTCGACCTGAGGGTTTTCAAAGTGATCATTCTTGTAAATTCCATTCTTGTCTAGTGCTAATCCAGGACCGTAGGCATTTTCGTTGGCATCGAGGAGGATGTTCTTTCCGTCGTCTTTGTAGTCGCTACAATGATGAGTCAGTAGACGAATTGCGATGCGGGGACGGCACTCACTCTCGAGCACATCGATACGGCTGGAGTTTGAGTATATTAGGCCTCGCGCATTTGGCGAGATCAAAAGGTGAAGCTTTTCTAGCCATAATAGAAGCTGTTCAAGGTGAAGACTCAGTAGAGGTTGAGAGAGCTGTTCAGTCAGTGAAAAAAATAAATCCCCAATTGTCGCGATGGCGGGCAGGCTATTTCTCCGCAGACTCGAAATGCCATTGCACCTCGCATGACACTGGCGCAGGCACCAGAAAAGTTGCCCAACCCCCACACCTCACATCCTACTCAGATCTTTCGATCTTAAAACAGACCTTTGCATTCCTCACCCTCGAACACTTCCAGGACTCCGCTGATCGCGGTGTCCACCTACCCGTAATCAGCGAGATGGCTGAGCGCAAATCAGCGTACGGCGCTCCCGCCTCTGACACCGACTTTCGAAGGACTTGGGATAAATCCGAACATGAAGCAAAGGCAAAGAAGGAGACCGAGGAACGCAGAGAAGAGGCCAAGGCCCGCTATGAGGCCAAGCTGGAAGGCAAGAAGTGGCACAAGCCCGTCGACTTCTCGTCTCTCGAGACGACGTCGGCAAGAAACTCGCGGCTGGATGTCGCTAGCATGGTTGGGAAGAGCACGCTCGTCCCTGCTGGTTCAACTGTCGGAAAGCGAGGGAAAGGGGCGGGCTTCTACTGCGAGGCTTGTGATCTGACCTACAAGGACAACGTACAATACATTGAACATCTCAACTCGAAGCAACATCTCTTCAACACTGGCCAGTCAGGCGAGGTAAAGCGGGCAACTCTACAAGATGTCAGGGAAAGATTGGAGATGCTCAAAGCACGCAAGCGACACCAAGAGGAAGAGGATAGGCGACTAGGCGAAATCGATATTCAGGCCAGGATCAAGAAGGCCGAGGAACTCGACGAGGCCGAACGCGAAGAGAAGAGACGGAAACGAAATGAAAAACGCAGGAAAGGCGGAGGGGAGAATGACATCAAGAAGGAGGATGAATGGGAAGGCCGACTCGGTATCATCCACTAGTTGACCTCGCTGGTGATGCTAAAACGAAGACGCCTGATCATGGGGAACTTACCAGATCTGCGTACTTCATCATCGCTCATAGCAGCTCATAGGATTCTATCTTGTCAGTCCTGTCACGACTGAGCACCATGTCGGCAGGAGATGAACATGTTGCGCAGTCGGTCAATCCTCCTGACTTGCGAAGGAAGCTCCCTCGTGTGATAGGGCCCCGATTCGTGCAAGTATGAGCAAATCGATTGAGCGAAGACTAGCGGATGGGCGAACATCTCCTGCTCATTTTCACAAGTGAGATGTTTCGTGGCAACTATCCTTCCAATTCTCCGATGGTCTCTTCACGCTGCTGCAACCATCCGGGGTGGCGCCTGTTACGGACGCGGTCGTCCGTCGCGATCATGGTCCCAGATGTCATTCGGCCAGAGCATGAGAAACAAGCGACAGTATGCCAACGTTATGGGCGACAACAATGCCGGATCGCAGATCTATTCGCACAGCCTATTGCGATGATATACGATGGGGGGGGTGCGTGATGTCTCTGATGCCGCTGGTGAGACATGGGGGAAATATTTGCCATGGAATACTGGACCCGGCTATCAGCCTGTTAGCTTGTCAGATTCCTTTGGTACGACACTCGTCCTGAACAAGTGTCCGAAATGGTCAACAAAGTCTAGGAATCGTTCCACCTCCGGGGGAGGAAGATGAGGTCTATATGGTGGCAATGCAGATAGATACACGCCACTACCTGCTATAGTTTACTTCCAAGACCACAGGTCACCCTGTCGATGCCGGCAGAAGTGGTGGCTAATTACTCAACAGTTATTACACTATCATTGAACTCGCCCATTGCTCTCTATTGGAGAGCAAATGTTTCCCACCCTCTTGCTGCCTCCCTTAATTCCCTCCGATGCTTCGTACTGTGTCCTTGGGCTGGTGAATGTGCAAAGCGGTGACGTCATGGAGGAAGTGGAGATGCGGCAGCCTCGTCGGCCAGAAAGTGTTCGACGACAGAGGTTGAGCACCGGTTCCATCGAGGAACGAAATCCCGATCCATCCTCCCATCAACAATACCAGCAAATACGCTCAGCTCTCCTTGGGACAACATAGACATGAGGGAAGAAAGGAGAGCGCCGTGGCTGTCTGTAGGCCCTTAACCCACTGTACCAAGCATGCTGTGACACAAGTGTCCATGACTTTGCTCATACTCGTACCATGATCATGATGGCCGTTCCTGCCGGGAGCCCGCCTTCGCCATCATCGGGGAAGTCTGGTTGGCAGCATTAATGGTGACGAGCACCAGGATCACGGATCATTCCACTCGGTGACCAATGCACCCCCTCACTCTGCGGACCTGCCGTCCAGGTACTACCTCACGGGTGACGGGACGGCACAGTCGACGTCACTCATCAAGCAGGCCTTGCCTTCACCCGACTACCACTAGGCTTTTAGAAAGCAGCTGTATCTACTCTGTCTTTAGGTCTTCTTCTTCCTTCCTTTCCACCATCATTCCATTCGAGACACATACTGCTTGGTCTCCTACTCAGATCCATCCCATCTCAGAATACAACGCCGCCTAAAGAACACTGTCGTCATGACTTCTTCGCAGCCCGCCGACCCGTACGTGACACCTCGTTGCCCTAACACTCTTGCCTCTCCTTTGACCTCTTCGCCGAAGGCACAAGAACTTCTTGGAACTCTGACAAATCAAACAGATACAAGGCGAAGAACCAGGACGAGCCTGGCCTGGAAGACAAGATCAACGATCTCAATGGCTTCGTCAAGACATCAAAGTTCGGCATGATGACTACACGTATTGCCGACTCTGGGTTGCTAGTTTCCCGCTGCATGGCTTTGGCTGCACAGGTCTGAGAGAACCTCTCTACTCCTATGTTGACCCACTAGCTGACTCTACTGACATAGGAATCCGGTGGTATCGACCTCATCTTCCACACAAACACCCATTCTGGCAAAACCTCCGACCTCGAGTCTGACTCTCACGTCAACATTTCTTTCCTGAACAATTCCGGGTCATGGGCCTCCATTTCCGGCACCGCTAGCGTCAGCGATGACCGCAGCCTCGTGAAGAAATACTACACGCCTACGTTGAAGACATGGCTTGGTGATCTGGGAGACGGTACCCATGACGGCAGTGAGAATGACCCCCGCATTGGCATCATCAAAGTGAAAGCCATCACGGCCACATATGCTGTCTCCAAGGGTACCTCCCTGGGAAGGGCTACCGAGATGATCAAAGGGGCCATCACTGGTGAAGTCGCAAACGTCAACGACCTCAGAGAGATTAGTGAAGAGGAGATAAAGCAATGGCGGAGTAGCCACTAAAGGAAAATGATTTCGTGGCTGTCTCTGAGCTGATGCTGACGCCTGCATGCGGCGGTTGAGAGAGACTTGACGACGATGAATGTCCCAATATCCAGTCTTACTCGGTATTTAAGCATGCCGAGAACAACGTGGAAAGGAGAAACCACGAAAAGGGCTTCACCCAACAGATCGACGGTGGAAGAGGAGAATTCTTATTTTCATTTCTTGCCTGCTTTATTGTATGCGTAGCACCCGCCCTGCCGTGAAAGCACTGTACATAAGAGCCCGATGATAGCGCCCGCGAGCCCAAGCAACCTCTGTATCTATCCACGCTGCTGAACAATCCTATTCCCGATCCATTCGGGAGGTAACAATGATACATACAAGCATATACATAATACAGGCGCATACTTTTTGCACAACAATCGAGCAGCTCCAGATCATGCCAGGTGGACAGGGACCCCAAAGAAGCTATCAGAAACATTGAAGGAAGAGTTGAGGAGTCGGTTTGCGACGAAGAGAACAAGGGTATCCAAAAAATTGTATTTTGACAACTCAGTCAGACGCCCCGTGTAAATGCATGTTGGTTGGCTCCAGCATAGATGCGTCGGTGAAAGCGCTCGACGCAGATGAAGGCTCGAGAGAAGATGAGGCGGCCCATGGCCATCTCAGAGCATGATTTCAATCAATCCAACCAAAGAGATGGTGTAAGGTGTTGTACATGGCAATCCGCCGTCTGTTCTCAGTCTGCGGACAGTGACCCGAAGTGTCCGGATGAGATGAACTCGCGTAGTCGACGAACCTAGAGCAGTGGGCAGATGCGGAGCCAAGAAGGGTTTCGGTCGGAAAGATGGATCGAACGTGACCGGGATATGAATAGGGCGTCTTCCATGTGAGGCACTTGCTCACGCCTCCTTCGGTAGTCAAGGCACAGATTGGACAATGCCTCGCCTCAAAAGTGACATCGAGGGCTCAGACACCATATCCCGCCACGAGAGCGGTTTGGCGCTCGATGGGCATCTCTTCGATCGAAAGACTGTCCTACCAGCGAGACCCTTGATCGCCACGGGTACTCTCCCAACGGCTATTCTCCCCGCGGGTACCGTAGTCCCCGCGGCGGCCAGATCTTGAATCACTGTCGAAATCTTGTCTTCGGTCTGACGGTGCCCGACTACCCCGACCGAATGACCCGCGGTTGCCGCCGAAAGAATCTCTCCGTCCTTCGCCTCGGAAGCTTGAACCTGAGCCTGAACCTGAGGCGAGGCCGAAGCCATTGGTCGAGCCTTCATGGGCACTGAGCTCGAGACCTCGGACGCCTGAGAACCCCAGCTTAGCGGCAAACGCACGCGACACGTGCGGTGGCCGCTCCAGGCCGTACCCGAACTTGGCGAGGCTGTTCGCCAGGTTGACCATGGACTGTTTCGACCGTCGCACACCAGATTGGTTCAACGAGGACAGGATGCTCTGGTAAGCTTTCGCCTTGTCGCCGAAAGGAACGCTCCTAATCCCAGACTCGACCATCTGCATGACCTTGCCGGTTTCCACGGAAAGCTGTGTAGGTTGACTCATGTCCAGCTTGGCAGTCTCGAGCGAGGAGTCTTCCGAGATGTTGTGGGCGTGGAGGTCGCGCACTAGCTGTCTAAACTCGTTCCTCTCGTCGTCTTGCAGAATGAGCCAGCCTTGGCCTGGCTTACCTGCACGCCCGGTCCGGCCGATACGATGGATGTAATCTTCCAGAGTCTTGGGCGGTCCCACTTGAATAACGTGCGTCACATTGGGGAAATCCATCCCACGGGCCGCAACGTCCGAGGACACCATGATGGCACTTTCAGCATGTCGAAACGCCTGGGAGTTCTTTGTCCGCTCGGCTTGAGTCAGCCTCGACGACATCTCATAGATCTTGCAGGGAGCCAGGGGATGCGGGTCGAACACCCCGCCTCTCCCACCAGATCCTCCGCGCATGTTCCGCAGAACTTCGTAGCCCATCCTTACTTCATTGATGGTGGACAAGAATACTATCGCTTTGAAGGGCGGATTGTTCGCCGGATCCGCTTTGTGAGCTTGGACGGCCTTGTAGGCAATCTCGGTGATAGCTGGCAGTTGGTTTTCCAGTCCAGGTAGATACACTACCTTCTGCGGTACCGATTCGTGAGTGGCAGCTTCATCAGGATCAACGGTTCGCACAAATTTAAAGTCCTGCCTCATGGTCTTTTTCACCAATCCAACGACAGTTCTGGGCAGGGTGGCGGAAAACATGAGAGTTTGGCGAGCGTTGGCATCTCGTGGAGGCATGTAACTCTGAATCGCCTCGATTTCTGGAGCAAAGCCAATGTCGAGAAGTCGATCGGCCTCGTCCAAGACAAAGGTTTGGATATTGTCCAGACTAACGCCACTGTATGTGTCGGATACAAGGTCCTTGACTCTGCCAGGTGTCCCGACCAGGATGTGGCAGCCCATGCGCTGCATCATCTTCAAATGGTATTTCTTTTGAGTGCCACCGACCGCTGTTTGCACTTGAACTCCGGTTCCCGAAACAACCTTTTTCGCCTCATCGGCAATCTGTTCGGCCAGCTCGCGGGTTGGTGAGATAATGAGGGCCCTCGTGTCGCCAATGGAGGCTCTCCGGGTGTTGAAATTAGGATCCCTCAGCAGTCGTTGCACGATTGGGGTCAGAAATGCCAAAGTCTTGCCTGTGCCGGTCTTGGCCTGAGCAACCACATCCGAGCCGTCTAAGCACTCGTTGATTGTCATGCGCTGTACTTCAGTCATTGTATGTATGCCCATCTTGTTCGCCAAAGTGTTGACGATTCTCTGATCAAGGACTCCAGCTTCGCCTAGCTCGGAAAATTTGCTAAACTCGCGCCGTACCTGAGAGAGGTCTTCTGCCCCTAGGTCTTCCGCGGCGGCATGTTGTTGTCCATATCTAGATGTGGATGAGAAGAGGCTGGCTCCAATGAACCTTGAAGAGTGGACGCGGGTATTTGAGGGTAGCGTTCGGATCAGAGGAGAAAATGAGGAAGTTGAGGGAACGCATCGTAGGGCTCGCAGCACAAGACGGCCCTGTCGGGCTGCACCGTACATATTGACGGCGTTTGCGAGGAGAACACAGCAAAGGCGAAGGGTGAGATTGCGACAGAGACTGTTACGAAAATACCGGATAAGATCAAGGGAGTGAATTGAAGAAACAAGGATGAATGGCTGCCGTAAAGGTGTATGGGTGTATGGCGGTGATGGTACAAATAGGTAGGTACCTAGTTTGATGCCTTTCCAGAATACTTTCTTCGATCCAAAATTTCGAGCCAGGGTCTACTAGAGAAGTTCGGGATGCGCAGCGCGGCGGATGGGGCCAGCTCCAGGCGTGTCCCTTGGCGACGCTAGGCTGCTTCTAGTTGATAGGGGTGGTTAAATGCATCGACCTCATTTGGGCGCTCACCCCGACTGTGCCGCTTTAAACCCCAGCTCCTCCCGCCGCACCCTCCGCCCACCTCCTCACCTTTCCACTCACCTTTACCTCACCCTCGCCGCGACGGTCCCATCTGGCTATGCCGCCCTCCTGCTTGTCGACCACCCCGACTAGGGGCCGCCATCAGCGACGGTAGCCAGGTCCCGTTGTCCGCTGCCTTGCGACAACCCCGGATGTTTGGGGTGGGCATCATTGGCATCACGGCTGTCGCCTCCACGATTAATGCCTGACATGGTATCGATTTGAAGGGTCCGAGATCCGTCAAGGATGAGCATCCATGGTTCTCGAACAGAGGCTCCTTAGGCATCGCCGATCGGGGTCTTGGAGTTGGAATACGCGTCCTCTGTAGTCGCCGACTTGGGGGTCTTAAAAGCCGTATACCTCTAGCTATCGACCAAGGAGGCGTAAGGGATTGCGAGCCAGACTTCCTGGGAACATTGATCGTCTGGTACCCAAGGGCTTCCTCTCTGTAACGATTTACAGTCTACCGAGTAGAGCCGTCAGATCAAGTGGAGTGGGAACGGAAGATAGATCATCGGCCAAAGGAAACACCGAACTATGATACTCGGCGCAGGGATTAGCAGACCCAGTTGAACAGCAATATCCGTGCTCCATCCTGGACCTACAGGAATTAGGAGATGTTCATGGATACTGGGGGGATGCTCAGGCTGGCGGCGTGCTGCCGAGATGAAAGCCAGCAGATCAACAATGTCGAGGACCCAGACCTGACGTTATCAACACTTGGAACCCCAACAGTCGCTCGCTTCCTAATTCCAGATTCCAGCATCCAGCATCCAGCACCCAACACCCAGCGTGGGCAGTTGTCAAGATGTCGGCGGCACCAGCCAAAACACACCTGATCGCGAGCGTCGAGCCGATCCACGCGGGCCAGTTCATGTTTGTGCGCATCCGGACGGACACGGGGATCGTGGGCTACGGCGAGGCGGGCATCTGGGGCCACATTTCGGCGGCGGCGACGGTGATCCAGCGGTTCGGCGAGTACCTGGTGGGCAAGGCGGCGTTCGACATCGAACACCACTGGAACGTGATGCACCGGTTCAGCTACTTCCAGGGCCTGCTGATCAACGCGGGCATCTCGGCCATCGACATTGCGCTGTGGGACATCAAGGGCAAGGCGCTCGGGGTGCCCATCTACGAGCTGCTGGGCGGGCGGTGTCGCAGCAAGGCCCGGGTGTACGGGCACATCCTGGGCGGCGACATCGAGACGATCGTGGACGAGTGCCGGCGCAAGATGGCGCAGGGCTTTAACGCGCTCGGCCACATCAACCCGTTCCTCGACGAGAGCCACGACGCCGTCTACTTCAAGCCGCACGTGCGCAAGATGGACGAGGCTGTGGCCAACGTCCGGCGGCTGCGCGAGGCCGTCGGCGACCAGGTCGACCTGCTGATCGAGGTGCACCGGCGCCTGACCCCGGCCGAGGCGGTCACCTTTGCCAACGCCATCGCCGACACGCGCCCGCTGTTCGTCGAGGATCCCATCCGGCCCGAGAGCGCCGAGGCCATGGCCCGCGTCGCCGCCCGCATCGCCGTGCCCATCGCCACCGGCGAGCGCCTGGGCTCGCTGTACGAGTTCGAGGCCCTGTTCCGCCGCGACGCCGTCGAGTTCGCCCGCGTCGACGTCGCCCTCTGCGGCGGCATCACCGGCGCCAAAAAGGTCGCCGCGCTGGCCGAGGCCCACAACGTCCAGCTCGTGCCTCACAACCCGCTGTCGCCCGTCGGCCTCGCCGCCTGCTTGCAGATCGCCGCCGCCGTGCCCAACTTCGCCATCCAGGAGTACACCACCGGCTTCGAGGCCCTGGCCGCCACCTCCACCGTCAAGCACTTGGGCAGTGATCTGGTCGACCACGTGCCCGTGCCCAAAGACGGCTTTGTCGACATTCCCACCGGGCCCGGGCTGGGCGTCAATCTGCTGGACAACGCCCAATCTATCCGCCCGCCACTCGTCCTGCCCATCACCATGCGGCCACATTACGACGGCTTCGTGGTGGATCAGTAATCGAGTACGTACCGGCACTACGATAATCTCTATCAGTTATTGAAAAGGGGGGAATTTGTCAATAAGCACTTGGGGAGTGATCTGGTCGACCACGTGCCCGTGCCCATAGATGGCTTCGTCGACATTCCCACCGGGCCCGGGCTGGGCGTCAATCTGCTGGACGACGCCCAGTCCATCCGCCCTCCACTCGTCTTGCCCATCACCATGCGGCCACATTACGACGGCTTCGTGGTGGATCAGTAATCGAGTGCACCGGCACTACGGTAGTCTATGTCAGTCATTGAAAAGGGGGAATTGGTCAATATACAGTATACAGAATGAGCCCTTGAATGGTCATCACTTCATAAGCATAAGCATTTCTAGGTGCTAGCCGCCGTGAGCTTCTGTTTACAGTAAAAGTAAACCCTAGGCTGGCAGTGGCCGACGAGTGTCCGAAACAGGCCTAAGCCAACTCCCGGACGCCTCCTTTCACGTTGAGATGCATCAGACTTTAGTATACTCCGTATATAGACTTGGCTCTGGTCAATCTTGCAGCACTCCTCTGGCCTGGTCAACCTTGCAGCACTCCTCTGGTCCGATGTTTCCAATCTTCCCGACCATCTTTTCTCCGCTCCACGAACAGACCATGGTTCAGCCGTCAGTCTTTCGGTGCAAACCTTGATAGAACTGTCGTTCCTCAAAGACCTTGATGTCATCGTCATTCAGAACCCTGCCTTCCTTTGCCGCCTCTTTCCGCCGATGCCTGATGCGCTGGACATCACACTCGACGTTTCTCGTGACCCACCAGGTGTAAGCATTGACAAACCAGGCGGTGATGACGAAGGACGCACAGATGGCAAAGCTGTTGCGGTAGCGGTTGTGTTTCCATTTCGACCGAAAGAGTTGTGGGCCAATGGCACCGCCGCACTGAGCGAGGCCATTTGAAATGCCAATCGAGACGGCCGTCCGCGTCGCACCGCGCAGGTTGGCAGTGCGCCATGGGTAGAAGATGGGGAAATACATCCAGTAGAAGGCGGTGGCGATGATGCAGGCCGCGTAGATGCCGCCTCGGGAAGAGATGGTGAAGAAGAGGATGAAGCAGACCACCATACATGAGAGATCAAGCATGGCGAACAGCGGACGCGTGATGTAGCCTTTCTTCATAAACCAGCCGGCAAAGATGCAGGCCAGCACGGCTGCTGCAGAAGGCGGAATGATGAGCAGCTGGTTCCGCGGCAGTTTGGCAAAGCCCAGGTCGGTGACGATGGTCGGCGTATACCACGTCAGTCCGAAGCCGCCGAGATTGACAAAGCCCTGACAACCGGTGAAGAGCCATGTCATGGGGTCGGTGAGGGACTGTCGCACTTCTTGCCAGCTGAACGCCGGTTCCGCCGTGCGTGGCGCGTTTTCCGACAGACGGGCTTCGATGAAGTCCTGTTCACGCTCGCTGAGCCAGCGGGCGCTTGTTTTGGACTTGGGATAGTCCGGCCACAGGAAGTAGACGACGATGCCGAAAGCAATAGTAGCCACGCCCTCAATGAGGAAAACCCTGGCCCTGGTCAACACGACAGTGCACTTGAGCAGGATGGCGGGCGGGCACTTACCATCTCCATGCACTCATGCCGCACCGACCGTCCAGGTAGCTGACGCCGTACACTAACAACGATCCAATGATGCCGGAGCAGTTTTGCAGGCAAGTATACCACATGACAGGCTTGTGCATGTCTTCGGTGCGGTACCAGCTGACCAGTTGGGCGAAGTGCCCCGGCAGAAGCCCCGCCTCCATCAGACCCATGAAGAATCGGGCTGTGTAGAAGCCCTCTTTGCCCTTGAGAGCGGCATGGCAGGCCAGAATGGTGCCCCAAGACACCAAGATCCGAGCATAGTAGCGATGGGGAAGCATTTTCTTCATCGTAGCCACCATGGGCGCCTCGAAGAAGATGTATCCGAACTATCCTTTCTGTCAGTGCACGTCTTGAGCCATCGGGTGCGATTTCACACACGTAATAGAACGTCTGAACCCAGTTGTACTGATCCGCGGTCATATGAAGCTCCTTGAGGATGTTGGAGGGTTGGCCGACTTGCAACACCTTGACGGATGCGGCACTGGCCGTGTCGATGCTCTTGCTGCAACCCCTTTAGTACTCGACCGTCAGAGGAGGAGAAAGGGACAAAACCAACGTCATGTGCATCAGGCCCAAGAGAAGCAGAAAGTGGTAGTCGATCTTGCGCAGGATCTTCTTCTCCTCCTCCAATGTGAAGGTGGCCAGGAACGCAGCCCGTTCATCCTCGGTTTGCTTCTGATGGACCAATCCATCTTTTGGAGCCGATGTCACGGCAGGGTATTGTTTTTCACTGTCGAGATCAAGAGCCGAGACGCTTGTCGAGATGTCTACCGGAGCGGGCATGATTGTGATCGGCGCAACAGGGGATTTCTGATATGGAACTCATGGGCCGAGAGTTGCCAGATCATGCCAGCCATATAAATACCGCCTGGTGGTATACATGGATTGACTGGTGTCTTGGTTGCAGTATGTCGAGTGCCTGGGCATACAGCGGTACCCGCCAGCTCGAGCACGCCAGCGGCCGATTGTCCTTAGCATCACAGCCTGGGCGGCAGCTCCGCTTCGTGCGAAGACCCCGGGTTGCGTGATTCGATTCTAATATGGTGGAATTGTGCTTTTCCTGCGTCAAAATCTTCCCATCTTTAAATGTAAAATGGACGCATATTCCACTTTGCCCAAGCTAGATATTCAACATCGGACTATCCTTTGTCGGCCAAAAGATTGGCCGCGTTGCGTTTGCCCGCAGACCCCTGTCGCTCGCGGAAAAACGAGGCTGTCACTTGGTGCGACCGCAGGGATGCCAGCCAAATCAGCAAGGAAGTCAGGGTCGCTATCGCAGTCGTCCTCGGCTTGTTTCGCATGTCGTGCGAGAAAGCAAAGAGTGCGTGAAATGGCCTCATTTCCCACCATTGATCCGGCGCTGACGACTGTCTGGAACGTAGTGCGATGGCAACAGGTGGGAATCCTCTACAGGCTTCTGCGCCCAGGCTGTCAGTAGACCTTAACAGGCCATTGTCGACAACGTCTGACTCAGGTACTTTGGGTTGCAGTGCCCCTTGCGTCTAGTCAGACGGTACCGTTACTCATGGACATTGGCAGCCGCAGGCTCTTCACTGCACTATATATGAAAAAGAATTTGTCGAGACTGACCTGAATGGTGACTTCCCACAGACCAGTATGTGCTCGTTGCCGCGCGGGAGGACAAACCTGTGTCTGGCCGGTCAAGCGCCAACGGTAAGAAGGGAGCTCTTTGCCAATTGCGGTGCATAGCTATAATCCTGGACATCAAGCGAATACTTGCCCTTGTGTACTCGGCTGATTCGATGTCTTCTTAGAGGGCCAGCCAAAGGTTATGTCGAAAGATTGGAAACCCGACTCCACAGAACAGAAACCCTACTCCGGCATCTGCTTGCCGAAACCTCGAACGACGTCCTTGAGTCTTCCTTATCAAATGCTGTGAATCCACCTTTCCGGCAATATTCCAGGACCAAGGCAGTTAACGCTTCCACAGAACCTTGAAACTTCAGAAATCGATTCGATGTCGTTGAACTCCGAGGCCAAAAAGGCTTTGATGGAATCTTGGTCGCGCCGACCGTTACTCACGGTGGCTGATATCAGAGCCTGGAGCCAAGAGTATAGTGACGTGGTGGCAGGTATTGCCGTTGGGAAATGCGCCCAGGGTCCCACGAGTGAGAAGGATAGTCGACCCTCGACTCCGGAGGTTTCCGGCTCCATTAAACCATCTCACGATGCATGGACAGACCAGTTCCGAGAATACGGTACGCAGCAGGGCTTTCACGATCACTCTATAGAGCTTGAGGCTGCGGCCACAAGCAGCGCGCCATCTTTGCCTCTGCCTGGTGCCGTCCAACAAGAAAATTGGCCCGTTTGGAGCCCGAACGGAAGATTTGGCTTAGCCAAAGATTTCGAAGAGGCTTTCATCTGGTGAAGCCATGTCGGACAACGAGGATCCAGACTTCGCGCGAACCCAATAAATTCCAACAAGCCTGCCTTCCATACTGCTGCTAGGTATTATCGAATCCATCAAGCTGCTCTCCCATTGGCAAGAAAGTCCCAGCTGAGATTGCCGAACACGCCGCTTGTGTCTGAGAGGTTACCTTCGGTAACAGGTAGCGGAATGATTTGAGTTCGATCTAGGTTGTTGAATTGTTCAATATCAATATCAAAGCTTGGCCCCGTGTAATCCTGGAATCGTTCGCTTCCGTTGGTCAAATCTGGCTGCGCCTCGTTGGCGAAAGAACCGTGGTGGTAGTGATGCGTGTGGTAGGTATCTGAGCCCATCATCCTAGCTGATGCTGTGAGAGAGGGCAACAGATGATCTTGATTGTTGGGTCGACTGGTGTATCTTTGTCGCTTGGGGGCCCGTTCATCTCCATAAGCCACATCTATGTTCTGAGATATCGAGGACGGTTGGGTCGGGAGGTCCTTTGAAGCAGAAGTTGAAAAGAAATTTGTCGTCGGAGACGGGACACCCTCTGCCTGAGACTTCAGAGCATCAAGCAGCATGTTGATGGATGCATGGCATCGTCGAGCGTTGGCCCATCTTGTTCCCATGTCCTGCAGCAAAGAAAGACAAACGTCGAGATCGCTGCTCCTGTCAGTCTAATGCACCAGAAGACGAGGATCAAATCACGTACAGATAAGTCTTTAGAAGGGGATAGAGCCTTAACTTGCAGGCAAGAGCCAGAACAAGCCCTGCAGTCCATACGCCTGCAAGCAGTCCCGGCCAGGGCAAGAAGTCCTTCTGTTTAACATGATCCTGGACAGACCTAAGAATGGCTCTGCTGGAATTGATGCAAGTCTGCAAGCTGGACCGAAAGTCTGGGCTTGTGGCGGGGAGTGATAGAAATGGCCTGTTGATAAGAATGACAGAATGGTGGTACAGAAACTTGAAGAAAGGTGCCAAAGTGGGCTTGGGTTGGCCAGAAGGAACAATTTGGTCTTCTTGAAGATCGTTAGGCAGAGCATTCCACCATGCATGCACCTCGGAAGTCAAGTCAAGCACCTTATCCCTGCTTATCACCCGGTTCCTAATGGCTTTGTGAAACAGTGACAGGGTCTGGCTGGTGAGGCGAGAGCATGCAACAAAATTGTTGACTATCTCTTGACCCAATTGTCTTGGGTGCCTCCCAGGTTCGGATTCTAGAGGAGACACCGGGTCGACGGATGTACGAGTGAGGACATCTTGAGCCTTGGTCGTCCCTAATGTCGGGTGATCCAGTGGTAAATGTGCCAACACTTCTTCCGGCGAGCTCACTTCTGTGTGGCGAGTCCGTACTGGCCGGTGCAACTCGGCCGTACCGGGCGGGCAAATATCAATATCTGACTCACTCATGATAAAAGGCATTCCAAGCGCCTGAGAGAGGTAGCGATCGATGGCGTACGCACTCCAAAACACTCTTTTTCTCATGTCACAATGATAAGCAGATAGCTGTGCAGAACGAAAAGGGCATCGGTGAAACCCTGCAGCCACCAACGTCTTGAAAAGCAGGCCACCGACGGCGGCCGCGTCTCGTAAAAACATCTTCGATAGAAAATAGAGCTGCATCGCTAGCAAGGCTTGAAGAGACAGCAGGTCATGGGCTGTCGCAATATATCCCGCCCAGGAGAGTAGAGTCGCATTAGCATCGATTCTGCACTGAGGCGGCAGGAAATTGCGGTCCGTGGTGGTTCCCAGCGCCGAGATGTTGAATACGCATTGGTAGATAGCCATTCGACAAAGTGACTGCCGAAAAGAAGTCTGTCGCACGGTCTCGACATGGAATTGATCGGTATAGAGTCTTTCCATGTCGTCGAGAAAAGAAGGGCCATGCAGAAACGGGAAGAGGGGATGCCAGGTGCGAAAATAGACTTGGATCATTTCCCTGGCGAGCTCTTTGGGAGGCGATACCCCCATTCCCTGATCATCAATGCCGTATATTGTTGTCGATGCCGGGGCCCGCTGGCTCGACCAGGGCCGTCTGAAATCATGGTCATTCCGAATGGAAGAGATCTCCGAGTCGAAAAAGTAGTCCTTGACAATCTCAGGCTCTTGGACATTGTCGTCGTCCTGACCACTCTGATTCGAGTCGACCGGTATCTTTCCAAATGTTCGAAATACCGTGTTGATGAAGAATACTCCGCTGGAGCTCCCAAGGAATTCACTTTCATTCGGGTCTGAAGCGGCGAGAGAACCAACTTCAGTAGGTCGTATTGGAGTCGAGTCCATCGACAACAGCAAGGCCGTGAGTTCTCTACCTAGAGAGAAAGCGTGTTGACTGAATGACAAGGACGTGGTACCTCATGCTTCCGCACATATCAACACGGAAAACAGGGTAGGCGCAAGCACGCGATTCGTGAAGTCGATTCGTTCAACGTTCCAGGCGACAAGTCATTACCGTATGCAAGAGCTTCATCCACGAATGACGTCCGACATTCCGCGGAAATTGCTTGTCATGACAGCAAATCTGGGGGCTATATTTGCCAATACCTGTATGTCTATTACAGCCTGGAGTAATATTGTTTCAAATGACAATTCACCAAACAGCAAGTTAGCCGGAGACACTGGACCTACCAAGGTACCGATCATTATGATGGGCGGCATGCGAGGCTACCTAATCATGAGAAGCGACATAGGAGATGGGCACTACCACCTACATATAGGTTTAGTATCCCTACCTAAGGTAAGGTTGCTCAGTACTCCTTACCAAGTATGGTATTTAATCACATATTGCATGTCACGTGAACGCGGCTGAGACGGCTCGTGCATGCTATCATGGTGCTATCAGCACCACCAGCACCAGTGGCTCAAAGCAATCCCAGTGGCTCACCCCGTGCGTGCTACTCGTACGGAGTACTCCGTACTGAGCATCAGATAGATATCCGAACTGCTTTTTGTGTCCTGGAGGGTAGAAATGCAAGACTAGCAGCCCGTTCATGAAGCGAATGCCATGCGAGCTGTCGTGCCATCAGGGGTGGACGGATAGTAGGAACGCACTCTGTACGGATACGCTGTTCTCTGTATCTGTCGTTGAAAGGCGTGCTCCAAAAGCCAGGGCCACTGCGGGGGACGCTGGCGAATCACCCAAGGCTTAACTGGCGCCGATCAAGTCCGTAAGCATTTGCTGCAGGGCTGATTCGCCACTGCAATGCCCGCACCGCCTCCTAACCTGCCCCCCACCACTCACCCATCGACGACCACGACATCCCTATATCACGGACATTCCCTCCTTCCTCGGCTCACTCGTTCCGTCTCACTTTCCATCTGACTGTTGTTCTTCTCATCGCTGGACATCTGTCACACCCGCAACTCATATCCCAGACGTCCCAGCTATCACAATGGCACCACCTACGGCCACGTACACGGAGACAACCACTCCCTCCAAGGGTTTCGACACGGCCGATGCGCAACCCGAAGGCACGGCACCCAACGAACCTAAGTTGAAGCAAGGCGAAGCCGTGATCCAGCTGCAGAAATTCCCCAGCCCACCCCGCTTCACAGACAAGTACGAGGAGCGAGAATATCTCAAGGGTCGCCTGGCACTGGCCTTCCGACTATTTGGCAAGTACGGCTTTGACGAAGGGGTCGCGGGCCATATCACGCTGCGCGATCCCGTTGATCCGCATAAGTTCTGGGTAAACCCGTTCGGTCTGGCATTCAGCCAAATCAAACGCTCAGACTTAATCCTGGTCGACCATGAGGGCCACGTTGTCGACGGGGGACCAAACCGTCTCCTCAACACCGCAGCATACATGATCCACGCAGCCGTCCACAAGGCCCGACCAGACGTTCTCTGCGCAGCCCACTCGCACAGCATCTACGGCCGAACGTTCTGCACTCTTGGCCGACCCATCGACATCACCACGCAAGACAGCTGCGCCTTTTACAATGACCTGGCGGTCTACAACTCGTTCAAAGGCATCGTACTGGCCAAGGAGGAGGGCGAGAATATTGCCCGGGCGATCGGCAACAAGAAGGCCTGCCTACTGCAAAACCATGGTCTGCTGACCGTCGGCCAGACCATTGAAGCCACCATCTTTTGGTTCGTTTCCCTTGAGAAATGCTGCCATACGCAATTGATGGCCGATGCCGCCGTCGCTGGCAGAGGAGGCGAGACTATCAAGATCGACGAGGAAGATGCCGTTTTCACTTACAAGAGCGTTGGCACGCCTCGAGCGGGCTGGTTCAGCGCCAAACCTATGTTTGATGTTATGGCCCAGGAAGTTGGTGATGAGTACTTGCAATGAATGACCAAAGGAGCGATGGAGCGATGACATACTCCGTACTGTTAGTTAACTTGGCTTGGACTTGAGTTAGTCAAGATCTGCCTCCCTCGACCGAATGCACGTTTTCTGTTTCCCCTAGGTATAGGCATTCTCTGTAGACCTCGAAACCTCAACGACACCGTCCCCTCGCTGGATGCTGAAGGACTCTTGAATCGTACATGCCTGAGATCTGGGCCGCGGCCGTTCGCGGCAAGCACGATTCTGCCCCGGAGAGTCGAGAGGGGCAAATGTGGGGTTTGGGTGTAGAAGTACCCGACATGAATGGAGTATGGAGACAATAAACGAACCTAGGCATAACATACAGACTTCCCCGACCGAGACTTGAATGGACTTGTTTTCTCGCAACCATAACTAGGTCAAGCCTGCGTCTGAGGTCGTCGAATCCTGCATTGGCCGATTCTCTGACTGGTGACCAAGTCGGGGTTGTCTCAGGTAAATATCTATCTCTGTGGTGCGGTATACGAATATAGCATCACATCCCACATCCCGACCTGACCTTGACCATGCCCTCCAAACTCACTGCCGTTTCGGCCCTCCTCGCCGCCGCGGCGTTGTTGTACCAGTTTTTCCTAAAGGACTTCCTCTTCGCCACACTCGGCTTGGGCCGCACCGTCCTTTCTGTGTCCGAATTCCCGTACAGCTGCCACCGCATCCACGGCGATCCGAACATCCAGGCATGCGAGGACATGTGGCTGGATGAGAAGTCTCGGACGCTCTTTCTCGCGTGTTCGGACCCAGTGGCTAGGAAACACTGGATGCCAAAGTAGGCATTTGCCCGTCCAGATCCGTTGATGTCAACCTTCAGACTGGCTGCTCAAGGGGCAGCACCATTGCATCACTTATATGCCATTGTTTGACCTCTGAAGCTGGCCCGCGACCCATGTACTCCCACACTAGACATTCCACATTACCGTTTGTATAAACCCTTCGTTTGCACAGTCTGCCACCGCCGTCTTCTCACTTTGCTATTGGACTTGTTAGAACGATACTGATTCGTTCGTGTGCCAGTATACACCGCCTAAACGCGTCGGGTCGAGCATTGCACGACCATGTGGTTGCCTTGAACATTGATAACCCGTCAAGCGAAGGGGGATTCACTTACCGTGTGCTCCAGACACCAGGGTTCTCGGGTGTCCATGGCGACGGCCGCATCCATGTCGTGGGTCTCACTGGAAGCAGTTCCGCTTCTACTTCCGCAGATGCAAACGGCTTGGAGATCCAGTTGTGGCTAATCAACGCGCGGCCTTCGGTTGATCCCCTGACAGGGGAGTTGCTGGACAATACGGTTGTGGGAGGAAATTCTACTATCGAGCTATTCACGACTGAGCCGGACACCGATAGCATGAAACACATCAAGACGTTCGCGGACCCCCACATCGCGACGCCAAATAACGTCGCCCTGGCCGAGGGTGGCGGGTTCTTCTTCACCAATGATCATGGGCTGCACAAGGCTGGCTGGGTGAGTACTCGCAGGGCTTAGGAGGCCGCCTGAGATGACCAAATAGCTGCTGATCCTCTTTTCAAGCAACACCATCTATCCACTATCCTGGCTACTGGCGACGTCTCTTACTGTTCGGCCAGTGGAGACTGCAAGCAAGTGGCTTCAGGGTTCAAGTTCCCCAACGGTCTCCTTCTGGGTTCTGATGGGCTGCTGTACGTTCCCAGTGCTGCCGTCGGGGGTATCACCGTGTTCCAACCCGGCTTGAATGGTTCAGTGAAGAAGGTTCACCATATTGATCTCAACTACCCCATTGACAATCTCTCCGAGGACGCAAATGGCGATATCTTCGCAGCGGCCATGCCGAAGGTGCTTCAGGGAATGGCTGCTTTTAACGATCCGTTGAATGCGCCCACCGCTCCTGCAACCGTTTGGCGGGTGAGGAGGCTGAACAGGGACGTCACAGACAAATATGATTATGAACTTGTGAAAGTCATTGAGGATGGCGCCGGTGAGGTGTTGCCCAGCATGACGACTGTGATCCATGATGCCTTGACGGGGAGATTGTTCATGAGTAGTGAGTTCCATGTGGAAGTTCCAAACCAGTGCGAGTGGCTCTAACCCTTTTACCAGGCGTGCTGTCACCGTTCATTACGGTCTGCGAGAAGCTATGAAGGCCTCGAAGTCTAGGGTGAGGGACTGACGAAGTTGAAGTGCGCAGACTTCCATATGACCAACCCGCACCGAGCAGTCATTGGAGATGCGTTGTAACAAGCATGGTATAGCGTAGTATCCATATGCAGTCGCTCGACAGAGAAGGTCGTCGTCCCTGGCGATCCAGTGCCATCGACGTCAGAAGGATGTGCATATTCAGGAACAGCTGTGCTAGTAGGACGGTACCTACCTTAGGCACCTACGGAGTATAGGTATGTAGGTACGTAGCTAGGTGCCTAACCATCGGTGTCCGAGCCTGCGCCCTGGGCCCTGAGCCCCTAAGCCCTGAATATGACGGCGGTCGGCGGCACAGAACCCCGATCTCCGTCATGCTTGCGCCTGCGCCTGCGCTCGCAGTTACTCGTAGGTATGGAGTACGGAGCATCGTCTGGTCCTCTCTTCTCTCGCTCCAGTCTATCAGAGTCGATGAACGATCAGCATCCCCCATTCATCCAATAACGATAATGATGACCTCGGCGGCTCCTATATCGCCCCCATTAGGTGCCCATCCTCCTGAATGGAACGGGTCTTGCCTTTGTGGACCGCGCAGTCCAGCACGATGGCCTCAGGGCCCCATCCCACCTGTCACTAGTACTCAAGAACCAGACCACTTGGCAAGCCACAGTCGTAATCGACCAAGTCACTGCTTGTGCTTGGTGGTGCTGGATCTCGCGGGGTGTGGCGTACGGATCACCGTCGAAACCCAAATCGACGACGCGCTTGCAGGGCTGAGGGCTGATTCCCCTTTTGTGTCTGTGCCACCTGTCCGGCCTACGGAGTAGAGATCGAGGCGCTCTGATTCGAGTAAGATCATCACCGCACAACTCTTCCTGATCGGCCGTCGGGATCGCAGGGGATCGCAGACTTGAATAGACTCAATAAGGCCGCCCATTGACCTCGTATCTCTATATATCTCACCGTCGTTCCCGCATTTACTGACCCTGCTAACACCTCAAGTCTTACTCTTGCCCTTGTCCCCGTCCACAGGCTCCTACTTCGTACCTACATATCAGGCTTATTACGCTAGCTTTCTCAAGACATGTCCTCGTCAGCGCTCCCTCCCACCATTGTCATCAACACTCCCGGAGCAGCGACTTCCTCAGTGTCAGCGGCCCGCCAAACACCCTCCGCCTTTTCCTCGGTGTCAGCGGACCCCACGCCTCCCAAAGCGAGACCACAGAAACCCGTCCTCGTCCAGTCATGTTATCTTTGTGACGAACAGAACCCGGGCGACTTCTCGCCTACCACCAAGTACCTCGAGACGTGCCTTCTCTGCTCGCGGTATTTCTGCCCCATCCACAAGTCCGAGAGTTGGGACCAAGTCTGCAACATCAACCACTCCAGCTATTACCATGAGTGCCTGGAAAGGGCGCGCGAAGAGCTGGCTGCCCAGGGCAAAGACACCGACACCAACAAGCGCGTGCTCGCCGAAACGCTGATCAATGAGGGCATCTATCCCAGCCTGGGCGAGCGCGAGAAGGCCATTTTCACCACCAGCCCCGTTAGCGATGGTGAGTTGCGTCCACGACTTTCAAATCCCAGTCGCTCCCCTATGATAGACCTGGGGTGTTTCCTTAGCTAACCGTTTTGCATAACAGCCAAGATCCAGGAAATTGAAAGTTTCCGCAGTCTCGATGCCGCCTTGGCTGGCACCAGCACCGAACCGACGAGCCAGCTGATTGAGGAGCGGGATGTGGTTGGCGCCGACATTGCCGTCTAAGACACGGAACCCATCACTACACCCAGAGCTTGTTTTGCTTTCTGTATCAGGATGGTCGTTGCGAATATGATGATACCCCAAACACCTCGTCCTCGTCCTGCTGAGTACTCTATAAATCAGCGATACTATCATGTGCATGGTTACTCGAATGGTCTGCTCCTTAGGCTTGCAGAAAGATGATGGAGATGCACTGTCGGTGCAGGAGCCTTCAAGAAAGAAGGGGTGAGAGATGACAAGAAGGAATCTCGCCATACGCAGATCTTTGGTCAAGGTTCGACTGGTCGAGCACAAAGGCCATATGTGCCGACTTGGAAATGTGAAGACCCCTTTCAGAGGACCATTGCAATTCGTGATGCTAAACCCAATTGAATTGAATCCAAACCATGGCCGTGCCAGAACACCTTGCTCCGTATCCTACCCCTTCCCAATGCCTGCGAGTCATAAAAATCCCCATGATTCCTTTCCGTGATTTCCACTTTAGGTCAACTTCCGACTTGATCTCAAACACAGACAATGCTCTCCAAGACGCCCATTGCCCTCTGGCCTTCTCGTTCGAAGATACCCACTACGCGCTCTGCCTCGGCTCGCAGGCCCGCTTCCGCCTGTTCGGCAATATACTCAATCCACTCCTGTACCGTCAGGGATTCCTCGTGCGTCGACAATGTGCCGCCCGTAAGTGCGACAAGATCCGCGGGCTGAGGGGTCGTTGATGATTGGAAGATGAGTTCTACGTCGGAGGATGCCCAGGCTGGAACTGGTGTCCCGGGAGAGGACGGTGCGAGGGGAATAGTCTGTACGTGCGCCACAGACACATGCGCTGACGCAGGTTGCGCGCTAGGAGGTGCATTTTCGATATCTGATGGAGGTGATGGGCTGTGCTGTGTCGGAGAGCGAATGGCCTCGGCTTGCGGTTGAATGGCAATGGTCGCTTTGGGAGTCGCTGTTGACCTCCTCCCAGGCGTCCGCTGTCTTGTCTTAATAGGCGTGGGAGAGGTCTGCGGAGGGGCGCCAACGGGGCTTAGCCGTATCATTTTATCAGGTACCCCGGGACTGCCTGGTATAGTGGGGTAGGCCACATCAGCAGGTGGGCTGGGCAAGCCTTGCGGTCGTGAGATGGCAGAGGGCTGCGGTCGCGTATCTTCGGGAGGTATCGAAACCTGTTCCGCCTCGACTTCTTCGTGAGCTTGTGCTTCTGCAACATCAAGTTCATGTTCAGGCTCGGGCTCGGCTTCAGGCTCGGCCTGGCCTTTTTTGGTCTTTGTTGACCTTGTTGTCTTGGTCCTTTTCGCCTTCGTGGCCTTTGCTCTGCCTCCGGCCCCTTTCCGTTTGCCTTTGGTAGTTGCGGTCGAAGCCGTGGACATTGTGGACATAACTGAGATCTCGCTGGCGTCAATTGATTCGTCCAAGTCCGGTATTTCCATGATGCTTGGAGCTTCGGATAGCATTGTTGAGTTAGACTGAGTGGACAGTCTTGTCGAGGCTTTTGATGTCCGCGACGCTCTTGACGCGCGACCTTTCTTTGCTTTGGGCCGTTTCGATGGCGCAGTTGTACCAGCGAAGTGGAAGAACGGACACTCAGGAGATCGACGGTAATGCTCGCTGAAAGGATTGTCCTTCGGCTCCCACCCGTCTACAGATAGCTTGCAATAGACGCAGCTGACAAAGTCGTCGCTGTCGGGTGTGGGAACATAATGCCAGCCTGCTTCCACCATTTTTTCAACTTTACATGTCCATCCACGCTTGGACTCGTGCGGCCATCCTATTGAGAAGGTGCTCCTTCGCGCGTCTGTAATTTGTGGCCCCGTCGGGTCTTCCATATTGTTCTTATCCCAAGTAGCATCTTGTGCAATGCTCATCAACACGGCCCAACCGCAGTCATCCGAGTGTTTCAAATGTTCTTGCACTGGATCATCATCAGGCTCCCATCCACCAAGCGCTCTCTCGCAAAGGAAGCATATGGTGTTATCATTGCTCGAGCTGGAGGGTTTGAAGTAGAAGCCCGCTCTGGCGAGTTCTTCTGGTGTCGGTGTTTTGTGGGGCCATCCTAATTTTGAGCGCTTTGAGGGCTTTTCAAAGGTCGCCAGCCGTGCTTCCAGTGTAGCAAACTCCATTGAGTCGGTTGTTGGTTGTAATAGTTGTCTAACAAAGGTTGCTGCTCGTCGCAGTCGCTTTTGTTTGTTGTTGCCGAATGCGAACATCCAGCGCCGCGTCAGGCTTGGCAGACGACAGGCCCTCAGGCCTCCTCCCGGCATACCTTCCCCTAATCCCTCACTGCATCTCTATAGCAGCAAGCTTTCCTCCAAGAATGGCAGCCAACCATGACGCAAGGTGAGAGTCGGACATATTGTATGGAGTACGTGGACCCAGCAAATGGAACGCAGACAAGCTCGAATGATCCAGCAACACAGCCTCTGGTGGTCTCATAGCGAGTAGCAGATCCGAGAATGGTTGTAGCCCCGAGAACAAACAGTCGATCACTTCAAAGATGTCCATGCGAGTCGTGCCCAGTGTCTTGGGCAAGAGAGGAATCCAGGATATTTGCGGCGCATCTACGCGACTCCCCCTGCTCATAGCCTCCAGACGGCTGCCTGCTACTTATGGCGCTCGCGGTTATGCTAGTATCGGCGAAGAGGGCAGACGAGACACTGGACCACCTCCAGGATTCAACAGCGCCAACGCAAGGCAACCCTCGAGCTCTGCCTCCTCGTCCTCCACGGCGCACTCTTCCCCGAGCAGTTCCAACGCATCCCAGAAACAATCTCCCTCTGCCGAATCTACCAGCTCGAGTGCTTCCTCCTTAAGCACGCATGACTGGGAGGACAACCCCGACCTCAGTATATCCAAGTTCTCCGAACTGCCAGGGAAGGATTTTGGAGTCAATCAACATATACTCATCAATGAAGAGTTCAAGGAAGCCTTGCGGCAAATACTCTGGAAGTTTCGAGCACCGATCAGATATGCCTTTGCGTACGGTTCGGGTGTCTTTCCCCAGAGCTCGAACCAAGCGGGTGGGAACGCAACTCTCCACCCCTCGCCTCCTGAAGCAATCACCAAAGTTCAAGATGGCAATCAGAAGATGATTGATTTCATATTTGGTGTCTCATATACCCAACATTGGCACTCACTCAATCTGCAAGAACATCGGGATCATTACTCTACCGTCGGTTCTCTGGGATCATACGCTGTCTCAAAGATTCAAGACTCTTTTGGAGCCGGTGTATATTTCAACCCCTACGTCACCGTCAACGGAACGCTGATCAAATACGGAGTGGTCAACCTAGACACCCTGTGCAAAGATCTTTCCGAGTGGAACACTCTCTATCTGGCCGGTAGACTGCAAAAGCCAGTCAAAATCTTGCGAGACAACCCTGCTGTGCGACTGGCGAATCAGGTCAATTTGATTGCCGCTGTGCGCGCAGCGCTTCTCCTTCTGCCTCCTGAATTCACCGAACAAGAGCTTTACTCGACAATCGCGGGGATTTCGTACATGGGAGATCCGCGGATGAGTATTGGCGGGGATGATCCTCACAAAGTCAACAACATCGTCAAACACCAGCTCCCCAATTTCCGCCGTCTTTACGCGCCGTTGATTGACAACCTGCCCAACATCTCTTTTGTTGATTCCGTATGTTCAAGGAGAGACTGGATGGATGATCCCACGGTAAATGCCAAACTGGCCCAGAACATGGACCCTGTCACACGCGGACACATGGTTCGCCGCCTGCCCAGTGCCTTCCGAGAGAAACTGTACTTTGAGTACCAGTCTAAGTTTAATATTCCGCGCGGGGAATTCATGAAGATGCTGGAACAAACAAAGGACGAAGACCCGAACAGGATTCGGAAACGCGAGGGCGGACCCTTCGAACGACGAATAGCCGAAGACAATGAGGGTGGTGGTCTACGAGAAGAAGTTCGACAAGTCATTGAATCGACCGTCCGATGGCCGAGCCTTATGCAGAGCATCAAAGGGCCCATCACCGCAGGGGTTGCGCGGAGCTGGCGCTATGTAAGGGAGAAGAGAGAAAAAGCCAAAAAAGGAGCACTTGCAACGCGTCAAGAGAAGAATAAGTAAGATGGTAGATACTCACAGCCTGCATCGGACGTGTTGGATATGGAGCACTACAGAAAGGCGCTACAAAAGACAAATAAGCAGGTATATTCCTGTCATGTATATATTGAACCTAGTTTGGTTTGGAAGCTGAGGAGCAGCTACTTTCCTTGCCCCAATAGAAAAGTCGACTGGAACTGTGTGGACGATATAAGTTGGACGACCGTTTCGATCCATTTGATAAGGCTGCCTTGCCTATATCCCCTGAATAATGTGATTAGATTATCTCGCACATCGTCTTCGGGATATTGCTTGCCAGTTGCCCGCCCACACTGCCATCATTGAGACTCAATTCTTAGAAGTTATTACAACTTCTCTGCCCCGTTGCGAACCCCAACATGGTCCTATGCCTGTGCCTGTGCCTGTCCCTTGGCCAATTTCCACCCTGCCTTCCAGAAGACGTAGAGGGGAACGCCAATGCTCCACGCGTACGCCGCGGTACGGAGGTAACTGGCCCGCTCGCTCCGGAGCGTCATGTACAGAACGCTGTACAGCACCCGGGCGGTGAGGTACTCTGCGGCGCAGACGTTGAGGTCCTTGGCGTTGAGGTTGGTGTAAGTTCCTGCGATCTAGGGGAACAAATAAGTGGTTGTCAGCTTTCTCAACTTCTGCATACATATAACATAGATCCAACATCCCAACATCACAGGGTCCCAGAGTTCCAACACCCTAGGGCCCCAACACCCCAGAGCCCCAACGTCCAACGTCTCGGGACCAAGGCGCACGTACCATGGCAGCCGCAAACAGCGGGAAGCCCTCCAAGGCATTCAAGTGACATCCACGTGCTCGCCAAAGCATGTCGGCCGTCTGCTTCGATAGCGTGGGCGCCAGCCGCTCCAGATTCGCTCGCGGCGTGAGGTTCGATGCGGCATAGTTTGTCGCGGTCATGAGCTTGGCGAACATGTACAGGTGCGGCGGGTAGGCCAGGGCGTAGGAGATGGGAATGGCGTGGAGTGCGAAAGCTCGGGTGGAGAAATATGATGAGGGCGAGACCGACGGCGACGGCGATGACAAGGGAGTGCGCAGCGAGGAGGCAGAGGCAGGGAAAGGCTTGGAAGACTGCACTGAAGGTGTGAAGGTGGAGGTGGAGGTGGAGGTGGAGGGCATGGTTGATAGATCACAACTGATGTTCAAGTTTGACACTGGAGGTTATTGTGGCAATCAGATCGGGGAGGAGAAGGACAAGTCAAGACAAGCTGAATTTCCAGACTGGTGAGAGATCAGAAGGTGAAGAAAAAGGCAAGACTTGATATATATATATATACTGTCATGGCCTTGGAGACTGTTATTAGCGATGAAGAGCTGGATGGCTGTGGGCAGGTAGGGCCAACGCTTGCGTCGCAGTAAGTACTGCAGGCTTACACTGGGTTGGACGAAACGATATGCCTACCCCAGACTTACCTTCAGGCATGCCATGTCCATGTTTCCCGTGATGCTTGCTTTGTCACATCGCATAACGCGAGGCTGTTGATCTGACGCCACGCATCACATAACACATAACGCCTACAAGACCATCACGTTAGGTACTAGGCGGTAGGCCGTAGTGTAAGGTAAGGTCGTGGTCTTCACTCCTACGGGCCAAGTTGATGGGATAGGATTGAACTGCACTTACATGAGGACAACCACATGAGAGCTCGAGGATGGATAGATAGGCAGATGCCTTGTGCAGTGCGGCGTAGCTGTGGAGTTACGTCGCCTGGAGTGCGAGGAAGGATGTTGTCAGATTAGGTAGGTACTGAGAATATTTCTGAGAGAATTTTTACGTTAGGTAAGGTATACCTTAGATATTGGACACCGGCCACCCGTCGTATGTTACCGTGGAACCAATTACCTAGGTAGTAATCATATATTACAAGAGACCACAGAGACTGTGATTAAAGTGGTCGGCAGCTTGTGCTGAGATCAGCCTTGTCAACAAGGCTGAAGTCACGTGTGATAAGATAAGTGACAAGGGTCATAAAAAAATGTTTTGAAACTGCGCTGTTCTCCCACCACCTTTCAGCGTTACACGGACTCCGACGCAGCAACCATGTCGCCGCTTAAAAAGAGAAAGTTGAGCCATAAAGAAAGTGACTCCGGCAAAGATGTATCTTCGGAATCGAGTTCTCCTCTTCAAAGTCCCGACGTCCACAGCGATGGGGAAGACGACATTGTGGAAGAGAAGCCCCAGGCCCCAACGACTTTTAAAGAGCTAGGGATAATTGACTCCCTGTGTGAAGCATGCGAGTCGCTTGGATACAAGTCACCTACACCGATCCAGGCCGAATCCATTCCATTGGCATTGCAAGGGCGAGATCTCATAGGGCTGGCAGAGACGGGCAGCGGAAAGACGGCAGCATTCGTACTGCCCATACTACAAGCCCTCATGGAGAAGCCACAACAACTGCATTCTCTGATCTTAGCGCCGACAAGAGAACTGGCGTACCAAATTTCACAGTCGGTGGAGGCGCTGGGTTCAGTGATCGCTGTCCGCTGCGCCGTCTTAGTCGGGGGGATGGACATGATCCCTCAGGCGATCGCTCTCGGCAAAAAGCCTCACGTTATCGTTGCAACACCAGGTCGGTTACTGGACCATCTCGAAAACACAAAGGGATTCTCACTACGACTGCTCAAGTACCTTGTTATGGACGAAGCTGATCGGCTGCTGGACCTTGATTTCGGACCGATTTTGGACAAAATTCTGAAGATCTTGCCTAGAGAAGGCAGGAAGACATATTTGTTTTCGGCCACCATGTCGAGCAAAGTCGAGTCCTTACAACGAGCATCTCTTTCCAACCCTCTCCGAGTTGCGGTGTCCCAGGACAAATATCAGACTGTTTCAACCCTGATACAGTCCTACCTCTTTGTCCCTCACAAGCATAAAGATCTCTACCTGATTCACGTGTTGAATGAGCACGCAGGCCACACGGGGATCATATTTACCCGGACGGTCAACGAGGCCCAGCGTATCTCTATTCTTCTGCGGACTCTTGGCTTCTCTGCGGTACCCATCCATGGCCAGCTCTCCCAGCATGCTCGATTGGCTGCACTCAACAAGTTTCGTGCGAAATCTCGCAATTTATTAGTAGCTTCGGATGTGGCTGCCCGTGGTCTCGATATTCCCTCGGTCGATCTTGTGATTAATTTCGATCTTCCCCAGGACAGCAAGACTTATATCCATCGAGTTGGGCGTACGGCAAGAGCGGGGAAAAGTGGCAAGGCCATCTCCTTCGTCACTCAATATGATGTGGAGCTTTGGTTGAGGATTGAGGGCGCTCTTGGGAAAAAGTTGGACGAATACCAGGCCGTGAAAGAAGAAGTCATGGTTTTAGCGGAGAGGGTCGGAGATGCGCAGAGAGCAGCTGCTATGGAGATGAAAGAGCTGCATGAGAACAGAGGCATGAAAGGAGCGACTCTGCGACACACCCGAACGGGCAAAGGTGGTGGGACCAAACGAGGTCGTGATAACATGGATAAAGATGAGGGCTAGAGGACTGATAAAGCATGTCATGAATCATGAACTGTCGGTTGGCTTGTTCTTAGTAGGCGCTGATACTTCCAATCATCAGCATCAAGCGCACTAGTACCTAAAGGCCTGGCAATTACTGATAGTTATAGTAGAAGCAGGCTTCAGTATGCGAGGCTGTGTTTGGTCAGCCTCGCAGATGTTCAAGGCTTGGCGTAAAAGTTGGAGAAACTTCCACTCTGCGTGCCTGAGGTTGAGTGAGTAGAGCAGTCATAAACCGTGCCTAAACCGTGTTTTCAACCCGTCCGAGACTTCGATACTTCCAGTCCCTACATTGTCGAACCTCCTGTTTCGCGACGAACTAATCTCAAGCGCTACCCACGAGACTTGAGCGGGGTTTTATCAAGGCCAGACGCCTGAAATACAGGCAAGATGCAGGCCCCTGTGGTGGTGATGAGTCAGTAACCCAGGACATATTAGAGGGCTTAGCTAAGTTCCAACACAGATACGGGAGCCGGAGACAGACAAGTCGGGCGCAAGGCACAAATATCAAATATCACCGCTGCGAAAACGTGAGAACAATGAATGGAGACCTCTACAACTACGTCCCACTGACAGCAGTAGGGTTGCGGATATCATAAGATCATGTCTCGGGCCCAAAGCGATGTTGAAAATGCTTCTGGATCCCATGGGAGGGATTGTCTTGACCAACGACGGTCATGCAATCCTACGAGAGATCGAAGTGGCGCATCCGGCAGCAAAGAGTATGATTGAACTGAGCCGGACGCAAGATGAAGAAGTCGGAGATGGTACCACAACAGTCATCATATTAGGTACGGCGACCAGGACATGGATGTTTGTGCAGAACTGACGATATCGAAGCTGGCGAAATCCTTGCGCAAGCCCTCCCGCAGCTCGACCGAAACATCCACCCCGTAGTCATCATACAAGCGTTCAAAAAGGCCCTCGCGGATGCTCTTTCCATTGTTGAAGAGGTTTCAATACCGGTGGATACTTCAAGCGACAAACAGATGGCATCACTCATCAAGTCGTCCATCGGCACGAAGACGGTCTCGAGATATTCCGACCTTATGTGTTCCCTAGCCCTGAAAGCAGTGCGAACCGTGGCGCAAGATCAGACCTCAGTTTCGAATGCAGCCCAAACGAACGGTGCTACGAAATCGCCTGCCCCTACGAAGCCCCAGGAAATTGACATCAAGCGCTATGCCCGTGTGGAAAAGATTCCGGGAGGAGAGATCGAAGAATCACGGGTATTAGACGGAGTCATGGTAAACAAAGACATCACACACGCATCGATGCGCAGACGGATAGAGAACCCAAGAATTGTACTGCTGGACTGTCCGCTCGAATACAAGAAGGGCGAGTCGCAAACAAATATTGAAATCACGGACGAAGACTCCTGGAACAGGATCCTGCACATTGAAGAGGAACAGGTCAAGAAGCTCTGCGAGGCAATTCTGGCCGTCAAGCCTGACCTGGTCATCACTGAAAAGGGCGTCTCGGACCTCGCACAGCACTACTTTGTCAAAGCAGGCGTCACGGCCCTCCGCCGTGTACGAAAGACGGATAACAACCGCATTGCGAGAGCCACTGGAGCCACCATTGTAAACCGGGTCGACGACCTTGTTGAATCGGACGTCGGCACGGGCTGTGGTCTGTTTGAGATCGAAAAGATCGGTGACGAATACTTCACCTTTCTGACGAAATGCAAAAACCCCAAGGCCTGCACGATCCTACTGCGCGGTCCCTCGAAAGACATCCTCAACGAGGTTGAACGTAACCTCCAAGACGCCATGTCCGTGGCTCGCAACGTCATGTTCCATCCACGCCTGTCTCCCGGAGGTGGTGCCACTGAGATGGCCGTGTCGGTGCGTCTAGCCCAGAGATCCAAGTCCATCGAGGGCGTCATGCAGTGGCCGTACCGCGCGGTCGCCGAGGCCATGGAAGTCATCCCACGCACGCTGATCCAGAATGCCGGCGCCAGCCCCATCCGCATCTTGACCCAGCTGCGTGCGAAACATGCCGAAGGGAAATCAAGCTTCGGCGTCGACGGCGACACCGGCAACGTCGTGGACATGAAGGAGTACGGGGTCTGGGAGCCACAGGCGGTCAAGATGCAGAGTATCAAGACGGCCGTCGAGAGTGCTTGCTTGTTACTTCGTGTCGATGACATCTGTAGCGCGAAGAGCGCGAAGCAGGTCGGCGGGAGTGGTTTGTCTGGTGGCGGTGGCGGAGAAGAGTAGTTGGCGACAGAATAGACTGACTGGCCGGCCTTTTTGGCACACTGCATTCTAGACCTGTCCGTGCCAGTGACGAGCAGTGTCATGCAATGTACAATGAAAGCAAAGAATCCGGAAAGTACGAGTCAGACGTATATCAGGCATCTAAGTAGGTTCTTAGGAGCCTGTCTGCCTGCCTCTGGTCGTTTTGCAGATGGAGATGAGGTTCCGAAAATAATGTATGTCAGAAGTCCAACTTGGAGTCAAATGCGCTCAATCGCCAGTGCTTCGTTTTGAGGCTTCGATTCTTTGTCCTCGAAAACACCTATATACCCAAATCCGCCCCCCAAAAAGACATTCATCATTAGTTCTGTTTTCATGGATCCTTCAGTGCATCATGGACGAGATCTATCTCCAGAATCCCTTCCAAGCCGCCCGAATCTACGTCGTGGGCATGTGTTCAGAAAGAAAGCAATAGCCTTCGTAGACAAGAAGACAACTACTCTTCTTCGCTCACTTCGCTCTCGTCATCTTGCGTGCCCATGCCAATGCCCAGCCCAATGCCATGAGCCGGGGCAGCCTGCTCCTCTTCTTCCTCCAGTGCAGCCTCGAGTGCCGCAGCAAGTAGGTCTTCGTCATCATCGTCATCGTCGTGCGCGGTGCCGGAGGTGGGGGCAGGAGGCGTCGGCGGTTCTTCATAATGTTGTTGACGACGGAGATCTTGCCTCTGGTCTTGGCTGGGAGCTTCATCGTTGTCATCCTCATCGTCCAGTCTTGACACATCGCCACTGTGAGGTAGACTAAGTCGCTTCTCACGAGGACTGCCAAGCTCGAATACCTCGACGTCGCCGTCCTCATCGGATGGCCCGCTGGAACTGGCATCAATGTCTTTCATCGTTACGTCCTTATCCTCGCGGCGCCCGTGCTCCCCAGCGGCAGGCCGGGATAGTGAGAGTGGCCTCCGGCGGTCATTGGAAGTGATGCCTCCGATCGGTGTCCCTGTGTGGCTGCGGAACATTTCAGGGTCCACTCTTCCGCGCCGCATCGGGCGGTCCTCTGGAGGCGGACTGCCCATGTCGATCTCCAAGCCGCCATCATCGTCGTTGATGATGATGTGCGGTGAGCTGCCGATGTTGGCGGATATGTTGCGCGTGTGACCTCTTCCGGGTGGGTGGTTCGGTCTGCGATTGCTGCTGTCTTGTTTATTGGCTGTGGATGATAGCTTCGTACTAGGACGTGATGACTCAACTGTCTCGTCGTCGTCCTCATCTGAGTCGGTTATGCGAGCCTTGCTTAATGGTTGTGAAGACGGTTTGAGGGCGTCGCGCTTGGCTGTGCTCTTTGGAGCCATCAGAGGGGTCGTAGTCCGGCTAGGATTACGTGTTGAGTGTTCGGTCTTCTTTTTCCGCTGTGCCGTTGGCTTGGACGTGTTCGGAGTCGGCTTGAACTGTGGAGTTGTTGCTGGAAAACGGCTTCCTGCAGGCACAGGAGTAGAAATGCCGCTAAGGGGTGTGCGGTTGCCAGGTTGTAGTGCAGATTTTTCAAGGCTCTCTCGCGCTTCGGCAAGGAAGTGACGATAATCGTAGGGGTTAGACGCATCAGGAGCCTCGTCCTCCGCTGCGGGTGACCTACTCCCGTCTCCCATCGTCGGTGCGGAATCTGTACTTTGAGGATGCCTTGTCGGTAGTTGGGGTAGATTGCGAGCGTCCTTGAATGAGTGGCCAGCACCGTTCTTGAGGTTCATGTCTAAGGATGTTGAAATGGCCTCAAGGACGAAGCAGGATTTGGACTTGTCGAATGCTAGGGCGAGCGAACTTGGTTGGTCTTCGGATTTCTCTGATTTGGACATATGTACTGCGCCCGTGTATTGGTAATCGTCATCGTCTTCTGGGCCTCTCGCTGGAATAAGAAGATGGTATTTATCCCCCGATTTTGTGAGCTTGCTCTCTCGAGGTCCAAAACCTGACTTTGGCTGCCAGTTGTAACGAATGTTCACGAGGGACTCGCGGGACCTGCCGTCGCCATGGGGTTTCAGGCTGCTTCCAAGGACGATAGGATAGTCAGCGGGGCGACGTGGATCGACCCAGCCAGACGGTCGCATCGGATGTAGACCTGGCGAAGCCATCCGATCCGAATCAACACGGTCGAACTCGTCACTCTGGATTGTTTGATACCTAGAATTAAGCAGATTAAACGTCTAAAAACAGCAGATTCATATAGACTAAGCGAGTGACTAGTAGATGCAAGAAGGTACAAGGTGGTGGTATGGAGTATGGAGTATGGACGTTGCAAGGTGAACAAAGTAGACTAAGTTAGGAGGAAGTAAGATGGGGATTGAGGACTCGAACAAAGGAAGGTGGAGGTCCGAGTCGTTGCTGGCCCGGGCACGTGGTTTGCGGGCTGCGGGCTGCAGGCTGCGGACTGTGTTTTAGCACACTGCAGGCTGGTTTGGGGGCGGAGCACCAATGTGATGAAGTGCAATCTTGGCATCATACACTCTGTACTACGGAGTATCCGTACATACTATGTGGTTATCCGCAACACTTCAGGGCTCGAGGGCCAGGCTGTACGAAATACAGGGATCCACTCCAAGGAGAGATTGTACTACTATCGAGTCAGTGGCTCGGTAAAACACAAAGGCCACATTTCTACGATCAAAGGATGCAAGTGCCGGATATAGGATAATACCTTTTCCATCCACTAACTTGTGCTCGGAACACTTGCCGCAACTGGTGCTCTATGTCTGTCCTAGGCCACCGGTGGGAGACTGTGCTGCCCGCTTTATCATATTCTCACCCTCCCACCCCGCGATCGGCAACATCGTTGAACTTCTTGGACGCGCCGGACAGATGCGAGCCCTCGAAATCAACGATCATGTCGCCGTCAAACATGATCCAAGCCTCTATGGCACTGTCCAGCGCACAAATACCGACTCCTACGACCCACTGGAAGATGAGCTAATCATCGCTCACACTGAAGTCCCGGCAGACGTTCTCAACGAATTCGTTGTCAAGGGCGTTCCCCCGGTGGGCTATGCCTTTGTTCAATTTGCCGATGAGGCTGCCGGGAGTTCACTGGTGAGCGAAGATGACCTGATCTTGCTGAGCCGTGTCTTCCAGATCGGGGATACAGTCAAGCGAGAAGGCAATCCTATGACTGGCGCAGTCGTCAATGTATCAGAATCCTACATCTTGGAGCCTATCCCGACCAACCAAGACTTCGCAAAGTGTCTAAACTTCGATCCTCTGGGGTCGAGCACGTGCTCGCCCGAGTGCGAATCTTTATTGCCTCCCCTGTTTTCTCATCCGAAGCCGCACACCTTGATTTACGACGTTCCAGCGCGGGAGGTCAAAAGAGCGCAGGATTTGATCAAAGATGACTACATAATTTTTGGAGAATGGCTGGGTGTAGCCGATGATGTGGAATACGATGTCGTGATTGTTCTTGACAACAGGTCGGTTGTGGTGGTCACGGGTTTGGAGGCCCTTCATATTCCAGTCCCGGACTATGGAAAGCCACTTGTCGCATTGCCAGAGCCGGACGGATTCAAAAGGCCTGATATTCTTGTCGCTACCCAAGGCTGGTCAAGCACAATCCCTGTTCAAATGCCACGGCCGGGGACCTTTGTCATCGTCGATCGGACCACCCTTCGAACTGGACGGTGGATAGATGGCTCCTACAACCCCAATTGCCCTGTGCATGGCTATGTGGTAGACATCCGCGCCCATCAATTCTCCGTCGACTGGGTGGAACGCAATCCCGCCCCGGTTTGGGATGAGAACCATAACAGGACACCGCCTCTTGACCTTTATCTTTATGATAGCATTCGAGACTACAGAGAACCACCTGGCCTGCGCCCGAAGAAGAACCTGTGTGTATATGATAGAGGGTTGATGCCATCCAGAACTGCACAGCAACAGGAATGCATACCCGGGCCTGAATCTGGAACTGTTCACCCATATTCGGAGACCACTCAGGATATATGTCCCGGGCAAGACATCGCAATTGGTGTCCATGTCAGGTTTCGAGATCCGATAGGCGCCGCAGTGAAGTACCAGGGAAATAAAGCGACAGGACATGGCAAGTTTGGTAGAATCCCGCCCGACATCTCCGGAGGTTGGGACGTGAACGAATTTAAAGTGGTCTACATCAAGCAACAGGCGACGGTGCTGTGGCAAGACGGCAGCATCACTACGACGGACTCGACTCTACTTGAAGAGTATGGCCTCTTTGAGGTAGAGCTCGCACCAACTGACATCGTATTGAAGCGAGAAGGCATGCGTCAGAGGCCGGTGGGATCGAGACGAAGCGCCAAAAACAGCTCCAAGGATTTTAACGAGATGACTTTTTTCGAGCGACCTCATGATCTTCTGCCTCAAAGTGTGGGTGTTGTCCAATCGGTCGATCCCGACGAAAGGGTTGCTCGCGTTCGCTGGTACAAAGAACCCAAGATTGAACTGCGTTCCTCGGGCCAAGTCATGGCTCCAAATTCACGATTTGGTCCAATCGGAGACCAGATTGAGGACGTTTCCTTGTACGAGATCATGTCTTTTCCTTGTCTTCAACGTCGAAGAAGAGATATGTGCATAATTGTTCCTCCTGGAGGAGTCCCGAAGAGGGCAGATCGTTCAGAGCGTTTAGAACCGCTCAAGTCGTTGGAGTGGAGCACACCATGGAGAACTGGGCCAAGATCGACTATACCTACGGAGACAGCGGTTGATGGAGGTTCTCACTTTTCATCTAAGCCGAATACGGACGCAAGAAAAAGAGTGGAAAACCCAATTGAGTGGATTGGTGAGATCGTTGCTACGGGGTTTGATGGTTCGGTAACCGTCCGGTTGGGTGCAGCTCGGCCGTGCCGGGACATTTGCATCGATTCCGATCACATCGGAGGTCTCATTGCAGATCGAGAAATGATGGACGACATAAATGACGACATGATGGATGTGGATTCATGGGCTGACGGTGTGTCCATTTTCTCTGACGAAGAAAGCGTTGAACCTATTTCAGAAAGCGTGGAGTACGAGGGCGGCCAACGGCTGGATGATGACAGCGGTGATGAGAACTGGGTGTCTGATGAAGACGAGGCATTCGCTGACGCTCACGAAGAGCTGCAAGACGGGGACACTGAGATGGTTGACGCAGTTGAGCAGCACAACGATGCACCGCCATCAACCAACTCGCGACGGTCTCTCCTCCAGCTCCAAGCTTTCTTGCCTACTGAAGCACCACCTCAGTTTCTTGTTCTTGACCGGCAGCCTCCGGCGGATCAATTTGGACTCCATTCAACTTCCACTGCAGGGGCGTCCCTGAAGCGCATCATGCGAGAACATCGGATATTGGCGACGTCGTTGCCAGTCGGAGAGATCTACCTACGAACGTATGAAAGTAGACTCGACCTGCTACGATGTTTGATTATCGGGCCGAAAGATACACCTTACGAGAATGCCCCTTTTTTGATCGATCTATACTTACCCGAGGGCTTCCCTGACGTGCCGCCCACCGCGCACTTCCATAGCTGGACAAGTGGGCTGGGACGGATCAATCCTAACCTGTATGAGGAAGGCAAGATCTGCTTGAGCCTGCTAGGGACATGGTCTGGGAAGAATGAGAGTGAATCGTGGAGCGAGAAGGCGACGCTACTCCAATTGCTGGTGTCCTTGCAGGGGCTGGTATTTGTCAAGTCGCCGTTCTACAACGAAGCCGGGTTCGAGGGGTACGAGCACGACAAGAAATACACGCGGGAGTCGGAGCAATACAGTGAAAAGGCATTCGTCATGGCGAGAGCCTTTGTCAAACACGCTATTTTACGGCCTCCCGGGGGCTTGGAAGATGTCCTCGCCTGGCTGTATCTGCCTCACAAGCCCACTGAACCGGAGAGTTCCTTGCTTGGGACTATTATTCACCGCAGCCAACAGTTAATCGCAAAGTCAGAGGAGGCCAGGCTGGCCGGGGACGAGCAGCTGCTGGACTCGGCGGGCGGCAAGGACAACGACACTCAAGTATTCCTGAGACCTCTCAGCCGAGGGGCCAGTGTCATGCTGAAGCGAACACTGGCGGAACTGCGGGAGCATCTAGACCAGTTGGGCATGGCGCGACTTTAGATGGATGATGTGTTCGGTTTTCATGATGTCTAATGAATTAACTGAATGATACCCGCTCGACCAGAATTTCGGACATTAGGAGAGGTGGACACGGATCCGACTCGACTCGGTCCCCAAGCGGACAGGAACCCCTGGATATTCGGATATCCAAGATAGAGACACTCCACGTTCTGTATTCCTGCCTCTCCATGGCCGAAGATCGCTTCGTTTTCCATGAAAAAGAGTAGAGTTCCCTGTTTTGTTTTCAGAAATCAATTCCTACCTCTCGCCGCTCGGGCATGCTCGACACGATCAGACGAGCTTCCCGGAGCAGACGTTAGACGTCTGCTCTATTCCGTAACTACATGGACTTGTCATGGACTTGTACTCGGTCATCTGTGTCCGAGGGTCTAGCGAAGTAGAGTAAAAGTAGTAACATTGCTGCCCTAGGGGTCTGTCGGAACCGATCGTAAGGGTACATTACAACACTAGAAAAGAACAATAGAAAGGGTGCATTGCAACACTGGAAAATTACAATAGTAGTGGTACATTGCAACACTGGAAAAGAAAAGACCGAGTCTGACAAAGAACAATTTCTGAAAGCAAAAAAACAAACAACAGCCTCAGCCCTAGCCTTCACTCAGCCTTGCTCCAACATGCGGACGAGACTGAGCACCATCAGCCCAATAGACAAGCAGCAGTAGTGCCTTCCTTTGACCTAGAGTCCAACCAATAGTGCCTTTCACCTAGAGTCCAACCAATAGTAGTGCCTTTGGCCTAGAGTCTGAACGGAACGTAGGCTCAATGGGTCACGCAAAGCCTGCTAAGGAACCCCTCGAAATGGAAAATAGACAGCCTGCTAGAAGAAATCCTCAAAATGGAACATAGAATAAGAAAACAATAGCACATCAGAAACCGGCCCGCTCAAATTCCGCGCTTGTCATCGAGCGAACTCCTCCAGGCACTTTCGGAGCGAGTGTCGTAAAAGTCAAAGTTGGACCTGTCGGGACTGGCAATCTTGTGGAACTCTCGCAGATGGTCGTCCAGCCTGCCTTGGCAGTCAAATTTATCTTGACAGTGGGAGCATAGATTGTGTCCGCCGTTGAAATGCGCCTCTCTCTCGCGCTGTGAAGAGAACGAGGCGAAGCAATAGCTGCACCTGCCCATATGGGAGGAGGGTTGTTCGCCAGTCAAGGGGGGAAGGTCGACATCGCCGCCATGGTATAGTACCATGGACAAAGCGTGGTCGAGCAACCTGATCTCACGGGCCGTTGGGTTGTAAATGTCGACGCCGACGCCGACGCCGGTATTCTCTATTGGGCTGATGGATGCTTTCCTGAAGGTGGATTGGCCCAGCACAGTGGCTGCGCTACTCGATGTGAATCTCACGGTGGCGCCATGCTTTCGAAGAAGGAAGCAATACTCGTAGATCGGGACAATGGGGCTTTGTGGGAGGCTTGTGGGCGAGCGATGTTTGTCGGCCGACGGGCCTGTAGCGGATTCTGGAGGGAGGCGCTCAGCTCGACGATCCGGCTTACTTCCATGTCGGGGCATGTCTAGGCCTGAGTCTTTTGGTGACATTGCTGGCTCGCTATAGTGTCCAAAGAGGTCCTCGTCCTCTGGAGCTGTCGGTATGGCGTCTGAGTCGCGTAGAGAATACAAGCCGTCGCGCCGATAATCAGACAATGACTTTGCGCTGCTTGGTGTCTTTCTTCCTCGAGTGCTCGACGGCGGCTTGTCTGAGTGCTGCGCTCTGTATGTCGGAGTCGGGCTGCTACGTCGACTTCTTGTAACTTTCTGCACGCCTGGGAAGAAGGTGGGCATTGGGAAATGGGCATTGGGCATCGGCTCAACTTTGTAAGAGATGAAGGGATGGACACATCGAGTGGGAGCCAATGAAGGCAGCTATATGCCAAACACGAAGGACCGTTCTTTGCATACATATCCTCAATGATTCTACCACCGGTCAATAGTGGGCTGGAGGTCGAGCGTGGCCCGACTACTTAGTAGCGTGGTTGAGGCTGTGCTCTTCACAAGGCAAGGTTGAATCGCTGGTCAAGCGCAAGGAAGACTGAGTGGCCACCCTGCTGCTCTGGTGCCCTGGTCTCCCGTCACCTTGTTGCCTGATCGCCTGATTGCCTGATTGCCTGATTGCCTGGTTCGCTTTGTTGCCTCACCTACCAATAGAGACGCGTCTGCAACGACACTAGACGACAACATGATGCGGGCGCAGGGAAGATAACAAACTCACATTTGGCTGACCCTTGGCGCTGGGCTGACTCCGCGACGACAGCCTCAGCCTCACCATCAGGGCGTCGAGTGTGGCGATGGGGCGATGGGAGCCATGGGAGCCATGGGAGCCATGCCCTAATTGACTGTTCCGAGCAAGGAGTGTAAGGGCGGAAGAGATCCGGGGGGGGGAAGAAACAGCATCAGAACAATCCTACTTAGTACTCAGTCGCACGTTGAGATGGATACGACGAGGTCGACTCGAAGAAGCTGAAGCTGTTTCAAAAGACACGGTCAGACTCACAATATCCGTTATCCGTGGCCGTAGTCCGTATGTGGTTAGTCTGTTAGATAAGGATAAGCACCGTACAATCTTTTCGCTGTGACGCATCTCTGGACCAGGGCAGAAAAAATTGTAGACTGGCCAGCCCATTGAAAGGCGTGACCAGAGAAAAAAGACAACCCCCGGGTCCAGGTCTCAGCAAAAGAAATACTGTGCTCTATATACGCGAGTAACCGTCCACGTCCCCGTCCACGATCGAGTTCGGTACACTTTTCAAGCTACAAATCGCCGTTTCCAGAGTCTCCAGTATGGCCAATCCCGCTCCCACCCTCCTCTGGGGTGGACGTTTCACCGGTAAGGAGCAGCCTGCGAACCACACTGTGGCACACCCTAGTGTGATACGAAGCAATGCTTGCTAACCTTTGCACTCCTGCGGCACAGGTGCAATCGACGATCTTATGTTTAAATTCAACGAGTCCCTCACCTTCGACCGAGCTCTTTGCAAGGCCGACGTCCAGGGCTCTATCGCCTTTGCCAAGGGCCTAAACCAGCTGCGTATCCTCACCGACGACGAGCTGAATCAGATCGTGTCGGGCTTGAAGAAAGTGGAACAGGAATGGGAAGAAGGGACATTCGCCATCGACCCCAAGTCCGATGAAGACATACACACGGCAAACGAGCGTCGGCTCGGAGAGTTGATCGGCTCCCAGATCGCAGGCAAGCTCCATACTGGGCGCTCCCGCAATGAGCAGATTGCGACCGACATGCGTCTGTGGGCTCGAGACCAGCTCGCCGCGCTCGCGCTATCCCTGAAGGGCGTGCTGCAAGTCTGCGCGACCCAGGCCAAATCCTCCCTCCCTATCTTGATGCCCGGCTACACCCACCTACAGCGCGCACAGCCGGTCCGCTTCTCGCACTGGCTGCTCGGCCACGCGACCTTCATCCTGGGTGATCTCCAGCGGCTGGAGGGGGTTCAAGAAAGAGTCTCGTGCTGTCCCTTGGGCGTTGGTGCGCTGGCCGGGAACCCGTTCGGCATCGACCGCGACTTTCTTGCCCGCGAGCTCGGCTTCTCGTCGGTCCACCAGAACAGCCTGGCCGCCGTGGCCGACCGGGACTTTGTGGTCGAGATCCTGCAATGGGCCAGTTTATTGATGGTGCATCTGAGCCGGCTCAGTGAAGACCTGATTCTCTTCTCGACGGCCGAGTTTGGCTTCGTCCGAGTCGCCGATGCGTATAGCACCGGCAGCAGCCTGATGCCACAGAAGAAGAACCCGGACAGTCTGGAGTTGATCCGCGGCAAAGCTGGGAGGGTCCTTGGACAGGTGAGTTTCTTGCTCCGTCTCCGTCCTCTTGGTTTCCACTCTCTAGCCTCCAATCAGGTTTTACTTTTAGAGGCGTGCATCCTATCATTTTATCTGTACTGACTGACTCCATACTCAGGCGACCGGCTTTCTGGCCACACTTAAGAGTCTCCCGACTTCCTACAACAAGGATCTCCAGGAGTCCGTGGAGCCGCTGCTAGACTGCGTCAAAACAGTGTCGCAATGCCTGACCATCACCCAGGGCGTTCTCGGCTCGCTCGAGATCTTCGGCGACAAGATGAAGGCCGCGCTGACGGCCGACATGCTAGCGACCGATGTTGCCGACTACCTGGTCGTCAAGGGCGTTCCGTTCCGACAGACGCACCACATCGCGGGCGCGATCGTGCGCAGAGCAGAGGAGCTTGGGGTGTCGATCGCCGAGCTGCCCCTCGAGGATCTCAAGCAGATCTCGCCGCTCTTCGAGGCCGACGTGGTCCAAGTCTTTGATTTTGAGCGGAGTGTCGAGAAGAGGTCGACCAAGGGCGGCACGAGTCGGAGTTCGGTGCTGGCGCAGATCGAGTCGATTGAAGCTCTGGTCTCGAAGCCTTGATGAGGTTGCCGGAAGTTGTTGAAAAGCTTCGCCCACCCACAACCTCTCTGTCTCCTGCTGCATGTGCATGAGTCCAGGGGCTATGCTGCCATTAAGAAACTCTCTGTGTCCTGCTCCCTGTGCATGAGTCCAGGAATTATGATGCCATTAAGAAACGCTCTGTCTCCTGCTCCCTGTGCACAAGTCCAGGAGTTATGATGCCATTAAAGAACGCTGTACCCATTACAGGCCACACACGAATTACAATAACGTCCAACGTCCAATGTCCAACATCCTCTGTAGGCCCTAATCGAAGTGGCAATCGATCGCATCACGTGAACACCGCACCGAGGATTGCGATAGCGAGCGCTCTAATAAGGCCTTGCCATTCCTCCGTACAACCACAGGATCACGTCCTGACGCCCCTATCACGTGACAATCGGCTTTGGCCCGAGCATGGCCGGCCACGCCCCCGACTTTTCCGCCTCACTGTTTCTTCCCTCATCCACCGTGCTTCGCTCCTCAACCACCAACCAACCATCACAAAATATTGCCCCCCCAGCTCCATCTCCACACCCTTTGCCTGTACGTCGTTCGGTGTGTCTCCCGACCCAGAGCCGGTGGCGGTTCGGCGGACAGCCAACCCTGACTCCAGACGTCGAAATGGACGCGAAGCCGAAGCCATAATATTATAGATATCGAGTACTGTCCCTGTCCCTGCTGTCCCCTTTTATTTTTGTGAACAGGGTTCCCTGTCGATCCGGTTCTGTTCTATCAAAAAGTTTCATCCATCGCTTCGTTGGACACTCTATCACTATCAGTGGCTTGTTCACTCTTCAGAGAAAGCCTTGCTTGACTAGCCAAGCCAGTCTTGCTGTCCGATCGTAGGAGCCGCTCGCTTGCTTGTTGATTGGCAGCTCGAAGACGGAGTATATATATTAAAAGCATACATACTCCAGTCGACATCCAACCTCAAATCATTTGCGTCGACCTCTCGATCTCCCTTCATCAACCGCACGGCCGAAAGCGGAAATGGCCGTCATGTCTTCTTCCAATTCTCTCCCGCAGGTGGGCTTCATCGGTCTCGGAGCCATGGGCTTCGCCATGTCCACGCATCTCGTAAGGGCCGGCTTCCCGGTCCGTGGGTATGATATCTACGGACCGACCTTGGATCGATGGCAGACCACCTGCAACGAGATCCCCAATTCGAGGGCAACCGTTGCAAAGTCCCCGGCGGAAGCGGTCAAGGATGTTCCTGTGGTATGTCTCATGGTGGCGAACCATCACCACGTGCACTCCGCGCTTTTCGACGACAAGGTCGGGGCTGTACATGCCTTACCTAAGGACTGCACCGTCATCATCCACGCCACGATCCCGCCCACAGAACCGTTGTCGGTGCGGTCGAGATTGACGGACGAGTTTAAGCGGCCGGATGTCAAGTTGATCGATGCCCCTGTTTCCGGAGGAGTGGCTCGGTCGATCAACGGCACCTTGACCATCATGGCATCATCCGATGACCCAGCCATCCTCCAGCAGCCAGTGGCAAAGATCTTTCTCGAGAACCTCACCACCAAAGGGAAAACTCTGTTCATCATCCCCGGCACTCTCGGTGCCGGCCAATCAGCTAAGGCGCTGAACCAAGTCATGGCCGGCATCCATATCCCTTCCGCTTCGGAAATCTTTGGTCTGGCAGCCATCAACGGCCTCGACACGAAAAAGTTCTACGACTTTCTCGTCACCAAAGACTCAACAGGCAAATTGCCGCCCGGGTGGAGTTGGATGTTCGACAACCGGGGACCGAGGATTTTAAGTACCGACCCGCCGCTGGCGTCAGCCACCGCCATCATCAACAAGGACGTTGGGATCATCCAGGACGAGGAGGCAAGGCTGGGAGCCGAGCTGCCCTTGCTCAACAAAGCAAGTGAGGTTCTGAAAGCCGTCATGAAAACCCATGCCGGTGCGGACGATAGCTGCATTGCACAGTGGTACCTGGGCTTTGACTCGGATCGATCGAATCTCGTGGTCGAACGTGCTGGAAACCCCACAGTCGCCGCTGAGCAGCAAGACGCCCTGATCCGAAAGGTGGCAACCGCGCACGCCGTCATTCACCTTATTTCAGCTTATGAGACCATCACATTCGCCAAAGCTCTGGACCTCATGCACCCGAATCAAAGGAAGCAGTGGTATAGTCTGATCGCTGGTGCCGCGGGCGGCACCACCATCTTTTCCGAGGTGATTCCGCGCGCCTTCGACGATCCAGATGGCGTGGATGCCGCATTCAAGAAATTCGCAAAGGAGAGGTTCGCAGATGCCCTAGACAACACAGTAAGTCCGCCTCTTCCAGAGTTTCCCCCTCCAGCTACGATGGCTTTGTTTTGTAACAATCATCTCTAGGTCTCTCTCATCAACTATGCAAAGAGCCAGAATTACCAACCTGTGCTACTCGAAGCGGCGACTGAAAAGTTGAGAACGTTTTTGAGTCAGTGAAGGTCCGTCCAGTGTTTGCGGTGTTCACTATTGGAGAAGCAGTGTCTGGCGCTCCTGAAGAAAGCGACGGCTTTGGTACCTTACAGTTTTGTGGAACGGGACCTGGCTCCTGTCAGGCTACATAGCACAATATACCCAACCATATTGAGATGCACTTACACTTACCTGTCAGGAAGACTGACCTGACCAAGGGCAAAGAATCATTCCATCGTAGCGTGACAGCCCTCTTGGTCTCTCTCTCCTAGGCGTTGCAGCAGTACTCGCCTGGTTATCCTCATGTTCCGAACCCAAACACGGATCCAAGGACACTCCCCGATGGATTGGCATAGTTCGTTGTACGCCTGTGGCTTCATGGAGGTCCCGGGCAGCGATGGCTCCCATAGGATAGAGGCCCCAGTCAGGTGGTACTGAGGATCAGCGGAGGAGACTGGGTTGGTCTTCAGTTCAATTGTGTTCCGTGATTCTCAGCTGCTAAACCGTGTCGAAGGGGATACAAAGCTGCGTAGGTCACCTATGTATATGGTCTGGAAATCGTGTCAAAGTGCAGCTGGCTGAATCGTACCTTGCGTTGTCAATCTCGTTGCGCGTCTATGCTCTTGGCGGACTTGCACCACTTTTCGATCGGCCCCCAGCCTCCCACAAAGCTGTTTCCCGCGTAGTGTCAAACGGTTAATCGGGGCTACCCAGCAAGAGACATGCCCATCACAGCGCAGAGAGTAAAGGGACTCATTGGCCAGGGACATTGCCCATGTTGCCAATTATGTGGTGGTGGAGTGGCTGGGGTGCTCCGCAGAAAGTGGATCTGCACGTCGGTAGATGTTCAGCTATACTCAGCTGCGATGACTCGAGCTGGCTTTGGCCCGTTTCAGGGGTTGTCAGCCTCACAGGTACTCCCGGGCTCACTGCCCAATACGTGGTGGACGTGGACTTCCTGTCCTTCGTCTAGCCGTAGCCGGTAATTTGACACTGTCTGCGGTCTGGTAGGTTTGCAAAGGGGCATGCGGGCGATAGTGTCTTATGATTGTCCACATCATTAGAGAGTCACTCCGTCGTCAACTTGAAGAATAACTCGGTGGCGGATCTTCTTACCCCCGTGTCCAGGTGTAAGCCACCTTAGGGTCAGCGGTCCTTCACGGCTGCTATGGGGAGAGGCCTGTAGTTTGCAATGAGCGTCGTGGAGCGAACAACTGTGCCCACAGCATACGATTCGCCGTGCTCCTCGGTGTGCTTATTGGGTAGGGGCCGAAAGTGCTCTTCGGGTCTGATTGAGCAATAACCCTGGGTAATTCCGATGTCACTGAGTGATCACGTAAATCCTGGCCAATCGTACATCTCAACGCCTGGAAAGCAGGGCTTCTGGTCCGTGCTCCTTATTTCTTCCTCGAACCCATAAAGCCAGTGCGCCGCGAATCTGTAGATTCTTGAGCCTGCATTGCTGATCCTGGGGTCTCCTCAGTCAGCTAGAACCGCCCCGCTCTGACGAGGCTTGCTCCGAGTGGCTCTTCCCGAGAGATCTCACATCTTCCGAGGAATGGATAACTGGTAAGAGATCTCAAGCGACCCGAGCACTGCAAGGATCCCCTCACCCCTAGTGGGGATGTTCGGGTGTGGATATGTCGGATTGTAGACTTGACGACATTCGCAGGAATCCTTGACCATGTCATTCGTTAGGGCCATTACCACGCCTCCTTCGTTCACAGTGGACGGCGGGACGTCCTGATCCTTAACCTGAAAATGGCACACCAAGGTCTCAATTGTTCTTGTACGCCGACAGGCTCTGCGAAAATCCAGTCCCCAAGTTCGAACTTGCCGAACATCAATCCTTGACTGTGTATGTAATAAAGATCAGAGATTTTGGCATGGGGATAAGAGGCCTTCATGCTGACCACTGCCAGAGACTTGGTTGCATTGTCGTCTGAGAACTGGGGATTGCGAATTCTGGCCGTACCAGGGTCCCCGGGTCCCTGGATCCCTGGAAGAGAAGGGCATCGCTAGATATTCCAATACTGTACGCAGTGTACTTTCTCCTTGGAGTGTTACACAGCCAACAAGTTTGTATATTAAGGCGCTGTTCCAAGTCAGCCTGGCGGACGTCGTTCTTTTTGGTCCTGGTATGTCCCACCCAAGATGATTCACAATCATCCTCTAGAAAGACCGCGCTCCAAAGGAAGGGAAAGGGGCTGGTTACCTGGCTTGCAGGTGTAGAGGACAGACCGGCCGTGGATTTGAAAGGCATGAATCACCGGCATGGGCGAAATGAGAGGTGAGACTTCGTGGTTTCAGCTGAGCGAAGCACCCGATCGGTTCAGCTTCACAGGTCAGAACGGCCGACCGGCGGGATCTCGTCTGTTTGACGCATGTTGTGTGGAAGAACCGTCCAGGACCGAGCCAACTGAGGCAAACAACCACTGCGAAGGCTTCTCACAGCTCTGGAGGCACACAAACTGCTCAAAGCCAGAGGTGCAGGGAGAGATGGGCGCAGGCGGGGTGCGGGCATGACGACCTGATTGGTGTCCAGCCCGCAGCCTTAACCCGATATCCGAGCTTCGGCTTGGCATCAAAAGTACATGCTTGTACTAGTACGTGTATGGAACAGCAGTCACGTGAAACTGTGGCTGTGGCTGTCTCTGTCGTGTTTGGGAGAATGTTTCAGTGTTTCAGCCAAGCAAACACGAAATGAAGAGAGAAAAGGCGCATGTTGCACAACATGCTCAATGCACGTTTCATCATTCGATGGTGGCACATATCTCCTCCATCCAGCGCCAAACAGAAACAGAACGAAGATATGCGTCTAGCCGGAAGCTGCCAGTCTCCCGAAAGCTTTCGCATCATAATTGTGCCCGGTACCAATTTCTACCGTTGAGGCAATACTGAACGCCCTGCAATTCCGCCGCCCATGGATCCACCATCAGGCGTGGGCTTGAGCATTGAGAAATTGCAGCGGCCCGATGCGCAATCACAAAACACTTGGACCATGCGTTCCAGGACTCCAGATGCGGCAATCCTGTCACCATGTTAACGGAGCCACAGACCGTGTCCAGTGCGGCTGTCATGTTTCAGGTTGCTGGGGCTGGCTGCCTGTGGCTTGTGCCCGACATGGGCTCGCGATCCAATTTCCACCGCTTCTCCACGACCCCAGTCCTTCAAGTTTCAGGTGCTCACTGTCGCCGGCGCAACTTCCGCGTCGATGTAGCCATCATCTCGGGAATGATCCCACGGGTCCAGCTTCGGCTACGGGCGGCCGTATCCATCCACTTGTTACATTCAAACATGTCTAACATAATATCTCAGCTGACTGGACTGTGACCTGTGATTGACAGAAAAGCCGAGCTCGAAGCCCAGAATGCGCCTTTGCCGATGCGGCCTCCACCCCCTGCACAACTTGTCCACCTTGACCTGAAGCATAATGAGCAAGCTTGCGCTGTTGCAATCTCTTTTACATTCCCCGCCAGGGTTTGGCTTTCTTCTCCAGCACAGTGGCCTTGCAATATCGTAAGCGACATTTGACCATCACCCATGGTGAACCATCTCGTAAGAACAATCAAAGGACATACCGAGCATTTTCAGATCAGAATCCAGTCGGGAGCACGGCACGACATGTCTTACGTTGGCCAGCAACCGCCCTTGAATCGAAAGTAGGCATCCAAAGAGTCCCTGTCCGAACTTCCAAACCGAAAGTGAAATTGTAGCTAGGATACATAGAGAATATCAAGCATCCGTGTGAATAATAGCTCTGCCCGGCGAGCATCGGGAAAATGAACCACCATCGACATGCCACGAGATCTTGCAATCAAGATATTGGTAAGCGTCAGCCCACCTACACAGAACTCTGTACCCTGTATGTCACGGAATTGAAAAAATATCCACCCACTTGTCTCTGCTCTTTTGTCCTGTAGCCAAATTGGTCGAGATTCATCTCCGAACGATCCTAGCACCAGTAAGCCTTACCGCGTTTCAGCTTTGAACGCCTCATAACGAAACGGGTGGTCCTCGCTTGATCCACTTGGAGAAGAGCCGGTTAACCGCCTTCTTGGGCCGGGCCCCGCGCCACTGAGTTCATCCCTGCGTTGTTGACGACTACTCGGGCGTGCGATGTGACGACCGCCCGCATCAAGCTCGCGGGATGAGGCATCACTGTTTTGACGGGAGTGTCGTGTAGGTCGACTGGCATGGCCTGGCGACGTTTCTCGCTCGCGCGACGAGCGGAGAGACATGGGTTGTGATGGGTCGGTCGGTTGAGACGTGGGAGGCGCGGGTACTGCTTGACCCCCGGCTGCCTTGCGTTTCTTCGGCGAACTCTGGTATTCTGACCGTAGATGTGAGCTGGCATTTTGGGAAAAGGGTGACCCTTGGTTGCTTTTGCCCGATGGGGTAGGAGGCTGGTTTCCTCCTGAAGACTGGTTGGGAGGCGTCCAGTGGTGGAAGAATAGACCCGGACCCGAGGATTGTTCGGATGAAGCGGTCTGTGGCTGCGGCACTGACTGTCGACTGGCCTGACTCGTCGTAGAACTAGGAACGAACTCGGTAGTGTTCAAGCGTTGAAGTACAGACGATGGAGGCTGCGGACCAGAAATCGAATTGCGATCTTGACGCGAGGGTTGCGCCGGCGGTGCGGCGAGTGGTGCTTGCAGAGGCTGTTGTCCTCCGTAAGGATTGGGAGGAATCATTCGACTATCCCGATGCAGATTGGGTGACTGTTGCTGTTGCTGTTGCTGTAGTTGCTGCTGCTGCTGCTGCTGTAGTTGCTGCTGTTGAGCCTGAATCTGCTGTTGCTGCTGTTGGCTATGGATAGTGAGACTGGCCATATATTGCTGAGCCCACTCCACAGTATGAGGAGGAAGGGTTCCTCCTCCAATGCCGGCAAAGATAAGAGGAACCATTGGAGGAGGGATGCCGCCCTGGAGAGATTCCCGCAACATGCTCTGCTCAATGCGCCGTTGGTCGAGACGCAAGGTCTCCTGGCGAGTTCTCTCCTCCTCTTGCTTCCGCCGATCTTCCTCGGCCTTAGCATGAAGCCAACTCCGCATTGATTCATCCTGACCGGCCCATTGCGATGGAGGAGCAGGCAACTGGCCGAGGGGCAGGGGAGCAGAGGAATGACCACGATCTGGGGGAGGAAGACTAAGACCAGCAGGTAGGGGCAAACCTCGGTGGGAGTTGTTCATCTTCGAGTCCTCGAATAAGGACAACAGGTTGCGAGGAGACTCGGGAGGAGAGATTCTCGAGGGGGCGGGCTTGTTGTAGTTTGAATAGGCATGAGGCGGTTGGATGTCGTTCTGCATGGGGTTAGGAGGAGCTAGAGCTAATAACATGGAGGCGGTTGTCGAGTGGTCGATGGGAGCAACGGAGTGGTATGCTGTAGTAGAACATGCAGAACAAGTGCCTGTGCTTGACGGTTTCTCTGTCCAGGACCGACTCGGGCCCGGTTGGACGTTGTATATAGCCAGCCCTGGGAGAGTCCAAAGGCAGAGTTGATTGAGGGATGCTGTCAGTGGCGTGCCGTCCGGAGGTTATGATGGGATTAGGCTCTGACAGTTCCAGGCCAAAGAAGGTCTGAGTGTTGCAGGATGGAGAACGAGCCAGGTAGTTTCTGATTTGGAGCGAGGACCGGGCGTTTAGTACGGCCGGGGTCTGGACTGTGGCTTTTTCCCAGATCTCCAGTAAACGAGATGAACCCCGTCGAGTCGACAAGAAGGTGATCAGGCGAGGGTCCCGACAGCAGCCTGTGAACAATCCTGTAGGCCGGATCGAGGTCGTGTGGAGGGGTAGGTTAGGATGATGTTGAGCCGGATCTGGGTGGATGTGAGGCAGGGACGAAAGTATGGCCAGGATCACAGCCACCAACCCAGGGCAGGGTCCTTTTTTTGACGAAGTCACTGATAGACCCAAGTGGATCGGGGGATGGAAAGAGGTCAAGCGTGAACCAAGAACAGGTAGGGGTCGACTAGGTCCCTTAAGAGCGTTTCATGGAGGAATGAGGCAAGTTGGATTTGTTGATGTCCACGCTGGGAGGGTGGAGGCGGCCTCTGCGGATGACGGCGGTGGGTGGGCTGGGTGGCACGGGCTTTACGGCGAGAGGCGCGGAGAGAGACAGGGCCGGAGCAACAGAAGAGAGCAGCAAGGACCGGGGGTGGATAGGGTAGGGTATGTGAGGTGGTGACAGACTTGCAGTAGTTGGGAAGCGTAGAGGATGGACACGATGGAGGTGACGGTGGTAGGTCCAAGAGCGTATCAAGCAAGACGAAGCGGGACAGCCGCCGTCACTGGGAACCTAACTATCAAACCTGGGATCAGACGAGAGCGGAACGAAGAATACGAATACCACGTTGTGGATGGTGGCAGAGAGTAGTCGCACATAGTGCTTCAACCAGGCCTATAACTTCCAGGCACAGTGAATGGCCGGTGCGGTACCCGCCTGGTTGATAGATTTCAAGTTCCCTCCTGCGGATCATCTGGCACAAAATACACGCTTCAGGCTTGAGGCTTGAGGCTTGGCTGGGGGGTGCAGGCCCCAGGGCACGGTGCAGTGCGAAGGACCAACCTGACGCTCAGCTCAGCTCAGCCCAGCACGCGGTCAGGTACCAGGAAATACGGTATCTGTCCTGCCAGTACGCCTGCGTTACAATCTTACCTAGTACCTGTCCTAGTGCGTTGGTACTAGGTAATTTTCCGAGAGCATGCGCCCAGGAGCATGCGCCCAGAAACTCCCAGGCCTAGTTGGGAATGCTATACGGAGCACGGAGTACTACGACTATTACTATTACGACGCGGAGGGCGCAATCGACTGTAATTGACGCGGTTACACTGACCTGGAACTGGACAGAGCCGTTGGCACGCCGGACCTGACCGTCGTCATCGCGTCCTGCCACCGGAAGGGCTTGGAGAACGACCAGAAAGTCAACTGCGTTGGGCAGGACGCAGGGTCGCAAAGTCACTGCCAGAATGGAGCCAGTTGCAAGGTTCAGGGGACCACGAAGCTGCAGAGACACCGAGATGGTCAATGCCACCAAAAATGACTTAATTGATATGAATGGTGATACTTCTCTAGTCGGTCTGTCAACAATAAGTCGGTCAGCAGTAGGCACCTCGCCGTCGCAAGGATCAGACTGCGGCCGCTTTTCCATCCTGCTGGGGCTCAGGCTTCTGTCCTCGCATCTTTGTGTCACCCTCGGCGGACCAGACAGGCCCGACACCGCGCCACCTATCATCACCCTCCCCATCTCACCCCTTCAGGCTTCTGCTCCCGTTCTGCTTCGAGAAGTCTTCTGCCCGCCTCTCAATCGAGATCCATCTCGGTTCACGGCAATCCCGAAACAGAAATGACTCAACGAACCCACTTTCCTCCTTCGGCGGTACCCAAGAAGGAAAAGGATCAAGAGAGGGAACAAGAGAAGACTACGGCTACAAGATGCACTTCATTACTTCCGTCGCAGGCGTTGGCCGTCCAAAGCGGTCCGTTGGAGCTTCCACCTGTCCCAAAACGTGCTCCGTGCACGGCCAGCTATTGCACAATCGAGCCCACAAAGGACAAAGATCAGCCTTCTCGATTGCGCTTGTTTCGTGGCGCTGCCCCGGCCTCGTGGCATCGAATCGTTCCTCGGCTCCCAGCACCGTTTCTCTCTCATCGATTGGGAAACAATAGTGTTATGGATCACCCTTAACCCACTGGGGAATTTGCTGATAGAACCAGCTTGCAAGCGACCACGACCAGCCCGACTCACGCGCGTCGGGGGCCCAATGCCTCCTAGTAGCCTGGCACCACAGCTTTAAGTCCGTACACTCACAAGAGCACAAGAGGATTTGGTTTGTCAGGCCGCTCTTCTTCCAGGCCCTTCTCTCGCCCAACATACCCGTCCGAGGGATGAACTGGACGATCGCGATGCCTATGACGGGCCCCGAGGCGTGCTGCGCCTCACCCAAGATGCCCATCTTCTCTCCATTGGGCTTATTGACACCAGCCTCCGGACATGGCATCCCTGCCTAAAAAGCACGTTGCCCGCGCCCCTCACATGGCATCCACCCTTTGTCCCTCCCTAGCATGGCAAACTCATGGCACCCCTGATGCCACGAGCGTGGCCTCCGAACCGTCGATCTTTTGCCTTTCTTGGTCAAACTCGGAACGTCGGCTTCCTGGTTTGGTTTACCCTGTGTCGGTCAGCGGATTGAGTGTGTAAGCATTGCCCGGGAATGCTTGATAGGAATGCATATACTGTATCTTCCCTACTCTGCCGTCTTGACGTGCTCTGGTCGGGGTCCGGCTCCCGATTGCATGTTGTCTAGAAGGTTGCCTCTCATCCAAGGGGAGCTGCCGATTATTCCCAACCCAGCCCTGGGAACAGCATACTAACCATCACATTCAATGGATGCCTCTTAGGCGATCAAGTCTCCAGATACGGCCGTTCGCCTGGCGAGGTAGGTCTGTTTCTCGACACGGGAAACAACATGATCAGAAACAAGGGCGCCCTGGCAGTCGGCTCCATCCTCCGGTTGCATCACAGAGTTGATCGGCGCGTGTGGCATTTCCTAGGCCAGTGACGCCGTCACCCGAGGGTCTGTAACCAAGTTCGGATACTTCATATCATTACATCTTCTCCAGGCCGAAGCTACCACAGTGCAGTGTGTAGCATTCAGTCCCTGGAATTCTATGATTCTGTCCCGTCGCTACCGCAACTTCCTTCTGTATCATGGAGACCTGTCACCACATCGCTCGAGCCTGTAGCAGCTCCCAGCCAGCCTGCAGCATCTGCCACAGGCGTCCAGTAAAACGTGCTAGTCCAGTATCAAACCTACAATTCATTGCGTGCATAAACCATGGCACTAGGATTGCGCTTTCCACGTGCCACAATGCGAAACACTGGACGGGAAAGCTTTGGTCACCAAGCACGCACATTCCTTCTTGGATACGGAGGAAGATCCTCGGCCGTGTTGGGAGGGACCACGGGCCTTGGTGTTACCAAAGGGGCCGAAATTGCCAGACTGGAGGCCCGAGCAGCTGAGCTGAGTTGGCAGATTGTTAAATTATTGCATCAGGGCAACGGCGCAGGTCGCATTCGAATTCGATCGGCGACACCAGCGCACAGTTGGAACAGGCTTGTCTTCAAAATGTGCCCACTAACAGCCCCAACCTTACATGCCCAGGCCACGCCGGTGGAAAAGCAGGCGGCGGCACCTGGTACCTAGGTAAGAGTTAGTCGTTCTGTCTTGAAATGACACTTCTCACCGTCGTGACGGCGTTCGGGACGTACGCAAAACATCTTCCCTAACTGGCAAGGCGTGAACGCAGGATACAGGATTCTCGCATCGCCGGACCATTTCTAGCGATAGTGAAGGGTCCAGTTCCCCCCCAGTAACACCTAACACCATGCCTAAATGGAAATTCTCCGAAGGCCTAAGGCCCCCGCCAGTGACTGGATGAGCAGATTCGGATCAAACGAGCTGGGCAGCATGGCCTTTTTGAAGCCAGCAAGGTGTAACTCACGACAGCAGGAGGGAGTTCTCCCAGAGGTGACACTGCGAGGGTGATGGTCTCGGCGCCTACTTTGCTTCCTTTGCAGCGATGAGTGAGAGTGTCAGGCTGTCTACCTACCTATGTGTCCTTAATACCGCCGGAGAACCCTTGCTTCCACTAGGGGCCAACGGCGAGAAACTTGGCTTGTTCAGGCACTGGGTCACCTGCATCTCAGAGGCCAGGAGAATAAACCACGTCAGAGTGCATCCGCTGGCGCAGCCACACCACGCAATCTTCGCTCCCTGGTCACCGCAATCGCTGGTCCTGGTATCCGTACAGATACACATCCCTGTGATCCAAAGATCGGTTCGGTACCGTATACCTACCTAGCTGCAGGCCCAACCGACCCTCCACACACAACCAAGCTCGGCGTGACGGCCTCCGGTGGCGCCCTGTAGCTCCTCTCTCGCCTACTTTCCTCCACACCTTTGCCGGATGCGTGTTGATCGCACAAGCAGGCTTTCCACTTGGCTAGGGATCGCCCCGTCTAGTCAATTTCTCTAAGCGAACAGGATCATCTCGACTGTCCTGACCCAACACTATGGGAAAGTGGTCCGAACAGGATCGATTGGTAGCGAGAACATCGGCTGGCGCAGGGAAGATGGGCAAGGAAGCAGACACGGGACATGTCCCTTTAAAGCATGCAAAAAAGGTGGTGACCACAAAACTGGAAGGCAACGAACTGCCGGCAGCTCATATTTTCTTTCTATGTGTCAGACTAAGTTGCTGGTCACATTGCCGAGGACAAAAGCAACTGTTGTGGCTGCAGGCGTGGCCAGCTGCGACACGACCAGCGAAAAGCGAGGCAGGTCAAGCCACAGGCATCTTCCCTGTTCACAACCTGTCAACTTAGGTCAACACGCAGTGGTAGGCTGCCATCCTCCACTGGCACCCATTCGACCCATTCGATGTAACATCTCCGTCGCCCTTTTGGGAGGTCAATGATGCACCGATCTGGGTTCATTATTAGAGCTCGAAAGTGTCCGCTTGACGTCGTGCCGCCCTTTGCGAGGCCGATCCCACGGCACACTTGTCCGTACACACGAGTTCGCAGATCCGTGGCACTGCACGCACGTGGATTATCAACTGTCTGAATTATCCTCGTCACCATGTGCGGATCGACAGTGATCGGAGCACGAGGCATCCAGGATGCGAGCACATGGTGATTGTTTGCGAGACGACAATCACCGTTCGTCCTCATCTGCTATAATCGCTAGACCCTTGGGTCTGTCACATGTCGTCCATCAGCTGGAGGCGCAGTTTTGGTGAGACAGCCCTCGACGTTTGAGAGTCTAGCATCCGCATCACACAGGGGATGTACGGGCCTGGTTTCCGATGGAACAAGCGAGACTAAATACCGTGCAGTTGTTACCACCCATCTCGATATATGTGATAGGAACCTCTCTCTACCAACAGCAGCGGAAGTGCTGGGAGCGTACAATTCTAACAAACACCCATCTGCAGCTCCGAACCGCACAAAGTTCACACCGCTAGATCCAGGTCATGCACGAGACGCCACTTTTGTTGTTTGTTGTTGTCAAACCCCGTCTCCTTTTCCGAAGTTCCAGCCACTGACTTCATATGTCCGATCAACCTTTTGGACCCTCGAACTCTCAAGACCCCTAAAGCGCGTCAGTCCGGGGTGGGTTTGAGTTTGAGTTTGGCGTGTCGGATGAAGTCACCATGAAGAGACACTGCTCGCCACTTGCATTTCCTCGTCACTCCCACATGCGGACATGACCCCCGATGCATTACCTTTTAGCCACCAATGAATATTCATTGAAAGCGCCTCTAGGACTTCGGAAGCCTCGATAATCCTCAGCTGCAACTGACTGTTCTCCGGCACAGCCAATTTCGGTGCTGTTTGAGGAGATCTTACAATAGCCCATTACACGTTGACTTATGGCAGTGCTTCTGAGACAACCACGAGCAAGGATCTGATATTGAACCTTTGGAGATCGGCACCCTCAGCTGTCTTGGGCATGTCAGCCTTCCAGCGCAGTGTCTAGTCAGCCGTGTCAGCACGTTTCTACTGGGATTGGGTGAGCCAGCATGCTAATCATACTCGATCGAACGAGGCCCAGGATTCTAGTGTACGTCAAACACGAGCTGGAAGCTGCCCGAGCTATGTCATGACTTGGTTCCTGGTGTCTCTGCCTCTAGCCGAGTGAGCCCTTAGCCTCCGACGGGTGGTCTCGTCTTAGCGAGCCGTTGGTTCCGATGATCAGTGTACAGGCAGATTCCAGGCAGATTCCAGGCAGATTCCAGGCAGATTCCAGGCAGATTCTTCCACCGCACTGGTCAGGGAAGATCGACACCTTCTAGCAACGGCCTGAATGCCAGAGTGCAGAGCTGTTGCGGTCAGCGGCGTAGTGACCTTGTCGCCATAAACTTGTTTCTTGTCTCAGCGCTATTTGTCCACTGGGTGGCGCCTCGAAGTCAGAACCGAACTCCTCTCTGCAGTCTTCCAGATGCACCCTCCTGGGACGCAAGCCCAGGGGCTGTTTGTTGTCACCGCCAATTTTTGAACCCCACGAGACATGCTCTTTGCTTCTAGAAGATGTTCTATGCTGGTACTACTGCTGTGCTGCATTGTGCGACTGCCTTGCAGCGTCACAAGAATGACTGTGAAAGACCAAACGATAGCCGGACCTAATTATGTATCGTAAGTTCTTGGGGGAAAGGCATCACCACACCACACCTCAGTATCCTGCTTGCATACCGTGGAAGCAGTCGCTTCCCTGCCTCTATGGGCTTTACCCAGGCATGGCTATCATCTCCCCCTTCGTTGATCTGAATCAATCCATCCACAGTTGGTTCAGAGCCTCAATGACTGAGGAACCTTCCCACTGTCGAGAGCCTGGCTCGATCAAAGAGCCGATGACAAGTGTAATACCTTCTCGTCGTGACCGTGACCGCACTTGAGAGTCCAGCCACCCGATCGGAGCCTCTGCCTTCCAGCACAGAGCGTCCCAACTTCGAGTTTACGTTTGGATTTAGGGGTTCATCTCGATTGTCATTGCCCTCTTGTTGAGATCCCACAACTCCGCCCTTAGAGCATTCATGATGCCATATTGGGGTAGATGACCACCACAGTTGACGTGTCAGTAGACGTTGGAGCAGGGCGTGAAGGAGTAGGAGTAGGCGCGTGGTGCTGGCTACGACCGATGTGCCATGTCTTCTTTTTACCTTCGGAATCCGCAGTGCTGGCCGCCGCAGTGTCCGACTTGTCGGCATCCTGAGCTACCTGTAGATACACTGGCAGTAGAATCAACAGCACCGGCAGCCTAGCGACTTGATTGAGACAAGAGAGAAAGTCTGCGGCTGACCTCCTCCTCCTCCTCCGCTCTGAGCCATCTACAGCAGATACAGTACAGCAGATATAGATATCTCTCTCTATCTCTACAACATCTCTACAACATATCCGTCTCGCGTTCTTCTCCTCCCGCTCGGCGCCTGGCGTGTTATGGTGTACGACCGAGCTATTTAGATGAATGTATTTCTTCTCACATCTCACATCTCACATCTCATCCTGCCTGGCTGGCTGGCTGGGCCGCTGTGCCCCGGGCGGAGGGGGGTCGGAAGTGGAAGTGGAAGTAGAAGTAGAAGTAGGAGAGCGTCTTCAGAAGACTGAGATGAATGACGAACTACTTATTACACATCACACATTACACATATACACATATACAGAGTACAGAGTACGATATTTATGTTTCTCATATGGCATGGCTACCCACTTAGTAATTCTCACTTAGCTGGCTTACCTTGGGCAATGGACATAATATGGTAGAGGCAGAACAGGGCAGAACAGAATAGAACCAGAACAGAACAGAACAGAACCAGAACAGAACAGAACCAGAACAGAACAGAACCAGAACAGAACAGAACCAGAACAGAACAGAACCAGAACAGAACAGATAGCGAGTCAATATGGATATAAATGTGAATATGAACGTAAACACAGTAGCGTACGTAGTAAGAGATGGTCTGGTAAGACCAAGCTAGGCGCAACGCAGAACAGCTCGTGGAGTGAACGACAGTAGCGTACGTAGTAAGAGGTGGTCTAGGACCAAGCTGGGCGCAACGAACAGAACAGCTCGTGGAGTGAACGACGGTAACGGTGGAAGTGACACGGACATTGACAATGACGATGCCAGTGCCAGTGACATTGACAGTAATAGTAACACACCAAGTAGACAAATGGTACGGTGACTAGTTGCTATGCTAAGGGGTATTGTATCTAAGGTAGGTAAGGTATGCGTACATAGGGAAAAGGGAAAAGACACGCCTTAGGCCCGTGACAATCAAAAGGCAATTATTGACCGCGTTCACCCCTCCAGTATTGGGAGATGGACGGGCGTGAAATGGTAGCGTCTAGTAAGATATGGTGTGCCAAAGTGCTCGGAAAGACCAAAATCAAATCAAATCGAAGGAAGAAGAGGCCAGGAATCTGCGAGAGACGGCTCCCCTAGAGCAAAAGACAGCTAGCTAGATAGCTAGCAGAGCTGCTGATTCTGCTCCGTCTTGTCGCTTCGCTGCGCAGCGAGTGGCGGCCGACATGACCATTCACAGCAGTGTTGACATATCCATCCGAGTTATTCTGCATGGAAGGAAGAGTCTCGATTTACCCGCGCTTCCTGGGTCTCTGTGGGCCTTGCCTCTGATGCATCCTCCACTCTGCTTTGGCGATGCGCATCAACAAATCCTCGTCTTGGATGGGAATCCATGACGTGAGGACTTTCATGGCGTTCTCAAAGTCCGATTCCATGAGGATGTCACGCATGCCGTCGATCAGGGCCGCCGACGTGGCGTGCAGAACATCGAGAGTCGTGCCGAACGAGGGTTCGTGATCGGGGGGTTCGTCTCCGGTCGTGGATTGAGTTTGGTTGGGCGTTTGCAGTGAAGGGGGATTAGAGTTAGTATTAGAGGTGGGAGTAGGGGAGTATGGGGACAGAGACGTGTCGTCCCCGAGAAGCATGAAGACGTCCCAGACGCGCAGCTGTGCAGGGAAGGGGATCGCGTAGTTGAAGAGTGTTAGGTACCACCGGGTGCCGTAGGCGGTTGGCGGAATGCCTAGCTTTTCCTGCAAGACAACGATGGATGGGTCAGTCATGACTTGAATTGATGATGGTCGGGGAAGATAGATAAGAGAACAACAAAGCCGAGAAAGAGGAGACACCTCTCTCGTTCCAGAGGAGGTGTCTACCCTCTGCGTCTCAATATCTCCAGAGGTCTCCGCGCTGTGGAAGGGACGGAAGAAATCTCATGACATGGATCCAGATAGTCAACGTACCAACTTCCGGGCAAGCTCCCCTTGCCCCAACCAACCCGTCTCAAAGTCGTTCAAGGCTGTCATCAAGCCCTGAAAGCCGGATTTGTACAACTCCCCTAGTCCTCGGAGTTCCCACATACGGACAAGCATGACAAACGCTTTTTCCTCATCATAGTATGCCAGCAGAGTGACTGCAAGCGCAGCCATTCCTTGCACGTAGCCGGTTTCTGCAAAGTGAAGAGACATGGCGTGGAGTACACGGAACAGAAGCCGTTGGCCACCTCGATACCGCCTCCGAAACATGATGTGGGAGGAGATGGTGCGCGGAACGTCGATGTCAATTTGCACATCGTCCGGGGATGATTCTGTTTGGTAGGAATGGAACCAATCGATCAATTCCGTGTCGCTTAGGCAGTCCTTACGTCGTGAAGCTGATGTGCTGAGAAAACTATGCCAAGCTGTCGCCCGCCATTTGTCTGGTATGCCTTTCCACGTCCGCTCGATTAGCTTGGGAGACCCTGTGTCGAAATTATATCCCGTCTCGGAACCACCTCCTACGATGGGGAGGCCGCTCTTCGGGTCTGTGGCCGTGACCAAGGGACGGGCCATTTTGCGCCATTTCTCCTCGCGTTCGATTTCTTTCCGACGTGCTCTGGCATCATCAATGTGAACATATCCGTCCTCAACCACGGAGTGAGCAGATCGAGGAAGCGTGAGCATGTCCATGGCTGAATGCATCAACCGACGGTTTTTCGAACCGAGTACAGGAAGACGCGAGGACACGCTGCGCCGGCCTGTGGAGGGGCGCGCATAACCGCTTTGGGAACTCGACGGCCGAGGTGGTGTTTGATCCGTAACGCTGTGTTTGCTGTGTCCTGATCGTGTGGATGCGTGGGCGCTACTCGGGGTACGACGTAGCGTATGTTTCCGTCGAGGAGTATCTGAGGCAACTTGTAGACTTGTCGAGACTCGGGTCAAACGTTGGGGCCTCGATTCGTCGGCGCCATTTTCAGTCGCAGCTGGTGCTCTGGCGACAATGAAGCCAAAGCGGTCAACATCTGCACTGCTGATGTCCTTCCAGTCTTCCAACCCACCGGCTAGTTCAGTTTCCTCGCGCTCCGGTATCACATACGTCTGTGAGGCGGCCCGCGTCTCACCTGGAAGCACTGAGTTGTTGGTATCTTCAACGATGTCTGTCGTCGAGGTAGCCCGGGAGAGAGACGGGATACTGACGCTTCGGGTGTCAGTGGCCAATGTTGTTTGCCATCGTGCCCCAATTCGAGCGGCTAAGTTGGTAGAGGACTCTGTATCTTGCTGGCTGTCTGTTCCGGCAGCATAAAAGGCCCGAACTTTCTCAGACAACATCTCTTCGTCCGCGGAAAGGACCTTGGCAGTTGGACGTTCCTTGATCGATTTTGCAGCAGTGGACGCCGTGGTCAAAGTCGGCCGAGGACCGACGGTTGTATCTGTGGTATTTCGCTGCCCATTTTCCCTTTTAGAGTCGTCCATGATCGGGGCCAAATTGGGAGAAGTTCTGCGGCTCGTCTGATTCACTCTCAGCCCGTCAATCAGCATACTCCCTCTTTTCGAAAATTCCATGCTGCTGGTGGAGAGGTCGTCACTGAATTCACCTGTAGGGATGTCTATGTCCAAAGAAATCCCTTTGAATTGCGTGTCTCTTCCCCCCTCTTTCCCAGATACTGCTGAGCTCGACTTGGATTTCCTCAGAGACGACCATCTCCCGTTGTCGTCAGCGCTGAGGTTGCTGTGGCGGTCTAGGGCCGAGTCTCCCGAGTTTATGTCGTTGACGCGGATATGAGGCACACTGGCTGCGGCTGAGGTCAAACTGCTTATCGTGGGAGCCCTTGTGTTGAGGCTCGTCTGACTTTCTCGCGCGGAGATGGAACCTGCACCTGCGGCTTGGAGCCCGTCTCCATCGTGCGCCGACGCGTCAAAATGGTCTTTCTTATTGGACGTTGTGGACGCGTTGTCCCCGGAGGTGGCTGAACCCTGATGCCCGTTGGAGTCGAGGCCAGGAAGTCGATGTAACGACGTGGTGCTTGTGACTCGTATCGGAGGGTTTGACGCGGTCGTCGCGCTGTAGGCTAGACCGTGGAGGCTGTATCTGAACTCGGAGGCCGGAGACTTATTCGAGGACGCCACGGAAGCACCCATCGTCCAGCCTGCGAGCCCAAGGCAAGGCAAGACGGTGCTGGTGATGCGGGAATGTTAGGCGGGCGAGGTGCGGCATGGGCCCTGGACAGCGCAGTGAGACCGGGGGGACCGCCCGTTGATTCAGCGCTTATGGAGACTGCGAGGTAGCCTGGAGACCCTTCATCGACAACCCAGCTTCAAGTGTGTTTTCTCTTGTTCATGTCCATATGCTTCCCCTGATCACTCTCCGGTGCCTCTCGCCCGTCAATTTTTCTGCACCGCTCGCTTTGTGGTGAGAAATCTGGTTGGCAGGGGGGATAATAGGAGAGGTTCGACGTCATGGCTCGATGAGAAGCGAAGCGAACTTGGAGCCAGGCCCCTGTTCCAAGACAATCTCGGACTGCTGTGCGGAGACTCTAGAAGGACGGATTTCAAGATCTGATTTGGAGCAGACAAGAGTCGCAAGGACCACTGGCAAATACGGATGCTGGAAACAAGATTCAAACTCTACCATAACAACCAACTGTGGAACTCCTCCTCCTCAGGCCTTTCCAGCATGCGCCAGAGTGTTGCACAACTAGCGGCCGAGACGGGCGGGAGTGTCAGAATACAAGTGGACACAGATCTTGCTTGTGACAGCCTCGACGACATACAACCACTCAACAACGGTCAGCAATGCTTCATTCTCTTGAGGCTTTCTTCTATCTATGGTCTATCACGGGGTAAGCACTAATGGCTTTGGTTCAACACAGTCGTTGCACTTGTCTCATCATCACCACGCAAAAGCTCAAGCTCTTTCCATCGCGAGGTTGCTCAAGTCTTGAGGGATAGTCGCTCACTCCATCAACCAGCCTTCCCCTCCGTGTTGATTGACACACTGGGTGAAGGATGACCAACTCAGGTTAGTAATCGTCTTGTCCAAGTACTATAGGAGTCACTTTAGACACAATGAATCTCATCATTCTCCTCCTACCTATTTGGAACTTCCTTTGGGTTTGTGCGTCCGTGTCTGCCGGCGGAAGCCTCGGAGGCCGAGAAGTGGTCTCGACTCGGAAAGAGTGGCATGCCCCCTTGATTGATTCTGACGGTTTGTCATAAACTTCTCTTGCCTCAGACTGGCTTCACGTGGTAGCCATCATGTCAGTAAACAATATCACTGCTGGAAGGGTGGAACGTGGAACGGCCAAATCAACGCCGACTCAGAACAACTGGACAGCCCTTGCATTTGAGACACCATAAATGACCTCCGGGCAGAGTAGTCGTAGACCAAAAATGAGATTCCTGACGTACACTGGCTCAGTGTTGTTGTCGATGGCTAGCAAGATGAAGATGGTGAACCGCAGCCGAACTGGAACAATATCTCGGGTAAATATCAATGTCTGACAACTAATAAATTACTTTTCCAGGCCAGCTACTCCCGATATCGTTCGTCAGACGCTGCATTTATTTCTCTTATCGATAAGACAATTTTCCTGCGGTGGACACAAGTGTTCTTCATCTCACAGAAATTTTGTTGGATACGGATTCTTAAAAAGAGGACAACCTGGTGCAAACCCAACTGCCTCGACTACTTTGCCATTCCAGCTCCCGCGACCCGTTGCAATGGCAGTCGATGACTCGACCAGCGTACTACTCTCTACTCTAACGAACGCACTTGAGTCCGCTGCCTCGGCGTTTCCCGACAATGAAGACCAATTCCTACCTCCCGCGGAGGGCATTTCTCTGCTTGACATAAAAAACGACCTGCTCCTCTCATACATACAGAACCTGGTGTTCCTTGTGGTGCTGAAGCTGCGCAATCAAGGCAGCAGCACCGACAGCACCCAGGACCTGGCGGGCGAAGTGGTCAAGAAGCTTGTTGAACTCAGGGTGCACCTGGAGCGAGGGATTCGGCCGCTCGAAAGCAAATTGAAATATCAGATTGACAAAGTCGTCCGAGCTGCTGAGGAAGCCGACCGCCGCGCCAGCCAGCAAGCTTCGACCGGTCAGGAATCTACCAAGAAGGCTACAAGAAGAAGAACACAGGACGTGGATGGCGAAGGATCCGATGATGGCGCACCAGTGTCAGACTCCGGGCTCGACTCTGAAGATTCAGACGAGGGGGCACAACTCACCGGGCCGACGGAAGCCGAAATCTCTATAGGACCCAGACCAGCTGCTCTATTGCGCAGTACTACAGACAAATCGCAGACGAATGGTTCTTCTAGGACCACGAAGTCGCGAACGACCGATCCAGGCACAGGCACAGGCACAAGCACAGGTGCATACAAACCGCCGCGGATTACACCCACGGCGATGCCCGATCCGACCGCGACGCGAGAGCGCGACCGCGACCAACCGGCGCGCAAACGCCGATCCCAACTTCTCGACGAATACATTGACGAAGAAGTGTCGACGGCGCCGCGAGCGCAGCCGTCCATCGGGTCCAACCACACGATCGTCAAGCACGGACGAGGCGCCATGTCATCGCGCGATCGAGAAAAGGAGCGCGAACGGCTCGAGTACGAAGAGCGCAACTTCGTCCGACTGCCCGGCGAGAGCAAGGCCGAGCGACGAAAGGCCCGACTTCGCGGCGAACGGAACCAGAGAGACATGTTTGGCGGCGAAGACTGGACCGGGCTCGGCGGGCTCGGCGATCGCATTCACAGAACCGTCGCTGGCCGGTCGCGCGGCGAGGGCGCCAATCTGCTCGAACGGCGCGAGAAACGACGCCGAGACACTCAGGACGGTCCCAGAGGCGACGGATCAGCTGCTGGACCTGGATCTGGTGGCGGGGCCGGGATCGGCGAGACCTTTGAGAAGAGGCGGAAGATCATGCAGCAGCGAGCGGAGAAGAAGACTCGTCGAAGAGCATGAATGCTGCCTGGGGGGTCTTTGTCGTTTTTTAGTTGTCGGTTTTCGATTTTCGATGGTCGTGGTCGTTTTGTGTGGTCAAGAAGATTAAGGTTGTTCGTCAGCCCATTGGAGTTTCTAGAAAGCCGGCTGGGTCTTTGCTCTGCTCTGCTCTGCTCTGCTCTGCTTTGCTCTGCTCTGCTCTGCTTTGCTCTGCTTTGCTCTGCTTTGCTCTGCTTTGCTCTGCTTTGCTCTGCTTTGCTCTGCTTTGCT